TTTAATTTCTATGACCTCTGTGCAGGCAATTCTGCACACCACATAAATTAAAAGATGGTAGTGATTATAAAGATTGTAATGATAATCAGCAAATTTGATGTCATATGACCTTATGTGTTTAGTTAAAAAGATCTGATTGTTTATGACTCAGAATAACCAGCACTTGCTGTTGTTTTGCATGTAATTTTGCTGGTAAAGAAGAAGAGCTCTAAGCTAAAGAAAAAATTAGTGTCACCTTGTGAATACTACTTCTTTCCCTAAATATTCATCTTGGCAAAGATTCATATACTGGTTGCTGCTCATTACAGCAATTGAAGGTGAATGTTTACTAATTTTCAGCTAGTAATTCCATCTCTAGAAAAAAGGTTTTTTTTATAACTTTATGTTAACAGTATTTTTCATGGATTACATTATAATGCGTTTTACTTATGTATGATATCAAGCGATACCTCCATGGTTGCGAACGAAATTGCAAAAAATTGAATTAGACAGCAAAATTCTATCCATTTTTGTCGAAGTTTTTAAAACATATGGCGTTAGAAGTTACTCGTGATCTCCAGCATAATCACAGGCACCATAACATCCTTCGCCAATTGTAAAACTTAATTTTAATAATATTTCTAACTTTCCTTTACCGAACACTAAAAGAAGCTCATCAGCACATTTTATAGCCCAGTATTTTCATTTCTCTGTTCTGAAAAATATTTGCTTCAGATACTGTGGATTGCGTATGTCACCCTTAATGGCTTTCTGATGCTTTTTAATAAACCCTCCTTTTCCTTAATAATTGGTATTACATACTTGAAAACTATTCTTATATAGCTTAACTCTTTTCAGCTAAAAACCATCATTTTCTTTGGTATGTCCTAACAGGGCAATAGAATGAATCGACTCTGCACTCGAAATTACAACATTTTCTTTTATCCCGTTTAATATTTCGCTCTTCCAATGCTATGTTAATTCTTCTATAGAGCGCGCTCCATTCTGAAGTCTCGAGAAACAGAGAAAATGCCAATGTTTAAAAAATACTCCATTTACATTTTCCTGGCCATAGCATCCTTTGGCAATGTCATTGGGACAACGTTGGCTCCTGGTAGGTGATAAATACCTCTGGAATCATCTGTTAAAACGTGTATTGAGGATAATCGTGTACATTGGGTATGGATAGGGTCTATGGGTACATGTAGGAGGCGATTTCAGCGGAAAAAGTATTTACATAATCTAGCTATTGAAGATCTATCAATCGAACTTATCTTGCTTTAAATTTTCTGAATTGAAATCCTCTTTTACAGGATAGTATTTAATCGAATTCGATTCCACAAAAACTGTTTCAAGCTATTGAAGCCATTTAAAGAGAATCTGAGCGCTGGGTGCTACAACTAATGCCCAGTTGTGAAAAGAGCGTAGATATATTGTCGATAAGGGACCGCAAACATATCGATTTTTCCCCAACAATGTCGTTTGGAAGTTTTCGTTTAGACCCCCCTACCTCGCCATAAAACGTCCAGGACCTGAATATCGATATAAGCAAAATCTGTGCAGGTTACTGGCGGGGATTTTGCAGTGCTTAAAGGCAATCTGTCACGACGTTGTTTGGTAATAAGAACAAAGGAATTTTTATTGTTTCCAGTCCCCCTTCAATTTATCGCATTGTAAAAAATATGGCGGAGCGCTGGAATCGTGTTTAGGCCATTGTTCCAGCTATTGTTCTCGTTAACCAATCCACAACGAGACAGATTGCCTTTAATGTGTGGGAGACTGCAGTACTGACTCTACATTCACATCAAATTTCACTGCTGGGAACGATTCTGACAGCAAAATTATCTGCAAAGAGCGAGAAATACACTATTAGAGACACTAGAGTAGAAAAAATCAACATGGAAAGGACTGTCATACAAACCTGTGTCTGAAAAATTTTCTTACAATCCTTTGATCTTTCTTGCAAAACTACACAGATAGATGTAATTCATATAGAACCTAATTTGAGAAATATCCCCTGCATATTATTGACGGGAAGTCCTTTTTACATAATTGCGAAAGTCATAAATGTCGACTTTGCCGTACCTTCGCCACCAGAATAGTGATTCAGTTGATTCGTATTATTGTTGAGTTCCATTGCAAATTGATTTCACATGATTGTTGAGTTGAATTATAAAAAATTCTTATGTTATGGTCCGAGTGTCTCTTTTCATTGGCCAACCTTTAGTAAAGAGTTTAAGACCCGACCATATTAGAAAGTTCATATTGACAGTGAGAGACAGTCAACAAAGACAACGTTCAGATTTTACAGGTTGTGATTTTTTTTGGAAGACAAGACCATTTTTCGATGTAAAATCTCAATTTGAAAACGTCTTGAGAAAAGCCCCTCCCCCCCCCCCAAAGGTCCAAACGACGTTGTTGGGGAATAAAATCGATATGTTTGCGGCCCCTAACAAAATAGAATAGATATTTCTAGAGCATCCAAAGGGGATAGTATAGATACCAAAAATGTGATGATGTCACAATATTACATGAGTTGTCACAACGTAGAGAAGATCTTAAATGACTGATGTTGTTTTGTTAGGTTGCTTTATAGTATTTAGAATACCAGGCCTAGCTAAAATGCTTTGATAAAGACGGCCAGTGTTCACATGGCTATATCTCAACCTATTTCTGATAGACTCAACCATTCGGCGGGTTTGTTTTATTATATAGTTCAAATTTTATATAGCACGCAACACTGATTGGTCAACTATACCAGTCTTGTGCTTGCGTTTTTCTGATTGGCGTATTTCGATACCCAAATGGGTTTATATTTTTCATCATGTTCTTTCGGACCCTTATTCTGACGTTTTATGCTCTGAGGGGTGTCAGACGAAAAAGCTTTAAGCCAGTATGTTGTAAAATGTTTGCTTTTTCAAAGCAATTTTCAAGTTCTGTACCGCCAAAAAATAGTCAAATTTATAATTCTCAACAGATCTTTTCATGACGTTACTATTCAATCCACTTTAGTGAATTAATTGAAATGAATCTATTGACGTGCGTGCACTTTTTTACAGAAGAGTGTAAAAATACAGTCACAGGCCAGGGCTACAGGGGCTTGAAACAAGAGACTAAGGCCGGTATACCCTGTCAAAGATGGGACGTTCACTCGCCACATTCGCACATGGCTACGACCGCAGCGACATATCCAAATGCCGGATTGGAAGAAAATTATTGTCGGAACCCTGACCATGAACCGGGTGGTCCATGGTGCTATACTTTGGCCACAACCACAAGATGGGCATACTGCGACGTGCCAAAATGTCCTAACGGTAATTACATTTGGTTTGAATGTTTTCGGTCTTTTTTTCCAATTTAAAGATAAAATATCTGAGCAAAAAATCGCCAATTCAACTAGCACTTTTCAGTACTTGAATTCGAATTAAATGTACTAAACTATTTAAGGGAAATTTAATCTAAACTGAACAATTTCAGGAAAAGTGTTGAAGAAATTATTTCATCTTTTTATCGGATATCTATATCTAAACAAAGCAACAACATTCTGGCAAGGTCCATGCTAAGCATCTCTTCCAAAGAGCTAAACGCCGATGAGTGCACACATGCAATCGACGTTGACGCATCCCAAGATCTCTTAAATAAACCATTCGCGATTCATGTTTGTAACAACCTCTCCTTTTATTCTGCATTTCAGCACCCGATTGTAAAGATACTATCAAGGGCGGGGAATACCGAGGATTTGTGAATACTACACGAGAAGGTTTAACCTGCCAGCAATGGGGAGCGCAATCTCCACATCAGCATTCCGTAACCAATGCCTACTTTCCTGGCAAGGGAGTATACTTGAATTACTGTAGGAATCCAGACGGAGAACCAGAGGGACCTTGGTGTTACACCACATCGCCAAGTGTTCGCATGCAATACTGCAACGTTCCACTTTGCGACGAAGGTAAATCGAGAGCATTCGTCAGAAAATTGGGTTACCCTTTTTCACTCGCTGTTGCGCTAGGCCAAGGTCCTATGCGAGATGGGGTAATGGGCTAGAGGGACAGGGTTGGAGTAATTTAATTGTGGGTCAAAAACAATTTGTATTTGTTTAAAGTAACACAACTATTGATTGTGTAGCGCTGATTTGAACCTTTAAAGTAGGGTGACCCTTATCAAACTGTGCTGCTAATGAGAAGCAAATAAACAAAGACCATCGTTAACGTACCGAATTTTAGGGAACGTCTCACCGTGGCATTCAGCGTTTACAATAATGATAAAATGACTCAGAAACGAGAGCTTGTGACAGGACTATGGAAGTGTGTGAAAAAGTAGCTCACATACTGAAGAATGTGGGGTAAAGAGGCCACTATGAAGTGAAGACAAAGATACGTCACTGGGTTCATACAAAAAGCTAAATTTTGCTACAAGGCAGAGATTTGAAAACGTAAAATTTTGAATTCTGGAACCTGTGATCGGAATAGGCAATTAGAATATTTGCATAAAAAGGTTTAAAAATTTTGAAAAATTTTCTCTACCGCTCATCATGTGACTTAGAAATTCAGTTTATTTCATTATTTCCAAAAAACTTTCGATCTTTATACAGAAAAAGTCATGTGTGCCGAAATAACATGTCAAGAGAATGCTAAATGTATGAAGATAGATGGAACATATCAATGTGGTTGTAAACAGGGCTATACTGGAACAGCCTCAAGCTGCCAAGGTGAGTTAGACTGAGTTTTATATTTTTTAAAATCATAATACACAGTGGTGAAACCAGAGAGGAAGCGTGTAAATAAATGCATTCACTACCACTCAATGAATGCATGCATTTTCTAAAATTTCATAACATATTTATATCATGAGAAAAGTCCAGAAGGACTCCCTTTTAATCGATTCAATCATAGCCTGTGTCCCAGACCCCTAACTTGAAAGTAGTCTGGAGCTACCGTCAAGTTAAGGGGCTGCAGCACAGGCTATTCAATCACTGTCTAGTGCTATGCTCGTCGGACTCAATATTATAACCGCCTCAAGGTATCGAGCAGCAACTCTCTAATTTTGCATAAAACACACAAGGGAGTCGTCATAAGTCATGTTCTATGCAGGTCTGAGGAATCTTTATTTTTTGAAAGGAACATTTTTCAGCCTATCACAAACTCTAGCATTTTTCCTGCACCCAATACTAGAGATTGAAAAACATTTGATACCCTATCCAAGAAAGATTCCAAGAAAATTTGATTACAATATGAGCTCTTATACAATTTCTGATCGCTGGAATTAAGAAGTATTTTGCCTGATGCCACCAGACAAACTACTGGAAAATAATGGAAAAGATGGTCAAATAACCATCAATAAAGGACATGTCAGACAGAAATCATGAGACAAAATGAGGAGAAAAAAGTTTTGACGTTTACAAGAAGACGCAAACGAAAGGTATTCAGGAAACGGGACAACTTGGACAAATAATTTGTCCAGTAAAATGAGACGAACCAGAATTTGCTCGAAGGACCGCTGGCTTTCAAAATCTTGCTCATATCATCGATCATATACTTATGCACAGAAATCAATGACGGTATTTGCACCACAGAATAGAATGTGTTTACACATCGAACAATGTATTTTGTGATAGAAATATTGGTAGCTCTTAAAGAAATAAGCAAGCCTCGAATCAAAAGATGAACAAAATTTTGAAACGAGGTTGTAGTGAGAAGAGTGGGAACGAACTCAAGTTTCTATGATATAAAATAGCTTTAAATACATCTGTGAAGCGCCATGAGACTTAAATTTTGTCCACAAGTCTTCGCCCTCATGTCCATGTTTATATGGTGTACTATTTCTTTGGCTCATTCCAATGGGTAGAATAACAGGCCTAAACAATAGAAATCTAAACTGCCCCCCCCCCCATCTAAACAATCCCAGTCCACTTTTCTTTATAAAAACAATTTTAAAAGAACACGAGCCTCAAAATTGGTCAAAAGTTATGAAAAATTGTGTGATTTTGAACAACATTTATCCAAAAAGCGAGTAGTTTTTTTCAATCTAGTCATTCTTCGGTGAATTTTCAAACATGTCGGCAAGTGAAGGATGCCTCACTAGCTTTTTTGGCAAATGGGGTCTGTTGCCTCTAGGGAGGTGCGCCATAGGTAGCAATTGTACTGCTTACACCCTAGTTATCTAAGGACAAATCAAGAACAATCCAGCCTCAGAATTTTGAAAAAAGTATGAACAGCCAGCCTGAACTTCAATTTACTAGTTCTAATAAGAAAAAGAGTGTACTGAGTTGACAGGGACAATACAGGGTCCATTTTAGTTTTCTGTCGCGTCCCTACAATTCTGTAGGCAGAATTGAATATCAAAAGCATCGCAGCCCCAAATGAAATTATTTGCCTGCGCATTTTATAGATAAATCCCTTTTGTCAAAGATATAAGAGGGGATTCATAATAACAAATAAAACAGTATGTCTTGATGCGTAATTATGACCACCAACTTGATATGTTGCTGATTTCTGTTTTTTTCAGATATCAATGAATGCTCAAACTCTGAATTAAATGAATGTTCGCAAGTTTGCATTAACAATGGTGGAGGCTACAATTGCTCTTGCCAACAAGGCTATACATTGCAAGGACGAGGCACTTGCATTGACATAGATGAATGCTTAACTGCCAACTGTCACACCGAATCAACTTGCACCAATACAAATGGAGCTTATAGCTGTAATTGCAATTCAGGCTTTGTCGGTAATGGTACAATATGTGAAGATGACGACGAGTGCCTAAAATCACCTTGCCATTCCAATGCCACATGTTCAAACTCCTTTGGGTCATTCAATTGTTCATGCAAGCAAGGTCTCATTGGTAATGGCACCGAATGCGAAGACGTAAATGAATGCTTAGAAAGCCCTTGCCACGACAATGCAACATGCCTCAATACCTTTGGATCCTTTCAGTGTACATGCAAGGAAGGCTTTTTTGGCAATGGCACCGAATGCGAAGACGTAAATGAATGTTTAGAGAGCCCTTGCCACGACAATGCAACATGCCTCAATACCTTTGGATCCTTTCAATGTTCATGCAAGGAAGGCTTTTTTGGTAATGGCACCGAATGCGAAGACGTAAATGAATGTTTAGAGAGCCCTTGCCACGACAATGCAACATGCCTCAATACCTTTGGATCCTTTCAATGTTCATGCAAGGAAGGCTTTTTTGGTAATGGCACCGAATGCGAAGACGTAAATGAATGCTTAGAAAGCCCTTGCCACGACAATGCAACATGCTTGAATACCTTTGGATCCTTTCAATGTACATGCAAGGAAGGCTTTTTTGGCAATGGCACCGAATGCGAAGACGTAAATGAATGTTTAGAGAACCTTTGCCACAAGAACGCAACATGTCAGAATATGTTTGGAACATATCAATGTACTTGCAAGGAAGGCTTTAGTGGCAACGGCATCGCATGCGTAGACGTAAACGAATGCTTAAAGAACCTTTGCCATGACAACGCAACATGTCAGAATACCCTTGGGTCGTTTCAGTGTAATTGTAAGGAAGGCTTTAGTGGGAACGGAACCGCATGCGTAGACATAAATGAATGTTTAGATAACCCTTGCCATACTAATGCAACATGCACTAATGCTCTTGGATCTTTCCAATGTACATGTGCAACTGGGCTATCTGGCAATGGTTTTTCTGGTGAAAGCAATTCATGTTATGATGAGAATGAATGCTTTCAGAACCCATGCCATGTTGATGCTACATGTTTTAACACAGTAGGGTCGTTTGAATGCATTTGCAACATTGGATTTAAAGGTGATGGAAATATATGTGAAAAAGAAGTGGTTTCGACTAACGTCGAATCAAGCTGTAAGTTTTCCAAAATTTTGGAAAATGTAATGTAACTTGCCTATTGACCATTATAGCTACTGTGCTCATATAAGCTCTATAGTGACAACCACATTATCGATAGGTTCTATTGTGGCAATCACAATAATCGTGAATATCAAAACCACCGTGATTATATAGGCTAAGTATGATAATAGAGGCCCTTAAAGTGGCAATCACCTTAATCGTCAACCTCAAAATCACCGCGATTATACAACCTCTATCGTGGCAATCACAATAATCGTAAACATCAAAACTACCGTGATTATATAGGCTGTATATGATTATTTAGGCTCTTACAGTGGCAAACACATTAATCATAAAAATCAAAACCATCATGACTATAGGTATATGTAGTCCCATTAATGATGATTATATTAATCAAACGCATCAAAATAAAGGCATAGTGTGAAAAAGCTCTTACTTTGAATATATAATCACCCATTAAATACAGTTCATGAAATAAAACTTGGATCGTTATTTTATCACAGCGTTGCAAATGCCAACAGTGACATATGGTTCAAAAGCAACTCAGTTTAAGGATGTAGAGCCTACGACAGTTTCAGTGATGACATCAAATGTACAAAATTGTAAGTATTTTTTGTTGATTCATTAAAAAGATTTAGGGTGCAACAGCGGTAATGTATTAACAAGGCATTTCATGCCACCAAAATTATATTAAAGTTTCGAGCAGAGATTTTCACTTTAATTGGTGAAATCTTATGTAAGAAAGTATGGGCCTATATGTGAGATCTATTACGATGAATCTAGAATGATTTTATATGTACATTTGGTAGGGAAGCGACTTTCAGAATAGGGAAAAGAGATTCATTTGCGTAAAGTAGTATGAATTCAGAGGACATAAGGATATAGAAATAACTGTCTAGGTTATTTCTCTTTACCTTAGGCAAGCACCATTTATAACAAAAAACATACGCAGAATCATAAAGCATGAGAGATGATTTTATTCTTTATGATATATAGTAGGCATTACGGAAGATATATGACATATTCTGCACTGTACAAACGCATCATGTGTAGAATATATCTTATATGGTTCAGAATATGGGATATACAGAATGGTTATCTTTTTTATCGCATTGATCAAGCATCATGGTCACGAGCGATAGGACAAAGGCACGTCATGTTTTGGTTTATAATATCGGCCCTTTTGTTGATTCACATGAAACAATTTTATACAGTCGCTTACACAATGAAATTTCCTTTTCATACCGTTTTGGCTCAACGTCTGCACTTAAAACCCACTTCGTGAGCATCTTTGTATAAACGTTAGACTAGGGGCAGTATGTTGAACCTTTTCGTTGAATACAGTATAATGTAAACAGCTGACAAATGTGGTATGCTATCTCACAGCATTTACATGAATATGTTGAGTGCAAACAGATGGCCAATATGGCATGCATACTAAAACAAATGGAAGTTTAATATTTGTGATAAATTCCCAGCCATTGAAGACAATTGAATTTTAATAACGTTGTTTTTGCTGCTTAATGTTTAGAAGGGAAAATAAAATAAAGATAAGTCGAAATTTTCTTTCAGTAATTTAAGCAGTTTAGAGAAAAATTGCTGATGAGGGATTTTGCATAAGAAGCAATCGTGTGAAGATGAAAAAAATTGTACTGAATCTAAAGAGGTTCTAAGACGCTGTTAAACGTGCGTTTTTAACATTTGATAGATAGAGCTCATGCAAATTGAATTAATTTTTTGATAAGGTATTTCTATAGAAAGTTTTAGCAGCAGTACTAGGTCACTTTAAACCTCAGATTACATAAAATTAGCCTGGAGAAGTATGACGTCACAAATTATGGTAACACACAAAAATATTCCTTCTCTCGTTGCTTGCTTTGCACCAAATTGATGACGTCACAAAAATCTGTTCTGAAAATTTTTTAAATTTGAACCCATAAATCGAAAGAGCAGCAAGTTATTCCTCTAGATATACAAAATCCGTTGATTTTATTACAACTTGGCTGAGACATGGCTACAAGAGCACAGGCTCTTGCTCCATCAGGCCTCTGTTATTTGGTCTTGGTTCATAACTTTATGAACCAGGCCAGAATTACAGTAATTCGTAAGCAAACTTTAAATCTTCTATTGGCCATATCTCACCAAATTTTATACATATCTACCTGATTTTGCATATCACTAGTTAGTATGTTAAATGGCCCCGAATCGTAAGAAGAGTTGCCAAGTTTACTTAATTTGCTTTCATTTCTTTTGATGACTTCATAACAAAGTTAAACAAATATTACAAAAATAAATTTCTTATGAAATATTAATTTTAACTAATAATGTGAACATCAGTATTCTCGACACAACCTATCGCAAAATTCTGCAAAAATTAAAATTAAAGGCTGTACAGCAAGAAAAAATATCTAGAAAGTAAAATTCGAATTTCGTGTCATAAATAAACTTCTTTCTTACTTTAATAAAGCTTAGAGAAAAATTAATAGTTAAAATAAAGTATAGGGGCTTTTAAGTATGAGTATGCATTTAAAGCAGATCATTAGAATGGCAAGAGTAGCTTATAGGAATTTGGAGTAGAGAGCGTTGCTACAATGAAGAGTATGAAACAGTGAGCGCTTTTCCCCCTGAAAACCTGGATTTTATCTCTTATTTGATTAGATGACCTGACTAAACTCTTTTCCAGATAGCCACCAGATCGAGGTAATTTTCAAAATCGAAGACCCGGTGATTGAAGGAATGTTATTGAACCTGACAGATAAAGACATCATCAACGAAATTTTGAATCCAATTTCAGATCTCTATTCCAGTTTGAAAAACGCAATCAAGACAGAGGTACTTAATTTGGTTACTTTTAGCTGTTACTTACGGAGCCGAACGTGAAAAGACAGGCAAACCTCAACTCTAACAAGCTTATGATTAAATAATTGATAAAATGATCCGTCTCCACTGTTTACTATGGCAGAGACGTACGAACGACCTCATATTTTTACATCCAAAATGTAGGCCCAAATATTGACAACTCTCTTAACGATCTTAACATTTGTTTGCTACTAAATTTGTCAATTGAGCAAGTACTGTCATTTTTCAGACCCCATACATTTTCAAAAATGGAAATTCGTATGGAGCACATTAAACTTCCTAAATGAATTTAACAGAAAAGGGGGCATACACTGCCAACATAGAATATTTTGAGAACAATTTTGGATGGAAGGCTCTTCGTAGGCATAAAATATAACAATAATAATTATTATTATTCTCTATTACTATAATTATTTTTTTTCTTTTAATTCGAAAGATAAGTCGTCAATTTTACACTGCCTAATTTTACTATATTTTTATTATCATTATTATCAAATTCTATAAGGTTGGTTTTATACATAGTTATGATTTGAATTTTTGCAAATTTTACATTTTTTAATAGAATAAAGTTTATTGAGATCATTTTCAAATTTTGCTTTTCAGCTCGAAAATAAAATACTTCCAGAGTTGGATAACGTCACAGCTATCACAGTGGTGTCGATAGGGTAATAAAAATTCAAATTTGCTGTTATTCCCAAGCAGATATCCCAAGCAAATATCTGCGAATTTTCTCCTTACGCCTTCCTTTGAGCACCCAGGAGGTTACTCTTAAAGAAAATGACGGGGATGTGCCTGCCAGAAAATTTTATGACCCTGTCCTGAGACAATATTCTGACAAAAGACCTGGAATAAAATTCTTAAAACATGAAACATAAAAAAATGATATCTTCAATCGGCATACCTGTGCAGGAAAAAAAAGAGAAAAGTATAATCCTGTCCCGAAATTTTCAGGTTAAAGTTAAACCCTGTTGGCAGGCACATCACATCCCCAGATAGTCAGAGTATTCAGTGAAAATTTACAAGGTCACGTTCGACTGTAATCTCCCCCACCCCCCCCCCTTGTAGATGCAGCCAGAGAGGAATCGTAAAAGGTTAAAGGCAATCTGTCACGACGTTCATTGGTTACAAGAAAAAAGGGATTTTTATTGTTTCCAGTCCCCCTTTAATTTATCGCATTGTAAAAAATATGGCATAGCGCTGGAATCGTGTTTAGGCTATTGTTCCAGCTATTGTTCTCGTTAACTAATCCACAAAGAGACAGATTGCCTTTAATTTTGTCCAAGTTATAAGTACTAGAACACCTATTTGGTCTTTCAGATGGTGGGAAATATTCTTTTGCAGCTTTGAAACTGAATCTTTTAAATTACAAAAATTTCCAAGAGTGGGTTAAAAGATAATCTAAATTTGATGAATAACTCTCTATCTATCAAATTGATATTTATACAATTGGCAGTTTTTCGGACGATTCGAAAATGCCATTATTTAAAGAAGAAGGAAACCAAAAAATAATCTAATGCACGGGAAAGTTTTTGCTTTGTATTGAATTCTTAGCAATTAGTTGCAAAGTTTAAACTTTCTTGATGCTTGAAAAGTCTCATTGCAGAGACCAAAATTGGTTTTTTTCAGGTTGAGGGGAAGGAACGGGGTGTAGTTTGGGGGGAGGCAAAACTCACCGACAAAAGCATCAATTTAGCATAAGCTCCCTCTTACAAACCCTGCAATTTTTGTCACTGTCTCATTTATTATGTTTTGATCTCAGATCACCGAGCATTGGTTTTTTGGAAGTGAAAACAACGTTTTTATATAAAACCAACATAACGTACGAAAACACTGTAATAGAAAGTTCGATTATGAAGACACTGAATGGCAGCCTTGCAGGTGCGAGAATCATGACTATGAAAGTAGGTGCCAGAGGTAAGCAAAATTCTTTATAAACTTAACACTGAATACATTTAATGAATTTCACTAGTTGGCATCAAAATACAGGAAAAGACATTCACACACATCAATGCAATATAATACATTGTAGAGTGGAGCGAAAATTTGACGCAATATTACAATGGGAGAGGACTTTTGTGAACTGCATACAAGCAGCCAACGGCTACATCTCATCGCCTTGTTTATTGAAGCTTCTATCAACAAAAGCTTAAACTCTAATTTTTCCTCTCAAACAAATTTGTTCGCAATTAAAAAAAGGTGCCTTTAGAAACTTTTGCAGTAGGTAGTTTGAAAAACTTGTTTGAGAACGTAATTGCCATTGAGAAATCAAACCCAATCGAGAATGGAATATTTCTTTAAGATGATTTTAGCTCATCTGTGCTTTGCAGTTTTTGGTTCAGATAAAACATTTCTTCACTCAAACTTTTCAAAATGATTCAAAGACTGAAGAACTAAAAATGCTGTATTACGCAACAATGTTTCCTTATATAAATCAGATAATAAGATTTATTGGCTATCAATAAGTATATTTACTATTAACTCAGTGAAGAACACATGAAACAGCTGGTAGCCTATTATATTATATAATAACAGCTTCAAAAGAATAAGATTACAGTTAAGTTTCAAGGTAGAACAAATAAAGAGAAATTTTCCAGCACAAAATTCTATGGTTGCTGAGACCCATGTAGCAGAGGTCATTATATCAAAAATTACTAAGGCAAAGGTCAAAATAGCAAAGGTCGCTGCAGATAAGATCACTGTTGCAAACTCGTTGTCGCAAACGACCTTTTTACCAAGAACACAGCAACCAAGAACGTCTCTTGTAAAAAGGGATTGTACAACAAAAAACATCGCAACTTAACAGTTTTATGAACTTACCCTAAAGCAGAACTGCATAAAATTATTACGCTAACTCCCATTTTACAAAAAACACTGTGGGTGAGTTAAAGTATGCAATGCATTTTAAAACTTTATAATTCTTCATTGCTAACAATAGAAACTTAAGCTGATATATTTTAAGATCCATGCTGAACCATTTCTAAAATGCTTCTATCTTTTTTTAGTTGGTAGCCGGTGCAACGACGCGTCTTGCAACAATGCTACGGAAATTGAGTTCAGTAAAAAAGGTGCAATATTTTTTCCCTTTTGTTGTAACTTTACAAATACTGGAAAATACAGAATTTCAGTTGACTGCATGCTAATTGGCCCGGAGCAATTATAGGTGCAGTACACACAGAAAAATCGGAAAATGTTTTTCCAACTTCAGCCCAAACTTTTACATCAAATCGTTTTGCCAGTTTTCATCATTTTGTTATGTCAATTTCGCTACATGGAACATAATACTACTTCCAATATTTCCTAGGCCTACCCTGGGTAGCCTAGGCCTAACATGATTCACCATATTGACACAGGATTCCCAAGTCGAAGCCTCGCCTATCAAAAAAAAATCAACCAAGCCTTTTTATTATTCACTCTCTTAAAAACAGGAGATAAACATTATTTAAGTGAGCTACCATTGCTTTGTAGCATGGATTCATTTAACAGCAATACCTTGCACCATAAATTTATCAAAATTACTATCAGATCACAACAGGTGTCTAAGGCTAAAGGACACAGGGGTTCCCTTTTTGACTATATCCAGGGAAGTCTGCACTCAAAGAAGGCAATAGGGGCAAAGCGCAAAAGGGCAAAACAATAACAAAACTGGCGCTGAATTTTGCTTAATTTTGGAAAGGCAAGGGGGCCATCCTGCTGCCCCTCTGGCACAGGCACAGGCACCCTTGACCAACAGACGATATTTCCCCCTGTTGTGAAAACCCTTTACAAGGACCTCGAAAAACCAGACACCTCACTACATCGGAACTAGCTTTGGCTTCCCCAGTTCAATTTCAAAGTTCTTAAGCGGTAAATTATAATTAACTTAGAAAAATACAATCATCAATTACATAATTTGGGTTGGTGACTGGATGATTAAAAAGAGCCTCCGAGTAACCCCCTAGTATCACAAAATTTGAACATAGCACGGAAAAGCAAATTCATAGCAACGTCGGTTTGGTGTATAAACGTCGGATCAGAAGTATTGTGAGACGAAAAATGGTGCGTTTGATTGGCTCATTGCTGCTGACCTCTCACCTAGTTGAAGAACCACACTGGCACCGTGCACCATTCTAAAAATGGATTGGCTGAATAGGGCATGACCGACAGTTTTTGAGGCCACGTCCTTAAGAACGCCGGAAAACGCTCCATTTAGAAAATATTTTCTTTTTTCCACTTTTTTTATAAACAGTCCGATTCAGAGAAGATATCAATTACAATAAAGATAGATTTAACAAAATAAGACACCAAGAAAATGAGCAAAAAGGGTTCCCAGCCAAGACGAACTGCTACGACTTAGGATCCGTTCCAAAGTTGCGTCAGAGTAAACTTTTTTAACATTTTCGTACCTATTATTGCAAAAAGTGAAATGGCTGCGCGGTGCCTGGAGCCACATTAATTTAAATCCGCATCTGGATATGATTTGCTACTGGCCTTTAATGTGTCGGTCGAAAAATACTTTGGTATGCTCTATTTCCGCTCTTCCCTGCTATCTTCAAGTTTTTACTTTGTTTGATAAGTCCTTATCCAAAAATAACTGCTTACTTTGTTTTTCAACTTTAAGATGAAATTATCTTTCGACTTTGGCTTGATTTTCCAGGCTCTGATAATATCAGTTTGATAATTGGAGCATGCATTGCTGCCTCGGGATTGTTTCTTTTTGGCTTCATGCTGTGCAGGAGCAAAAAGGGACAGAATTTCAGGAAGCAGACCTTTGGGAGTTTTTCTGGGAGAAATTCTGTTACCCCTTCAGAGCATGCACTTTCAAAGCTAGGGACAGAGTCGAGTTCAATCTGCAAAGAAGCTGACGACAACGGCTCCTTGTATTTGGCTTAGGTTTCACGTCATTCTTGGAGCCCCAGTGTAGAAAAACCTTGCAATTTAGCTGCAAATGGACTTGTTTTGTATTTGGTTGTGTTTTAGAAACCGAATTTCTTTAGGAGGGGGGGGGGGGGGGGGGGTTGGTGGCTAGGGATGTTTAGCCCTTCCTATTTTTTGCAAAGGTAAAGGTTTTAGCAAAAATAGAAAATAATAAACGAAAAGAAATAGAAAAAAAGAATAGCAGATAATGCAGTAAATAGGGCGGAAATAATATTGCTTTACTGCATTTATTATTTGTTATTATTGAAAAACTTTCATAGGTATTATTTCAGTCAAGTCATTATTTGATTGCCAAAATCCAGTCCAGGGCCGCTGAGAGGTGGCAAGTCACTCCCATTGAAGATAAATTTAATTAAACGTAGCAAAAGTATGACTAAAAAGTAGTAAACAGCTTCAAACGTTTGCAAGAAAATGGTTGCAAAAAATATTCTGAAATCAAACGTTTGCAAGAAAATGGTTGCAAAAAATATTCTGAAAGGTATCGTAAGTATTAAAGTAATGGAAGCATAAAAATTTCTGCCAGCTTTGATCGCGGGGTCATTGTCTTACTGCTTTGCTGCTTTACTGTTTTCCTATCGGCGGCCTTGCCAAAATCTCGTTTGCAAAAACGAGTACCACTATAATCATGGGCAGTTTAAATCGTTATGTTTTTTAGTGCGTTTCCAAAGTTTGGTTTTTAGTCAAGTAAAGCTGCAAGCCCCAACACAAGTAGTTCTTGGCACCGCCCTTGAGATGCTTCACTAACAACTCATGATGAATTAGGCATATCTTTTAACTATCCCTAACAGACTTCAAAATAAACAACTGAAAAACTTACCAACAAATATCAGTTTGGCATCTCCAAAAAACCAGTATCTAATCTCGTTTGTCCGTAGGATTAAATAGCAGGTCATAAAAGATTCTCAGTGAAGATACTTCTAGAATTCCTCGTGTGAAATTCAATCATGAAAATTCTGCACCATCTGACCATCCCCAAGAGATACGCCATCACACTTTGGGAATAGAAATTGTCTTTGCAAACAATGGGTTTTTTTATCAAGGGGAATTAGGAATTCTAGAAACTGGGGCCTGGCGTACACTAGCGATTGCGTCACTAGCGATTACGTATATGGCCAGCAATAGGGGTTTATATTGTCTTGTAGCCATTTTCGCTGTCCGTGTAGCTGAAATAATCGATTTTGCTGTAAATGACGATGAACAAATATCATATATCGATGTTTGTTGAATTAAGGGATAACTATATCTAAAATGGCGCATTTTAAATAAATAGCAATGTAAACGTAGACTTTTTTATGTTTAATGTTTTTTTTCATTATGAGCGTTACCCAAAGCCCTCCTATTATGAGCGTTACCCAAAGCCCTCCTATTATGAGCGTTACCCAAAGCCCCCCTATTATGAGCGTTACCCAAAGCCCTCCTATTATGAGCGTTACCCAAAGCCCTCCTATTATGAGCGTTACCCAAAGCCCTCCTATTATGAGCGTTACCCAAAGCCCCCCTATTATGAGCGTTACCCAAAGCCCTCCTATTATGAGCGTTACCCAAAGCCCCCCTATTATGAGCATTACCCAAAGCCCTCCTATTATGAGCATTACCCAAAGCCCTCCTATTATGAGCGTTACCCAAAGCCCTCCTATTATGAGCATTACCCAAAGCCCTCCTATTATGAGCGTTACCTAAAGCCCCCCTATTATGAGCGTTACCTAAAGCCCCCCTATTATGAGCGTTACCCACTACGAGATTTGACCTGTCGGCCATCTATTCGCATATCTTTTATGTGAAAGGGTCAGGATACACATCCCCGTCATTTTTCTAAGTACCCAAAGAGGGAATTTATTTGTGCTAGTTTTTTAGGGGTTAACGGTGATTTGTAAAACGACGACGACAATTAACTTTGTTAATTAAAATCAGTTAACTTTATTGTATGTTAAAAGCACAAACTAACTTTTTGGTGTGAATTATTGAGCGCTTCTTTCTAATAATTGATTAGTGTAGCTGTTTTTGATGATATGTAGATGTTTACTTATTTTGGTGGGTAGAAAGTAATTATATCATTATATGTTGTTATCATGTAGTTGTGTATAATAGTCAAACATCCATGTGGAAAAATTGTCCTATTTGTTGATGAGCTAAAACCTTCTAGATGCTTAAAGGAGAGTGTTCGAGCAGAAAGGCACAAAACCAGTTACAATTTGCTTCATGATAGCAAAAAATTTGATCAAAGTTTGATTAATAAAGATTCAATGTTTGTAAAAATATATTTGTTTATAATTCATCATCTAGAGAATGCAAATAATATAATTCGAAGTTATTAAATAGATTTATTATTTTCTAAATTTACAAATTATTCTACATAAGTATTAGCCTATACGTAAGGTTTCAAATTGAATTTATGCGCTGAATGGAATTAGATTCTCGTATTTACTTGAATAAACATGCATAAACTGCGATTGAAGACGCAAGAAATTCTAATTCGAAATTTGTGAAAACCTTCAAATTCTAACATTAAAATTCCAAATACCTAATCCTACAATAACGCTATAAATGGCTTTGAAAAAAGCAAACATTTAGTAAACTAAAGCTTTTCGTCTGACACTCTTCAGAGTTTAAAACGTCAGAACATAGATCGAAAACTCTACGCTAAGAAATATATATACCCAGTTGTGGATCGAAAAAGGCCAATCAGAAACACGAGCACATGACTGTAAAGGTTGACCAATCAGTGCCGCTTGCCTATTACGCTATAGTTATTCGTATTTTGTTGATACAAAAGGAGTTCTCACGTCACGGTAGCTGTGAACGAGAAATACAGTAAATCCCCTCTAAGAGGAAACTAAGAATTCAGGAACCTGCCGGATGCCTTTTTCCAAAGCAAAGAAACGCAAGCATGCGAAATAATGAAAATTGCAGAAAAAAATTTGAAAACTATAATAATGAGTTTATTTGTGAGAATATGAATAATCCCAAAAAATGTAGAAAACCATCAACAAACCCATCGAGGAATCTCCTATTCCCCCCTTTTTTATATAAACAATTTTTTATAACACGAACCTCAAAAATAGAAAAAGAAAAAGTTGATTTTGAACAAAGTTGTGAGATCCCTTGATATTTTTCATATTTTGCAAGACAAATATAGATAATTTGTAATTAATTTCTGCAAGTTGGCAACTTTGAATACAAACCCCGAAAACTCTTCATTACCATCTTTTAAATAATTTGTGCCTCGAAGAAAAATCGAAATGGATAATCTTAATATACGTTATTTTGACTGTTTGCTCCGCCCCCCCCCCCCAAGTGCAAGAAATATCTTTGCATAAGACCTTTTGACCCTGAAATGACCAAATATGAATCAAACATTTAAAATAGGAATCAAACAAGATCCTAAAAAGATTCCTAACAAGATCGAGCTGATTCCTAAAAAGCAGGTTCTTCTTTGCATTGAACGCAATTTTCATCATCTGTAATAAATTTAGTTTTGTTTAATATTCTTATCTAGATCTGGAGAGTATTCGTAAATATACTTGGAATAAACTACTCTGGAGGTCAACACGTATAACGCAAGTGTATCTATAATTAACCCAGTGACTGACAAAAGACCAAAACCAGAAACAAGATGAATTGCCAAGTTGAGCATCGAAAACTGCCCTAAAATAGAATAAAATAAGCTTTAATCTTTTAGTGGTAAAAAAATTGAAAATTGCTTTGAAAAAACAAGTATTTTGAAGCATACTAAAGCTTTTTGTCTGATACTATTCAGAGTATATAAGGTCAGAACATAGGTCGCAAATTCTACACTTGGAAATATATATCTCCAATTGTGGATCGAAATAGGCCAACCAGAAATTCGAGCACATGACTGTAAATGTTGCGAAACCAGTAGCGCTGGCCTATTTAAAATATTACCAGTTGAGAACTTATTTTCTTATATTTTCAAAATAGCATTTTTTTCATGTTTGTGTAGATCGAATCCAAAACTGCTAGATGGAACGACGATTGGGCTTTACTAATAACCCGAAACATGTCGCCATTATAGTTTTTTTGCACAATCTGGGAAATCCAGTATCTGGGTTTTCCATCTTCAGAGAGATCCTTTTAAGTTAAGTTCCGAGTCGAGTTTAGACTTGGAACAAAACATCAGTGCCCTGCGAGTTAACCTTTTGATAAAGTTGTTTTTCATGTATGTTTCTATAGCAATGAGTGATTTGAAAACTTTGATGAGGCCCAGTATGCCGGGGCAATACAATAGTTGTATATTGAATTTTATTCAAAATTCTGTTTAACAATATAATGTATCCTCGTTTCGTTGTCATTTTGCTTTGTCATGCCTATTACTTTTTGCTTGTAGAATATGTCAACAGAATGTATGTAGTCAAACTTTGGTAAGAATAGAGCACGTCTGAGTCGCATAAAACGTTATCTACGTCTTAAACAGCAATGTTGCTGCCGGAAATTAACCTAAACTGAAAAGCCAAAAAATTTAGAGGTTGGGGGGGGGGAGGGGGGTCATAGCGCTTTTTCTATATTGTATACAAAATGAATGTTTCAATCGTTCTGGCTTCCATGCCTCCTCAATATCAATTTCTTTACTTTCCATTTTTGCTAGGGTTAAATCGTCTTCCGATGTCTACCTTTTGCTTGAGTAGAAAAATCTAAAAAATATTGACTTTAAAGTAGTAAAATCTTACCAGCATTCATTGAGTTTTCAGTTATCAAGAGAGCTATTGCGGTCACACATGAATACCAATGTCAAAAAAGTAGTATCGGTTCAATCAAAGATTTGATCTTGGCAGAAATTAGCCATTATATTTTAGAACTTGCCCGATAAAAAGGAGGGGGTGCAGCCCCCCTTCGAAAAGCATAAGGGGACCGAACCCCGTGAGCCCCCTCTTCTGCAGCCCTGGAATTAACCCTTGTATCGATAACCATTTAACCACGCACAAATAACACGAAAGCTACTATAAAACGGTTAACTAGAAACGGTTAAACGGTTCGCTGGAACAACAGTTAAAATTCTTACCTATTTTTCCAGCTTGTATGAACTCAACACGAACACAGAATCTCTTTCTGACGACACGTCTTTGAACCATACTCATATTATGCACAGACTCGAATCGGTTTTCTTCGATAACCGGAATCTCCTGTTTGACTTTGTAGTCCGAGTACGGTATTCTCCTCACTATATAACGATATTCAGGAACTCTTCGAAAAAAAGAGAAAAACAATAGAAACATAATTTCCAAGGCTGTCATCTACATAGCTCGAATGCTTGCTCTCATATAGGACTGCGATAGTCGCATTGCTGACTACGTCACAAGTTTTTAGAACAGTGTTATGCTATGCCATCTAAAGACAAATTTGGAGTATTAATCTAGGGTAACTCGATTTATGTTGGAAAACCATAATACCGCAGAGAAGAGGCACACACCGAAACAGTGTCGGATAATTTGGGGCAAGGGTGTGAAAAGGTTGACCTCAAATGGTAAAATGTCTTTGCGAGAATATATCAAACTTCCTCGTAGAGTGCTAGCATCGAAAGAAAGTTCTAACAATCTACAAAATACTTTCCATCATTAGGACTTCGTTTCAGACTGGCTTTCCATACAGTCAAGACCCCAGCACAGGCAATGAAGCTTAAGTTTGAACATAATAGAAACTCTACTCACGTTGTTCCAAAAAGAACATTTGCCGAGTTTGCATAATGAATGAGTACACGAAGGACAACTCCGTTTTCTCTGAAGGATCTTTTTCTAGAATTTAGTGCATCAGTTTTTTCGTCTAAACTCTGAATGCCTGCTGCTCTAAGAAATTCAATAAGTCGAATCTTGTCAGCTTTGTGTACATCACCTCCATTTAACCTTTAAACCAAAATGAAAGAGATAATCACGAGAAAGTTAGTCAAACTCGAAAACTAAACTCATATAGGATGTCCGAGTTAATAATAACATCTTTGAAAATCTTAAGCTGCAAACTCCACATTCAATGATTTAACAAGCAGGGACGGATTTACCGGGGCTGTAAGGTGTGTGATACACCCCCAATATTGTTGTGCCCTTCCGGTAAATTTTGCCTTGATTAATGAAAAAGCACTTTTTTGGAGAAACATTCAATAGTAACAAAATAATGCAAATATTAACTTTATTTATCTTCTTATCTTCTTTATCTTTATCTTTTAAAAGTGCGTTTTCATCATTTTCCAGTCACCGAAAACGTGTGGCCCCAAAATCCAATCATTATCTTACATCCCCTCCTCCAATCCTTGCCACGTAAATCCGTCCCTGTTAACATGTTTCTTAAAATATATCCAGTGGCGGCGGCAGCTACTGCAGAATAGGAGGGTAATGGGCGTGGTCAGTGAGACCACGCCCCTTTTCTCCTTTCAGTGCTTTGTACGAGGTTAATTTTCCTTAAGAAATATGAACTACCCCTACCAAGCGCTTTTTAATCCGTTTTTAGAAGAAATATGTAGACCATCTTTTGACGAAAGTGGGGGTAATGACCCCCCCATACTCTCTTGGCGCCGCCACTGAATGTATCAAGTTGTTAACTCTTTCAGTGGTCTAATCAGCTGGGATCTGCACGAAACTGATTTCAATGTACAGTAGACCAGGGCGTGACAGAAATTTTTTTGAGGCCACGCCAACTAGAACGCCGGAAAACGCCCCTTTTTCAAAATACTGGCTTATTTTTACTGGGGTTTTATAAACAATCTGTTTCAGAGAAGATATCAATAGCTATAAAGATAGATAAAATTAGCTTGGGGATAATAAAACAGCAAGAAAAACACCTAGAAAATGAAACAGAAAGTGTTCCCAGTAAAGAAAAACTGCTACTCCTTGGGAGTATACAATCCAATATGGCGCTAGAGCATAATTAGAATAAACTTTCCAAAGAGTTTTCTAACCTATTATTGCAAAAAAGTGGAGGGGCTATAATAGTCCCTGCTAGCCCAATGGCTGCGCGGTACCTGCAGTAGACTCCAGTTGTTGAGTAGCTTAGCCATTGGTGTGACTTAAGCTGAGTGACTATAAGCGGAGTCGACTGTATCGTATTGTATTGTTAATTTGTGTTACCTTTTCTTGCTATATGCCAATTGAATAACATTTAATAATAATAAGAAGAAGCTTACTTTCTTTCCTCACCGCTTGCTGACATCAACCAGCCATTCATTTTGCGATGAGAAAGGGCTAGCGGGTCTTCTGATGACTCAAGTGCAGAAATGGAGTGCTCGATTTTAAATAAAACATGTTCTGGATTTCGGGTAAAGTAAGAGTCTTCTCTACAAAAGAAAAACAAAATTTGTCGAACGTATCATGTTTGCATTTGTTAAAAAACATCGCAAACAGAAAACCGCATTAAATGTACGCTTGGTAGCAGTACTAACATTGAAGGAATTTAATTGGTTGGGATCAAAAGAATAAGCAATGAAACAAATTGCTCTTGCGCTGCGGGAAAAGAAAATTGATAAAGACACAACCAGAAAATATTTGGCAAAATTTATAAGTTTAGAAACAAAATCATGCTTCTTCAGCATGCTTATAATTTCGAAGACCCTAATTATTGGAAAAGCAATTGGGCCTTCATGGATCATTCAGAGGCAAACAGCATTAGTTGCTCTGCTTTTGACTGGTACTGAAAGAACATTGAATTCACCATAACTGATAACATTTTGATTGCTGGAACTTGATGTTTTTCTCAATGATTTTGGCATAGGGCCTAATCGATCATATTTCATGGCACTGCCAGAGAAAAAAATATTTACATCACGGTGACAGGTGTGGGGTTTCATTCTGGTGTTTGGTTTGAGCCTTTATTATTACTGGACAATTAACCACGACAATAGCCGATGATCCTTGATGACAGTAAATAACAATTTTTATTTACATTAATGACAATGACTTTAAGAAAACGAATGTGACATTAGCTAAGTACTGGGAACTTCTATTTTTAGTCAACTTTTAGAAATTCTAAAGAATCACACAGACTTCTTTGAAAGTTCCTTAACTCCCTGCTACTGAGATTTTTAAACAGCCGGGTGACAACAAATGAATCAGCTGGAAGAATGCTGTAATCTCGCTACAAGAGTTTCAAGTGTCTTTTGTGTGGATGTTTTAGGCATTACCTTTGTCTGAAAAAGTTTGCCTTTAGATCTGCACGTCAAGTTTCTGATAGGCTACTCAGACCTTGTATCAATTATGACTTAGTGAACTGTTGATTTAATGCTAAATGACATATATCTCTGTTAATTAACACTCTCTTTATCATCCCTGTGTTTGCAATTGTAGCACTCAGCTGCAAAACATACAGAGATGCATGAGACATCACAAATTATGTCAAACTAGAGAAGTCATGCACTTCCAACCAGTGGCAGACACTTGGCCAAAATATTGGGGGGGGGGGAGAGGGCGAGTCTACTGTTTTGATTAGATGACATTACATTTGCCCATTGTTTAAGAACAAAGGTCCTTTTGCCAGTCCCCTTTGCCCCCCTCCAACTGTTTGCCACTGCTTATACCAGACATCTTGCCTGTTTAGGCTATTTTTCTTCTTCTTCTACACAAACTATTGAAGTATCACTCTTAGGAAAAGAAAATTTACATATTCACATATCTACCTGAGCACAATATAATCTTCCATGTCTTCTTGCTTGTGCCCAGTCTCTTCCCATCTTTCCTTAATAAAAGTTGCAATGGTAACTGCTTTTGATTCAACAGGCCAGTTCAAAGCAAGACCATCATATGTTCTGCAGGGTTTGCAACGGTTGTCTTTGGATTCTGAATAGAAGAACATAGTTTTGCGTACGAGACATTGAAATTTCTTACCTAAATTTGAAACCAATAACAATATCTTAATAAAAGAGTAGAACCATTGCTAGCGTTTTTGCCAGAGGAGATGTCCAGGTCTAATTAAGAACAAAATGGGTGGCCAATCATTTATTTGCTAAACAAGTTTGAAAATTTGCCAACAAAGGTCCCTAGGTGAAAAAACTCCCCATCTTTTAACAAAATTGTTTCCAAGGAGTGGGATTTCAAAACCCCATAGTGTAGACCCTGGAAGTGAGTTCATTTTCTTCAACCACCTTCACCTGTAAAGAAAATTATGGCCAAATTTACATTTACCAAGTATGTTACACCATTTAACTTGTTATGTCAAAAGGTTTGATATATCACTTCTTTCCATTTTCATTCAAGAAATGTCAGATCCATATCAATACTAATTTAAAGTTATATCTACACCGCTTATTCCTAAATACCAAAATTTATCAATATGTGTAACAAACTTAGAAATATTCTAGAAAGTTTGACCTATCAATGGAGCTTCTAATTATTACTGACAATCATTACTTTCTGGGCTTTCATAAAAGAATCTATGCATAGAAAACGTTTTTTAATACAAAGTGAAACACAATGTATTTATACACTGTATAAATATATCCAAGGAATAAGGTGCAAGTCTAAAACAGCCAACCGGGCACTTACCAGCTATATTGTTGTTGGTGCAGCAGTACTCATTCTCTAGTTTTAAATGACCTTCACGACCATGTAAAGGTGGAGAATTAGTGATAATACGAAAATTTCCTGACGGTGAATGGTCAAACTAGAAATAAGAATTGCAGAACCAATAAAAAAATTGCAAACTAGATAATAGAATTGCAAAAAACTGACTTTTAGACCCATTGTCACAATAACCTGTAAATATAGACCTAGTCTTCTTAGCCCTCTACCTTTAAATCATTCATTTTCTTTCATGTTACATTACCAGGCATTTTAAGCTAAGATTTTCAGTATAAAAAGGCCTCATTCAAAATTTTTCTAAAATTATGGCAAACTGCAAATTCCTTCATTCAGCACTCAAAAACAAGTTAATCTGGGACATTTTTTAATGGAGGCGCAGACTGGAGACTTTGTTTCTTGCGCGGGCAAGTTCATGCGCCTGACTGCATGCATTCCTGAAATCATGCATTTGAAAAAACTTGCATTGTTAATAGTCTAAAATGTAATCAAATAGGGACTTTGTATGGCCAATATGCAAAAGTGCATGGATGGAACATTTGAGTAATATATTGCGGGCATGCGACAAAGTTTCCAGTCTGGATGGGGCTAAGTTAGGAAGTGAGCTTACACTAAAATGTAGGCTTTTGAAAAATAATCTAAATCCCCCATTTAAATAGCTCAATTCCCAAACTTGAGAAATCAAACAATTTGCAACTATGTTGTTAATCGGTATATATTTGACATGAGCAAATTGTTCTGATTTTGTATCTGATCTATTTGATACAGATATTACTGTTCATAAAGTGCAGACAAATTTGATATACTCATCCTTTTTTCCTTCTTTCAAATACTTTTTTGCCTTCTACTTCTTAAACAATTTTGCTTCATATATGATATTGTTTTTCTGTGGCGTTATTGTTGATGCAGAAATTCCCTAGAAGCTTTGTTGCAATATAATCTTCTTGGCTCATTAACCAAATATACATATTGAATTCGTTCAACAAGGAAGTATTTGGAAAAGTTTTTTATGAAATCTCAATCATGATAGGGTTTAAAGAAACACAGTAAATGGCCAGGGACGTTTCTGAATCAGACTTCCTCTTATCAGGCTTTATTGATATATCGTATTAGTACCATTCAACAAAGTTTTATACCTGTAAGTACGCTTTATTCAAAACGATCTGTACGAATGTGTAGATCAGGATTAATGCTGCAACAGCATAATAAGCAAAACCAAGTCTTTTGTCTTTGATGACTACATATTTGTAAGTAACGTAGTGGAACATCGACATCTTGAGCAGATATGTAGCTGAAATCACAAGGGGATAGTCCCGATGGCCTCTTCTTGGTTTGGGGATCCCGCGAAGTCTCTCTTCCGATTTCATCGTGAGTGGCCAATGATACGTGTGGGACCAATGAGGTGGAGTGGGACACAATTGGAATTTTGCGAGACGCGATCAACGACAAAACCACTTTGGAAACTTTGTGCTCTCAAATTTTGCTGAAAACTTGCTAAGTTGGTATCCTTATAGCGATGTTATCATTTCTTTACGTTTTAAATGTAATAAGGGCTTTGATAAATCTATTCCATCAAAAATATACTTTTAGAGTCAAAATTGAAATTGAAAATCAATTGGGCATAATGACGAAAGGAAACTTGTGGATGTTGCTTAGAATTTTCCTTGCATCTGCACCCATGACATAGATATTGCAATCAAACAGCTCTGCAAAAATGCCTTGGGTGGGATAATTGCAAGTTAAAAAATAGCATAACATTATAGTATAAAAGGGCAAATTTTTCCAACAAGAATATTTGGCAATAAATTGGGTCACCACATATCTCCAAATAGGCGCATATTGCTACTCAACCCCTTCTTTCTCAAAGCAAAACAATCAGGGAGTGCCCCACGCATTTACTTCGGAAGAAAAATCATGATTTATTTGTAGCGAAAATTCAGCTCAAAACAGTAACAAATTAGACAAGCTACAACGAAGACAAAATTTATTTTAACAATCTTTCATTTAAGAAGAAAGGTCAATCTCCAGTGAAAATACGATTAATAAGCAATAACAGTTTCTAAAGATACTTTATAAAATAATCGATGTGCATGCGGGTATCGAAGGTCCCTTTTGATCCATGTTATCGTAAGACCCCGTAGGTATGCAATTCTATTACGTCATTAGCCCCAGATCCTTAGCTGATCCAGAAACTTCGGGGGTTTCTTTTTGTTGCTTCCATTTTTTAACATTATAATGCCTAAATCATGAGTTTGAGAACAAAATTGAAGAATAATTTTTCCTAGAATAATAACTTCCGGAAAAATTATAATAGCAAATGATTTGTAATAGATTGGGGAGGAATTATGTCTTGAGCAGAATAAATCGTTGCTGGCAGAGAGATCGGGCACCTACGATACACGCGACAGCAACAAAGGGGATTGTAGTAAAAAACCTAGCAGGCAGACCAACGACCGAGATACCGGGGGTCGGGGGCTCCCCCAAAAAGACTTAGCTGGTATAAGTAAAATACTTTTATTTTGTAATATATAGCTGCTTCTATATCTATTTATCAGGGCTGGCCCCCAAACAAAACGTTGTATCTCGGTCTTTGAGACAGACATGTGGAAGATCTTCATTAAAAGCCTAGTGAAATCATTTCGCTATTTTCTTGCGCTTATGAAGAAGGGACTGCAACTACCGACAGCCCAGGATCAAACGGACATGTTACATGCACTGAAGGTCTTTAACAAGGTTCAAGTGTACCTGCACTAAGATTATAGTTAAAAACATAAGAAAATGCCGTTAAGACACTTTTGTGCGCCGAAATTCCGCACCAAGAGTTTGCGAGCATAAAACTCTGCGCCGAAGATTGTCCTAAAAAGGGCTTGAGGATATAAAGGAAGAACACAGACCATGGTAGGAAAGTCAGAAACGACGAAATTATGTGGGAAGCAGCATCTTCTGCCCAAACCAAAATCTAAACGGTTCTAAGAGGTAGAGAAAACGTTTAACATAGCTGTTTCACGCGAAACAACCGTTATTCTGCGACAATCTATGGGTAACTGCGGGAAAATTAACGGGAGATTTTTGGCTACTAAAAACCACTGGAAATTAGAATTTGCATTTATGTTTTCAAAGGTTAAGACAATAACCAAATGAATTAAAAATGCATAAAATTAATCAGTGATGACACATTTTTAACAAATATAAAATGATGGTAACTATTTATCATATGTTTTGATGATTAAAAACGGTTGTATTGTGTTTAAGATTCATATTGGAGGTTCTTGGATTGTCTATCATGGAAACTGCAATGGGATTGTCACTGAGAGAATGAAATTTAAACGAGCCGAATGAACAGGGAAGAGTCTTTAAGAGATATAAAGACGACTGATAACATTTCCAAAAACCCGTTAATCACAAACAGTAAAATTTTGCTAAAAAACTTCAAAGCCTAAGAAGACAAGCTCGAAAGTGCATTCTGGGAAATCTGCTGCGCAGCAGTCAATAACATAAAAAGTATAAGGTTCAGTACAAGCTAAGTTTTTGAAAGAAAAATACCAAAAGTTTGACAATTGTTGCATGAACAAATAAAGAAGTTGCAGTAACTTATAACTATAATGAGATTAAAGCATTTTGTGAATGATGTTTGTAAATATATTTTCAAGTCACATATTTCATAAATAAACCCATCAAAATATTTGACATTTACTGAGTCCTTGCGTACTAGAAAACTATGAAAAATGAACAAGAATAGAAAATATTAGCAAATATAACAGGCTGTCAATTGGATCCACGCAAGCTCCTCACTTTGATTCGTGGTGATCTGAAAAAGAAGAAATTTATGTCAGTATCTAGACGGTTGTTAACAAGCTTCTGGACCTCTGGTTCTTTGAATGAGATTCTTACATTCCTTTTCTATTTATTTTATTTGATTTTGAAACAAGCTAGCGTTGATACAATGCCTGCCAGAAGTACTTTGAACACCCAGCAATTTGCTTTGCACTTTTCATCTTTCATTCCTTTTCAGAAAAAAATTACCAATTCCACCCATCCCCCTAGAACAATGCTGATAATTTAAAGAAATATCATGAAAGAAACGCAAAAGAAAGTACTTCCTAAAATCCAAACCCGTTTGATAGTAAACCAACATTGTGCCGTGGAGGAGAGGGGGGTAATTGATTTTGACCTTGCAAACAGACGTCAGTGTTCCAAGACTTTTGGCAGGTAAGTAGTTCGCAAATTTCAGCAGAAGTATCATTTTATAAAGCTTTTATGGCAAACTCTGTCATTCTGATAACTTTCTTTTCGGCAAACAGCAAACGTTTGCTTCATTAGAAGCACGAAGATGTTTAGTGACCGTAAAACTATGATAAGACTACACACCTTGTTTAAACTGGGACGAAACTGCCCCGATATGTGGTGGCCGGAACATGTCAACAGCTGCAAATCTTTGGTTTTCCATGAATCTATTCCTCATTATCTCCGCAAACTGTTGCTGCTGTTGCAAATGAAGCCTTTGCATAGGGGCAGCAGAATGAAGATAGTCTGTAGTGAACGGTAACTTAGGTAAAATAGGCTTATTGGTGTTCTGTAGTGTGGGTGCTTGAAACGCGATTCCTGGTCTAACTATAGGGGATTCAGCGTGGGTATTGTTATCTTTAGGAGCATTCTGTGGAGATGCCCTAGGAGAGGCGATCGACCCTTTGGTGGAATCCTGACGCGTCTGCTTTGTGCTCGATATATCAGTCTTCATCGAAGAAGCTTGCGGCGACATAGATGACCCCCGTGACGCTGGTGATTCACGAGTTGGTGTTATACTTCTGTTTACATTAGCCATTCGGTGCTGAACGGGTGCAAAGCTCATTCGTGGACTCAATTGCGACGCAGTAGGAGTCACGCGAAGCGGCGGTATGGCCGAAAAAGTCTGATGCTCTTCTGAAGATGTTCCTTGGGCACTTAAACGAATATTTGATACGGGGGCATTTTGAATTAGGCTACCCGGCTTAGAAAGCACTTGCATCTGCCCACTTAAAGATCGAGGCAATTGCATCCCCATCTCAGCTGAAACTTCCTTATCAAAAGAATTAGAGGGTTCTGTCTGTCTATTTTTATGGTCTGACACTTTCGGGGCATTTCCAACAAAACTAAGATAGTCTTTCAAAGCAGTTTGCGAGTCCGGGGTGGCAGTTGTAAGCTTCGTCGGCTGGCTCAGATGGCTCGCACTTGATGGATGGCTCGAACTTGATGCAGAGAACAATTTCTCAATATGAAAGGCAGTTTTATTCCCAGCTATTTGAGGGGTTAATTGACCACGAATATCCTTGAATTGCTTTCCACTAGTAACATTGTGTTGTGGTACAGAACTCTCCTGGTACCTCAATCCTTGAGGCAGAGAATGCTGTAAGACATTTGGATTTCGCCCATCTCGAGATGAAACGGAGGCTGAAACTGATGAATATCCCGGTAAAGAATACCCAACACTAGCAAGAGGGGGAATGGCCTTCGTGGAAAACACGACATTACCTTGATCAATTACTTCCGTCTTTGCGTTTAAAATTTTCACAGGACGCTTCTCACTAGAATCTCTAGCGCCTTTGGATTCGGTATGATCTTCATCTAGTGGACCAAAGTAAGAGGTTTCTGAGTTCAGCCACTTTCGCACCCTTTTGTTGCTTTCCTCGATGCTGATTCGCTTGTTTCGGTTTTCATCTGACATAGGGTCTTCGATGATCGCATGCAGCTCGTCAATTTTCTGGGTACTCAAATCGGCTGTCGGCTTCTCCTGTTTTCCCGCTAGAGACATATTTACATGTGAAGTGACTCCCACAGGAACAGTTTGCGTTTGTCCCGATGATGTCATTTGCAAGCTAATTTGCGAGAGATCGATTCTGGCTTTGGATGCTGCAAGGAATAATGAAAGGTCACAATCAAAACACCACAATCATTTCAACAGTTTTTAAATATTTGGGTCTACATTTGAAGTCACAACAAAAGTTGCTTGAAAATTTAGACTGTAAGCAGGCTAAATTGAATAATTTTGCATAATTGGGTCTAAATTTTATGCGACTGTAACGGGTAATGTGACTTTAGACGGAGCGACTATAAGTGGAGTCGACTAATTCATTAATAACTTTCAGATGAAAAATCTAAATAATTCGTTTTGCAAAGCCAATTGCAATGAGTAACCTTACTTTTAATGAAATGAATCATTGCTTCATGTGGTGCAGAAGTCTTCTTTATCTGTTTCTCTGAGTGTTGCGCTGTGGCAGCTTTGGTTTTTTGAGCTCGTTGCTGTTGTTGTTGCTGCTGCTGTTGCTGCTGCTGCTGTTGCTTAGTTATCTGCAAATGTTGCATTTGCTGACGCTGAAGCGACAGTTTTTGTGCCAAATCCTGTAGCTGTTTCTGCTGGACCGCCTCTTGCTCAGACTGGGACTCCTTGATCAATTTACTTGAACTCCCTTGTGACAGGGCCTGTTTTTGTTCCAGAATTCGTTTTTGTTGCTGTTGTAGCTGCAGCTGTTTTTGCAGCTGCTGCTGCTGCTGCTGCTGCTGCTGCTGTTGTTGTTGTTGCAGTTGCTTTTGCAGCTGTTGTTGCAGCTGTTGTTGTAGCTGTTGTTGCAGATTATGGTCTTCTTTTTCTTCTGGCGTTTGTTTCCCCTCTTTATCCAGCAACTGATGCAAACTCTTCTGATGCTTTGCCTGAATATTCTGTTGCTGCTCTTTAACAGCTGTTTGCTGCGTCATCTGTCTCAACTGCTGAATGCGATCTTCTTTCAATTGTTGTTGTTGCTTTTGCTGTTGCAAATGTTGTTGCTGTTGCTGTTGTTGCAATTGTTGTTGTTGCAGCTGTTGTTGTTGTTGTTGTTGCAGTTGTTGCTGCTGCTGTTGTTGTTGTTGCTGTTGCAGTTGTTGCTGCTGCTGCTGCTGCTGTTGTTGTTGTTGTTGCTGTTGTACTTGCTTTACACTTTTCTGAATCAGCTCGACATGTTGCTGTTGCAGTTGCTGGCGAGCTTGTTGTTGTTGAAGTTGGAAAACCTGTTGCAGTTGCTGCTGTAAGAAAATATTCTGTTGGAGTGCCTGCAACTGCTCTGTAGTGAGCTGTGGACGGGACTGTGCATTGCCACCGGTTGCAGAACTGCCTAGTATTCCTCTGATAATAGCTTGCTGATTAATCAGAGAGTTTATAGCCCTTTGACTGTCCATAGATTGCAGTGACTCTTGTCCTGATGATGCTGTAATTCGTAAAAAAGAGTTTTCAATGACAATCTTCCAGAAAACTGAGAGGTTACAGTCTGCTAACAGCCAATTAATAAGCTACAATTGTCCTCTAATCAATTTTCTTTATGGTAATGTTGCTGTACATCTTTGACCTACAATGCCGACCAAAAGTCCACATAACGGGGACACATAACAGGGAATATAGTAACGGGGACACATAAGCATGTTTACATAACAGGGACTTTTTTATACAGTGAGGGGAATATAACACAATAAACTGGTTTTTGTTTTTAGTTTTAGTAGAAACTAGACGAATGTGAATGCTTAAAATGAACGTTTTATTTAACTTTTGCTTCATTGTCGTTGCCTACGAGTTCAAACGACGGAGTTCAAACGTAGGAAACAAATGAAAAACTTTCTTCGTTCCAGGATCCTTAGAGCACCAAAAATTCTACTTCCTTCCTCAGCCTTCTTAAGCACCTACACCTAATCAAACTCCAGCCAACTCGACGTTAGGCTTATGGTTGCCCTTCACACCCACCAGGTACCAGAGCCTTAAGAAGCGAAAACTACGGCTTCGAAGTAGGAGTAGATGAGGAGATGAAGGAATCAGATTTCTAAATCCACACTCAGGTATATATAGAGTTCTAAAGTGACGACGTCACAAAAATCTATTTTTAGAATTTTTGAATTTCGACCCCATAGTCGGAAAGAGTATCATAAAATACCTCTAAATATGCAAAATCAGTCAAATGTGTTATGAACTGGCTGAGATATGATCACATGTGTAATGGCATTTCCCCCATCAAACCTCTATATTTTGGTCTCTGTTCATAACTTTATGAACAGAGCGAAAATAACAGTGATTCGTTGGCAAACTTCAAATCTTTCATTGGCAATATCTCAACGGATTTTAGACACATTTGACTAATTTTGCATATGTGGAAGTATTTCATAAAGATCTTTTATGTTATGTGGTCAAGATTCAAAAATTCTTAAAGTAGTTTTTTGGTGACATCACACTTTAGAACTCTATTTCTGAGATTCGACTTAAACTATATAGCTGAGACTACACCGTGGAGTCTATGGCACCCAGGGTACAATCCAAATTCTCAACCATGATCTGAAAGTTGAAGATTCACCTGTCGCTGTTGAAGGAGCCCGCAGCATCATATTAAGGAAAGGCGACGATGTAGCGGTCTGACCTACAATTTGGGGCCTGTTAGCAAAGGCGATTCTGGGCTGATGTGCACCTGGCTTTTGAACGCTGCTTGCCCCATTTGCTGTATTGATAAGCTGATATATTCCAGTGCCTCTTAGTTGGGTCTGCATTAACGGTGCGCGGAGAACCTCTGTTGGGAATACCGCATTGCCGAACCGCATCATGTTTTGAGGAGGAAACGACACACCATTCGGTAGCTGAAGTGAGCTGAGCCCAGGAGTTGGCTTGGAATCTGCAATGGAGTGTCTCGGGTCACCAAAAGTTGCTTTGGACATTGAGAGGTTCATGTCTAAAAAGAGTGAGCCATTAGTTGATGATATTCAAAACGTTAACAGACTAGAAAAAAAGATTAAGCACACTCTGAGAATACAAATAAAGATTAAGGCCAATCTACAAAAGCCTTAGCAACATTAAAAACAAGGTATTTTTTGGTGAGATAAATAAACTAATTTTGTTCCCATCGACTTGCCTTATGGCTGTTAGTCGCGTGCCCGCTACACTTTTTGACACTGCAGCGGAACATGGGCACACAACATCATTGTATCACAATGTGCCACCTTTTCAAACTTACTTATTTTACTGGTTACATGATCAATTTTGTTTTAACTTGTGTTTGTTTGCTTGTTTGAGTCATCCAGAACAAACTTTACAGCCCGTTTGCTTTCTACAAGTATTCAACAATAAAATATCCTAAGCAATACAAACAGTACAGCTGGAGTGGTTCAGCAATATAAACAGAGTATTACCATTAGGTTTGATGATCTTCACAAAACCTCTTTCATTTCCCTTCATTTGCTTACTGCGTTTTCGTTTCTTTGGGTTTTCGTCTTCCTCTACATAATCCTCATCACTCAGGGCTGTTTCTTCCGGGAACTCTTTAGAAAAGTACTTATTGAATGCTCTTTCGAGATTATTGGCCATTTTCGTATAGGCTGAAAGGTATAAATGTCACGTTTATAGCCTGTAGTGGACTGGAAATGAAATGCTTATCTTCACAGTAGAAACTATTAGAGCTGAAAGGGGTATGACTACAATTTTATATGCATAATGTTTTATAATCAAAACTTCCTGGTAATGATTGCATCCCCTGGAATAATTAATACAAGAGTACCGTTTTGCGCAGCAGTGTAATGCTCAGTTTTTATCAATTTGCATACAATGCGCACCTGCCCGCGTTAAGGTGCGTGTCTGTTTGATACAATTAAGATTGATTTCAAATCTGTTGACCCTTACCAAAACACTGTTAAAATGCGCAGGGAACCAAGAGTGTAACAAATAATGTTTTCTGGATTCAGTCGTTTCAAAAACTATTGGCACACTAACAAAGGATATTGTTTACAAACACTGATTGATGACCTAGGCCTTTATGCCAAAAGCTCTAAAAATCGTTGTTTGTTAACTTTAGGAAAAGCTTGGTTTCCTCTTGGCGAAATCTTTCTTTACTGAAATGTTTATTAGCTTTGATATATTTCTTCAAAGAAATTCATTCTGCTAGTGTTCCTTCCAGTTTAAAGAGCGGTTTATCAGGAAGAAAACCGAACAAAAAAGCGAAGCGTAGACTTACGACTGTCTTGGCCATTATAAGTTAAGCAATTCGCGAAAATCAGTTTCACGTCTTCAGACATCTACAAAAAATAAGTTTGAGATAAAATATCTTTTCCCGAACACAATGCATTAAGCTTGGAAGATTTCTGGAGGCTTAAAAATACAAGGCCTTTATCCGTATTACATATCGTCATTCTTTACTCTGAAACGAAATAATTTTGAAACAGGCAAACATTTGAGTATATTTAAGATTAAGTGACAGTGTCAAAAGGCAAGCGGCACTGATTGGGCAACTTTAACAATCATGTACTCGCGTTTCTGATTGGCCTTTTTCGATCCACAACTGTTTTGATCTTTTTCGATCCACAACTATCAGAGTGTTTTTATCTATGTTCTGAAATTTTATACTCCGAAGAGTGTCAGACGAAAAGCTTTAGTATGACTCAAAATATTTGCTTTTGTCAAAGCTTTTTTAAATTTTGTACCACAAAGGATTGTAAACGAAATGGATGCAAAAACCTATAGATGCAAAAATCATGCCTTGTTCAGCGAAGAACGTAAATTGGACTTATTCTGGTCGCAGCCATTTCTTTCCCAAACAACAATCGTATGGCACTTTATACCGTTGGGTGCGGCAATATTTGACAAAACCTGCTGAGATTTTTAAGAAATAAACATAAAATCTCTAAACCCGTATAAATTTTTTATCAAAGCATCAACAGCTTATACTTCGGCAAATCAAAGTTTGAAACAACAGACACCGATTCAGTTTCTTTGAAGCTGATGATATCTACAGGCTAAATCCCACATCAAAGAAATCCCGACCCACTAGGTGCAACCTTTGGCAGATTATACATGACGGATCCTTATTTATCAGATAATAAGACGAACTGAAATTCGGCTAGCAATCGAGAAAATTGTAAATTCGTGGACTGAAAACAGACGTCTTTATGAATATTTTCTTGATCTCGAACTTCGACAAAATAGGCCTTTCAACTTTTATATAGGCCACATGATGGCATCTGGTCTCAGAGCGATTTCAACACCCTCTCCACCCTCTCCACCCTCTCTCCACCCTCTCTCCACCCTCTCCACCCTCTCCACCCTCTCCCCACCCTCTCCACCCTTTCCCCACCCTCTCCCCACCTTCCCCACCCTCTCCCCTTCCAGTATTTACTGCAAGTAACGAAATGTAATGTGATGTTATGTAAGTATCCACTCAAGTAACAAAAAGATATACTGAATGTTAAAAACACTCACATCATTTCTATTTGTATAAACGCTGCCATCTAACTTTTTCTCAATGGTGGATACATCCATCGGGTTCTAAAAGAAGGCAAGATAAATTAAGCAACATGCATGAAATGAAAACATGATGACATAATTAAGTGATCAAAGACGTTCAAAAGGCCACGGAGAGATGCAGAAAAACCAAGCAGAAAAGGTTGAGCAAATGCGACCACTTCTATAAAGTCATTTGACTTGAGTGTTCATATGTTGTAAAGCAGCTTTCAAAATATAGCATAACACGATCAAATGTGAAATAAAATGATAAAACAATATAACATGTACCTTGATGATATCGTAGTACTGTGGAGCATATGATTCTTCAACCGGCTCTAAAAATGGCCAAGCATCTTTGTGTTTCTTCAAAGCTGTTATAACTGCGAAAAATGATATAAAATACTTACACCCTTTGCAGACAGCGTCGAAATCAGTAAATATCGCACAACAGTTTTATGCAAAACTCTTTAGCAAAGACGATAATCTTTTTCTAAAGAACTTAACATGAAAACGGATGACAGCGAATCATGTTATTGAAAAACAGGTCTAATGTATCAAGTGATAACCAACAAATTTTCAGTTATTCAGTTATTCTTTCACTCGTTTCAAATATCTCAGTTATTACGAATTCCCAAGAAAATCGAATGCTCCGGTTATTCTTCTTTATTTTAGACTAATAATTTTCCAAACTTTCTAATGATTTATAACAAAAGACATAAAAGCTCTTAACTTTTTAAAGATATGTGCTTAACAATGAAAATTTATCTTCATCGTCTTTAGAAGTCCATGATTTTGACATGAAACCCGGGCTTGGCGATGTATTCTAGCTAAGTGTCCTACCTCAGAAGAAATCATCCAAAACTACCACCCCAGACTATTCTCAGCCCCCCCCCCCCAGTCTGACTTATCTGTAGTCAGTTTTTAATTCTAATTTGCCTGAAGCTGAATTGTCTTCAATAAAAAGTTGGTCTTCTGGTGGGAGACCAGCAGCTCTTCAACCCTAGTAAAATTTGGTCTCCAGCTGTTACCCAGTGTAACGATTAACGGTATCCCACAGATAAAAACCGGTGTTCCCGGGTTGCGCGGTAGACCGAATTGTCCACCCCTGCATATAGTTATTACAACAACCAATCAAATGCTGACTTGTGATTTGCACCAATCAGAATGGCAGCATATACCCCCAAGAAAACAATGACATCCCCTAAGAACACACAACCGGTCTATCACTGTCACTTTCTGAAAAGATTCAACCAGATTCAATTATAGAAACTCGTCTGCATTTCCTAAATTTTGAAGAAATCTAATGCGGCGTTTATTAGAGAGAGGGGCTTGTTTCTATTCATTGTGAAAGCGAAAACATTTCTCAAAAGGGCGTTTATTTGACAATATAAAAGTTTACGTACTCTTAAACATTGCCGTGTATTCGTCTTCGTCCCTTATGTTGCCATTACTTGATTTGCTAGGGAGAAGATATATGAATAAGGATAAATGGACGGATTTGGTTAATCGTACAATGAAAATTCAAATAAATAAACATTTACCGGATACTTCCAAACAACAGACAAATAACTTGAACCAGACAAATAACTAAGACTTTTCTCCTGTGTTCAAAGCTCTATAAATTATCCTTCATGACACCTCACTAAAACAGAACACCTCTTAAGCGGACACAATCATACATCGGATACATACCTAAAAAGGACACATCCCTATAACAAAAATCTCAATAAATCGGACGCGTACCTACAACGGACAGCTCCTTATAACAGAAATCCATATATATCGGACACCGTCCTATAACGGACACCCCCATCAAAAGACACCACCTTATAACGTACATCTTTATACATCGGACGCCTCCCAAGAATGGACATGTCCGTACAACGAATACCTTCCTACAAAGGACTAGGATACTGGACAATCGCGATCGCTATATAAAAAAGGGTCTTCTTTGTATGTTGACGTATTGCGTGGGTCTCGCGTTGTCAAGACCGAACACTAGAAAATCATAAGTATTACAAAAATGTACTATACAATGGAAATAGGGCTTTATTCGTTTATTCGTATATATTAACTTTGACTAGCATTCATTTGGTTCACTGTAGCAAAATCAAAATAAAATGATCGATGTTTAGAATTCACATAAATTTTTTGCTGTTCTTGTTTAAAGAAAGAAACCATAAGAGTTCATTCATTAATGAGCGGAATATATTGATCCGTATCGATCAAGACTGAGCCAAGCAATTAGCACCAACATCATCCGAAACACAAAACAGGTAATTAGAAAGAAACGCCCAAGTAACAGAGACTAACTCAATCCGCAATTAACATGATGGCTTTTTCACGCAAAAAACATTTGGCGGCAATATTCTCGCGTTCAGAAGCTACCAAAATAACTTTGCAATTGAGATCCAGACAAATGAAAGTCAGGAGAACTGTGGCCATCTGTTTAATATTTTCGTATATCTATGAATCATTTTCTTCAATAATTACATTAATGTATTTTGTTGTATTGCACACGCTAAATGTATTTTCACACTGCAAATCAAGAAAATATGAAAGGACAGCTGGAAAAGATCGAAGCTACTTTGCCACCAGAAAAAGCAAATGTTTTATATTTGCTAAATCCTCAAACAGAAAGAGAAACATTTATAAGAAGAAATTAGGCTCGCAGAGTAAGCCTCCCTCAAAAACCGTAGATGGTATCCATAATCCAAAAGGTGCTGCATATTTAACCCGATTGAGGGCAGGACTAAGCAAACTAAAGTTCCATATATTCAAGGAGAATTTCAAAGATACAGTAAACCTACTGTGTCCAACTAACGATGACAAAGAAGATACGGAATAATTTTTGCTGCTTTGTGAATCCTTCAAGAAACATAGAAGAAATCTCCTCGCTGGTATTAATAATGTACTAACAAGTCTATGGAAAACCTAAGGCTCTAAATGACATGACAAACCCTTTATCCCTGACAATGGCCTCAAGTACTAAGAGTACCTAGTTACTAAGGGGGCCCAACGAAAGAGGGCTAGCCGACAATAGAAAAGCTAGTCAAAAAACCTCAGATCGCTGTGCAATTAAAAATTCTAGAGACATATGGAGGCAATCATTTGACCTGGTGCGTCTTTCCACGCAAAGTCATCAAAACATACATAACATCTGTTACACAACTGCCAACATTGAAAAACAATCAGGACAGGTACTCATAGTTCTGACACCGAAAACACACTCCAGGGAGAGACTTCCGAATTTGATTCTAGATTGGCGGGGAACAGAACTACAGCACCCAGCCGGTTTCAGCTTTTCTCGATCCACTGTAGATAACAAATTAAATCACACGAAAGCTTTTGCCTCCAGAGCTCGTTTGCCTCATAAGAATTTACTTATGATTTTTGCATCAACAGTTGTGATAATAAAATATTATATTAATTACTGCAGCGATCTTAGAAACAGTACAAAAAGCATTTCCTACCTTTCGTCACTTTTTTCCCTGTCATCAGCGTCAATACTTAGCTCACCATTTCTCAAAGACAGACCAAACTGTGAGGCTAACTCGGGGTTCTCCATAGCCCACTTCTGTTCTTCCCGGTGTTTGAGTCTTTTTTCACGCTCTATGAAAAATAAAAATTGAGAATTCACTGGCATCACTACGGTATGAAGCACGCAAACAAAAAGGCCTGCAACTCAAAAGCGTTACAATTATCTCTTAGTATCAAACGACACCTATTATTCGCTCTAGACTCTCTATCAGCTGTCACACAAATGTGCTTACGATGGAAAAGTTTGTCGAAATCTGTGCAAACATATTGACTACATTTAGATTGACTACATAAGAGATTACATTTAATAAAACATATAAAAACAGCTAATAAAGCCTACAGTGCACTTAAATTATTTTAGCTGGTTACTTTCAAAATGCCGATACTAAAATAAATTCCCGTCATTTAGCCGCATAAATTATAATTCATATATTATAATAAATTCATATATTATCATATATTATAATTCCCAGCAAGCATCTACGGGTAATTCGAATTCATAAAATCACGACAATAAACCAACTAGACATAATAATATCTAGAATAAAAGTAGTTACACAGTTGTATTAGATTCCATTAAGGGCAAAAGCCAGTAGATTCATAACATTAAAACATCTTGTTCTTTACGCTTTAGTACACACAACACTCTCTATAAGACATTGAGATCTCTCCAATAGATCAGTTACTGTTATCTACTAAATCTTTAGGTAACCTGTATTCCAAAATCTTAACACAATGTCTTGTGACATCTTGCAGGCCAAACATCATCATAATATCATTAGTTTTGTTTTACAAAATTGTATCTAGCATGGAAAAAGCCGTTTATTTTTGTAAAAAATGAAAACTTTATTATTAAAGGCAATTTGATTCTGATTTTTCGAATATCTTAACCCTTCAGAAATTTAATATCCCTTATTAGATAATGTACTTAGGTATGGTGTAGGAGGGCTGTTAGACACCGCTTAGCTTCCATTGCAAGGGAACAAAAATTGAATTTTTATGCATCTCTTTTCCATGTGAGCCTTAACTCGACCATTTTTCAGCGTTAGTTTTTTGGCTGCTGTCTACCTTCGTGTGTCATAGGCTGCTTAGGTGAAACCACTTTTGACCGCAAAGGATAATAATAACTTAACTTGGTGACGGAGGCAATTTATCACTTACCCAGCCTTCTTTCCTCCGCAACCCGCTCCCGTTCACGTAGACGCTCTTCTCTTTCTTTCTTCTTTCTTTCCTCCATTTCTTTCTTGCGTTCTTCCGTCTCACGGGCTCTCTGCTCCTCTTCAATAATTCGTTGTTCCTCAATCTCCCTCTCTTCCTCCTCTTTTTGAACCAACTTCAAAGCAATGCGCCCAGAAGCACGTCTAGGGTTTGACTCGAGTAGATACTTCTTCTGCAGCGCCTTTTCCTAAAAGACAATCCAATTTAACCTAACGCTTCAGTTTCAATTTGGTAGCTTAAAACTACGTTTCAGTTCTACGAGCGGTCCTATCAAAATTGATTATCTTTATTATGTATCCTATCAAAACAGAAAAAAGTGAGGATTTCTGGGGCAAATCAGATAAAAAATTAGTAAAATAGCGCCCACATTCAGAGGCATTTTAGAAAGAATGACCTGCCCATGAACACTTGAACAATGTATTGAAAACAATAAAATTGTAACTTTCTCTCCACTCAGATACAGATCGAAAATGTCCAATAGAAAGGAGATTAGTCCGATGGAGTTCGTTTCAACGAATCAACGCGTTAATCTACATCAAGAATGAAAGAAGTTTCCACATGAGAAAATGAATTATTTTTTCCTACAAAGCAGCTGTTTCTTTCTCCTGACATGCAATACTTCAGTCATATAATAATTAGTGTATATATCTTTTAACATCCCGGCGAATAAGAACATCAACTGTGATCATCAATTGAAACGTATTGTGTTGGTCTATACGGCAAACAAAGGGTTTGTGCAAGGATTAAAGCGCAATCTTGCAAATAACAAAATAATCTATCCATGTATCAAGCGAACAATTCAAAATTTCGGTCACGAGAAAAACTGCAGGTGATCACATTATGACAAGGTCGAAACAATTAAAGCCGACAGTAAGGATGGGAAACTTTCACTTGATCGCGGTCAAACGCTGTAAAATGTGCATGCTTCAACAGCTCGTTCTTTTGCACCTACAATTGAACCTTGCACAAACGCTTTAAGGTTTTAAGACTGTCTTAGCCAGCGTAACATATTTTGAAGAAAAATACAACCTTATTAAATAGGTAAATTACCTTCGCCTCAATCATTTGTGCAATATTATCGAGGTATTGTTCTTCAAGAACGTTTAACAACATCACGTCATTCTTCTCTTTGCTGATTCTTAGTGATTCTGCCACAGCGTTCCATTCATCACCTGTGGAGCATTCCAGACACCATGTTCCTTCGCCAGTTCTCATTGCGTTTGTTGTCGATCCATCGAGAGTAAAATGTGAGTCCTGACTCTCCCAGTCAGAGCTGAAATATTACATGAAAAGTCAGAGTTGATCAGTGCCTAATCCAAGCGCAAAGAACTGACGTGTTTCAAAATTTACTGGCAATTTGACGGGCTAATGCATAACATACAAGGATTAAAATATAGTTCGGTGTATTACTGGGCTGAATGAGATAGGTTGGAAAAGACCGGCCAATTCGCGTGTGAAATACAGGCGAAAGAGCCTCTTAAGTCTGAGATAATGAAACCAAGATAGTATAAAACATGAGGAGGTGAGAAATTGAAAAGAAATGGTTTATAGAACGATACAAAATCCTGAGAAAACAAGAAATTGTTTTAAAAGCAGATGACAAAATAATAGAATTCTAAGTGAAGGGCTTTTAAATCCAAGAGGAAACAGTATATTTTTATACAGGCTTAGTGAAACCGTGTATACCATACTAGCAATCACTATATTTTCTCATCAAATAACCCCGGAATTCTACCCAATTCCCAAACAATTTTTACACCAAAATTCTACAAAATTCGTTGTATTGAAAGTCTATTTAGCTAGCAGAAGGGTATTGTATTTAAATTAACTAAAAGGATAAATTTTAGTCATCATTATCATTTTACCATCAAAAGAATTTCGCTCACCCAGTCTCATAATCAGATGAAGAATCAATCCATTTACGATCACGTTTTCGTTTTCCCGCGAGGTAAACACGTCCATTCTTCTTAATGTGCTTTCCATTTTTCTCTCCGTTGATGTGTTTCAAGTTATCTTCAGGGAAACTTTCTTTATATAACCGCGTGCCGTAGAAGTACCAAAATGTGTCACCTTTGCTGTTCCTTCCAATCGGTTCTATTCTCAAGGTGTCAGCTTCTTTGCCCTAAGCAAAAAAGAAAGATTTGCATTAACAGGGACGGAAAAATCTAATACGAAAGTTAAACGATCACTAATTTTGAAAAAGGCTTCTTGAGAGATGTTACCTTCAAAATTTATTATCAAAATGGAAGATCCACACCAGGGGCGGACATTTGGTCAAATATTGGGGGGCAAGCCTATTGTTTTAATAAAATTATGTCACATTTCCCATTGTTTTAAAACAAAAGACCATTGTCCTCTAAAGTAGTGGCGGTTGCCCCCCCCCCTCGCCCCCCCCAAGTGTCCGCCACTGATCCACACCTGGATATAAACTTTCAGCTCACTTTCGGTCATTATCCGACGTTTTTCTCTGGAAAGTGTCCGACGAAAAGTACTTGTGTATGCTATGTTTCTGATATTTCGTGCCATCTTCAAATTTTGCGGTACCAATAACACGTTTAACAAATTTCAGATAGACCACATCGGGTCATTTGCAGTTGGAAGTGAAGCTAAACACTTATTGAGCTATGTAAAAGGTGAAAAAACGTGAAAATGGTATAATATTTACAGAACTTTTCCTGTGAACTGAAAATTACTTGGGACGAGAACACTTTGGTTTTAGCAAAAACGGCTGCAACAGAAGGCTGTTGTTTGATTTCAAACAAATTCGACCTTTTGAGATATCTTGGAGAAAATGGTAAAAATTGTTATCATCTTGCACAAAAAGGTAGGGCATGAGGTTTGGCAGTCATGAGGATGCGTAGAAGAAAAAAGCCTTATTGCGAGGAAACAAAAATGAAAATGATAAACAAATTGCTTGGCAAACCAGACGTGTTTATGCTCGAAGGCCCCCACTGAAAGTTCTCTGGAATAGGGTTCGGAGTGCTTCATCCGAAAAGGACATTGCCCATTAGGGCAAAATAAGGGAGGGCGGGAGTTAATTTTAAAAGAAAAGAGAAAACATAAATTGTTCTTGAAAAGCCTCGACCATTTTTGTCCGGTACTGTAGGATCGCAGACCTAGCATCGCTGAGCTAAATAGCTGGGATAAATAAAAGCAATCCCATTAAATACCGTAGTTGCGTATGGTTTTTTATCCAAATATTGACAGTATAATACGTAAATAATTTTAAAGAAAATGGATAAATAAGAATGCGATAAAACACGATGCTTTGCGTATGTAACTGCTATCAAGAAAATTCAAGTACAACGACATGCATTTGACAACAAGTAATTGCTGAGAAATATCGTGTTTTTCATAGACATCCTTTCAAATTTGATCCTTAAGGTGAAAAGAGACGTAAAAAAGGACCGTGTATCCAAGCCTTTGTTAATTTTTGTTACTTTAATTATTTACTTATTATATTGTCAGTTTATGAACAAGAAGATGGCGTTTGAAGTGCAGGGCATTAAATAGAGGTTTCATTGTATTTAGAATGCACCACCTGCTACTAAACTAACTCAGCGATGTTGAGACACGTTACCTATTGAGGGAGCGGGGTATGCTAAAATATTGGGGGGGAGGGGGTTGAAAATTCTGAAAGATAAGATAAAGATTATATTTTAAGTTTTTTAGTACATTTTAAGAATTTGGCCTAAACATCATCACCCCTCCCCCCCCCCCACTTCCTTGGCCTAAATGAATTCATAGTTAATCAACAAATGTGAAGCAGAAAATAAAAACTGCAAACCTTCAGTAGATCTTGAATGTCATCAACTTCCAAGCGCCAATGACAAATGTCATACAATATAGTCACCTTTGTTCTACATGGGAGTTGGCTAAAATAAAAAATTTAATGGATAGTATAAGACCTTTTATTGTATTTGTCTATCTTGGATCAGCTGCTTATGTCCCTATTATCCTCATATACAGCTTACTCTTTTGGTTACTTGAACAAAATGTGGGATTCTTTCAAAAACCTATAGGATGGCAGGTAAAACCAGATGTATTTTTGATGCATTCCTCATAAACCAAATGACAGATACTACAACTTTTGGAAAATGCTTCTAAGCGTGATTGAAGGATATCAGCCAATCCAAAACGAATGTACTTGAAATTGTTAAAATTCTATTTTAGGTTAACTGCAATGGAAAGAGTTTCCTCTTTATCTGCCACAAACTCTTGTAATGTCATATCTCAGAAGTTGTTTTACTCATAGTGCTTGCCCAATGAATAAAAATAAAAGGTGCATTATAATCCGCAAAGTAGACATGGACTAAAAGTGATATTTTCTCTCGCTTCTTCCTGTCGATGATGACATATGGTGAGTGGAATACAGAATGCATATAGATACATTGCACCTGTACCCCAAAATTACATGTTCATGTAAATGAGGTCAGGCCTGGCCATAAGACTTTTAACAGGGGAGCAGTAAACAGCTCTCCTAGTATTATTCAGGTGAGCTATAAGAATAGAAACAAAGGAAAAATTGATTTCAAGGAGGGCAAATTTAATTTTTAGAACAATTTGGGAGAGCTACCTCTAGCTCCCCTCAAGCATTTGAGGAGAGCCTGGAGGGGAGCAAGGGCTATGGCCAGGCCTGTGAGGTGCATCTTTAAGTGGGGTAATAAGTTCAGCATATCTAAAATATAGTGTAAATACTATTCAATGGGAGACTTAAACCTTTGATTTAATGATAAGAATTTTTTGGAGCTGAACTGAGTGAAATTCATAATACATTTTTAGCAGCATTGGGTACTGGTACTTCCCAATATGTACCCTGCTGTATCAAAAATTAACTAAATAGACATTTTCTTTTTCAAAACTATACAAGCCTTAGCAATTCTAAATAGAGGTTATCCACTGTCCGTCCCCACCCAAAAGTAATAAAATTGGTGCTAAAGTTTCTACCTTTGAATAGTGTCTCAGTAGAATACCTAGTCTTTCAATGAAATCAGGTATCAAATGAGGCAGGTAACTTGAGACATGATTAATGAAATTAACTTAGTTAAGCCAAAATTGTTTCTAAGTGGCTTGTCTTGATCCAGATTCACGATCCTGCACCAACAGTTGAGGCTCTAAGTCTTAGCTTATTCAGTGAGGTAAGCCTATAATATCAATCCAATCAAAGTACTAGGTAAATCCTACATTTACTGTGAGTAAAAAGATTAGACAGGCACTAGTTGACTCAGCCATTGCTTCTAAAATTCAACAAAATATTGTTTTCCATCACCATATAGCACTTTACTCTATTGTTGAGTCCTTCATAAAAGCTAATGACATTTCCATGTCATACATTTCTTTTTCCACCATTGTTAACTTTATATTAAATTACTTTTTATCTAATCCCATAATTGAGAACCTTTTTTATTTAATAGCAAATTTAATTTCCAATGTAAGCCAAAAGCAGTGAATACAATTCACCAAATGACATTATCATAATAAGAATTTCAAGAAGAAGCCATTGAGACATTCGCACCTGAAAGAAACTTCTTTGACTGGGTTTTCTTTGCTCTCTAAGCACGTGTAATGGTAGTCTAGCAAGTCATAGAGATATTTTTCAAAATTCTTGCTCCTATGAGGGAAACAGAATTAGTTTCAATGCTGTATAGATAGTAAAACATTAGCTGCAAACAAAACTATGAATCAAGAATTAAATTATTTTCAAAAAAAGTACTAAAAGCTACTTTGAACATAAAACATCAAGAGCATCAGGAAATTTTTATCCTTAATAAATAGAATCTGTGCCTTTTTTATTTTAAATAGTAGGTCCCTGTTTGCATATAACTGTTTTCATCATTGACTTAAACAAAAACTTGATATTCATGAAAAACATTTATCATTAAATGGAAAACTAATCAATCAAATGAGGCTATAAATATAAAAAGAACTCTTGCTTTACATTTTTGAAAGAAAAAAATCTGAAAATCAATACAAGTCTACAGAGGTCAGAATTATACAGATTTATAAAATTTAAGCACAAAGCTGATAAAAACAAATATTAAAGTTACTGCCTTGTGTTCTTACATTTCTACTCATCTGTTATCTAAATAAATGAAAATCACTGTTTACTGGTCTGTCATAAAGTGCTCTATACCATCTAAGTATGGCTGTACATGCTTTTTGGTGTAAAGAACAGGGCAGTTCTAGCCTACTTCTCTGAGTTTCATGCTTAATGCAATCAGCAGGCAACTGCTCTCATCAGGCAATTATTGTTTAAAGAAAACTGAATACCCTTAACTGAAAAAACAGGTCTTTGAAGCTAAAGAATATAGTTCTGTTTTCAAAATTCATCTAATATTTGCTTCTTGAGGCTAAATAAAACTCACCCAAATTGCCTCATGCAGTACACTGAATTAGTCCATGTTACATATTAGCAAGATTCTGGTTTTCAGATGAAATTATCCTACATCTTAATTCAAAGTTATTACAATTTTTAATTTTTGATATATAATCTCATCATGTAGACCCAGGCTAGTCAGTTGCAAACTGCTTATGCAATAGAGAGATTTGCAATTAAAGTGAAATTGAGCTTAGAGATTAAATTTTTCATAACATTAGCAACCAAATAGGTTCATTTTCAGCAATTCTTTAATCAAAAGGAAGGAGGTTGCATTATAAATACTTAGATAAACAAAGTTAAAGGCAAACAGATCATATTAAAAAAACTTGGGGTTAGGATATAATTTAAATACTTGAAATGTGTGCATTTTTACAAACTGCCTTTCAATTAACCATATCGGCATAGTTTCTTTTCAGTATAGAACATAGAAACATAAATATTTTCTTTATGGAAATGTGAAAATATGTTGCCCTCTTTTATTCAAAGTTGATATGAAACTTCTTAGCATATGAAAAATGTCAAGCTTATTTTGCAGGGTTGAAAGCAGGATTAAAAAAAGATTCTTTTAAATTATTATTTATCAATTCAAAGAAACATAGGTGAAAAAATACAGCTTTAGTATATAACTATATATTTTAAATGAATCTGTTTCATATCAGTTATTATGGTAACAGAAGATTGTGAAAATGTAAGCCTTGCTTGAAGGTTTTAAACATCAAAATTTTTGTGACCATACAGTTTCACAACTATCATTTGTGGGTGGTTTGGTGGTTGAAAATGAAAATTGCCACTCTTATCATCTTTACATAGCAAAAATAAAATGCAAACCCTGTTTACACTGTCCCGTTCAAAAAGGGAACCATGACGGTACAAAATTTGTTTGCTTTCATCGCAAGGTCAAAACTGTACTGGATAGCAGAGCAAAATCAGCTTGGTTCCACAATGCTAGGGTAAATGGAAGGGTGAACTATGACAGTTTTGTCACAGTTCCAAACTTGCATGGGCAGTGAAAACAGGATCATAGTGTAGGTTTATACAGTTTTTGCGTTAGGTTATTTCATTCAAACTGAAACAAAATGGCACTGTGTGTAGTTTCAGCAAAACATAAATGAAGAAAATATTTCAACTTTTATTTTCACTTGCTTTTATGAGATAATCAAGTACCAACCAGGAAGAAATCTTCAAGCAATAAAGTAAAACTAATGTACAATTTTTTCATTTTATTTGGATGCAAATTCAGGGCTAAATAGAAAATTGAACCTTTAGAAGTAGAAAAAAAACAAACTTTAGTCAGTGACAAGCTGAAAAGAGCCCAACTCTAATAGGAAACGAATACATTCCAAATAACATTTGTCTCTTGATCAACAAAAAATAAATATGAATACATGCAATATCCATTATACACACTAATAATTCATTTTGGGATGACATTGGAATTTATCATAGTGACTAGAAGGATTGTGAATCGTAGCATTAAGATTATTCTTTTCCTTCCGCCAGTTCCGGAGAAAAAGTTATACGAATCGTAAATAAGAAGGGGAATGATCCTTCTTTTGTTCTTAGGGGTAAAAAATACTCACGTAATGTCCTTTGTTTTGTACAATCCTCGAAGTAGGCGAGCAAGAAGATCTGGAAGAAAACTTGTTTCTTGTCCCTCTGTGGCGCCGTCAATAAGAAGCGAATCTTCGAAGTCCTTTAAAATGAATAAAAAATAACAATTAACGCGACGCTGGAACTGTATGGGGGTGACAGGAAATGGTTAGGCAACACTAATGGCATGCGAAATATTGAACACGTTTTCTTTTTGATCATCAACTGTGCTATTTCTTAAAATGTAACACGAAGAATACATCAAATTAACACTAATTACGTAAAGGTTATGGAATACAACTAAGATTCATTACAAAAAAGTATGCGAAGTGTATCAATTATTTGTTAGGCCTTACGCACCTCAATCTCAAATTCTGTCAGGTCAAACGCGGCCCGAAACAAATAGCAGTAGTGGGCAATAGCTGGAACTTCAAACCATGACCGTATTTGAGAAACAGAAGACATGCTCTGTGCTATATTGCTGACTTACAAAACGGCTTGCAGCTGTGATATGACCATATTAAATTCAAACACATTTTCTAATCATTTCTATTATTTCGTGTTGTCTTTCAGACCGGTTTGCTGTTAACATCCGGGCACTTTCTTTTCAGTCTCGATCTGAAAAACGCTCGTGGGGGAAACCTCGGCCTACCTATTATAAAAGTCCTTCCTCCGCAGAGACGAAACAATTTTTTCTCAAGAAACCAATTTTTAGGGCTATGAAAACAAACTGAACTGTTGCCAGTACAGATTTAATTTTCCTGCAACATAAACTAGCATTTTATATCTATTGATTTAGGCGTTAAACGTTCTCAGAAAAAATTTGGATTTGCAAGTAGCCCTATGAGAAAGAAATATGTGGTAAACCAAAAAACATCTGCTTTTTATCATTTTCTTATAACTTCACGACTTCGTGTTATTATGTCTGTAATCTTTTTTTTGAAGAGCAGAAAGGTAATTATTTATTCAGATAGACTTTAAAAGCTATCTCAAGCTTTCATAATAACGATTTTGAAGTGGTACAATATAGTGGGGGCGCCACACCTGACTCTAACAAATGAAATTTTTCAAACGGTAACTACTTCATTTAAGGCGTATTCAAAGCGATACGGGGAGGGTTGACACAACTTTGGGTTTGTCGGCAAATATACTTCAATGTTATACGTGAAATCGATAAGAATATAATGTACACTTACGTTTAAAAAGTATCGGGACAAACTTCGAAATTTCGACGACATTTTATGCAACAAATTTGGACAGACTTTTTTCAAATCTTTCTCGCTAAGAAAGTACGGCAGTTATTTCCATGAAATTTTCATAGGGCATTGTTGATGTTTCGAAGCCATTTGTGTACGCCAAACAAATAAAAAAAGTCGACCATCAAATTGCTAAAGGTCTTGAGACGTAAACATGGGAGTTCTTGAAAACCAAGAACTGAGTGAAGGGGAGCGCTTACAAATTGCTTTCTGCTAAATCAACTCGAATAGATTTCGTAATACTGCATTTCTTGTCGGCTTCTCAACGAGTGCAGCTTTTAGGCGTGTTAAACGTTTTTCCGTACAAGAAGAGTAAAAGATTTATCAAGGGTTGGCAGACCGAAGAAGTTTACGACACCGAAAGACGAAAGGTAATTTCTAAGGGAACTGCGAAGTAATAGGTTTGAAACATTACCAGAAATTATGTTGTCATGAAAAGAAGCTGAATCTTGGAACATAAGCAAACACATGGCTATAAAAAAATAAAAAATACAAATTTTCCAGCTTTTTCAGAAGAAAATACTCTCTCAAAATAAAAAATAATCATCGCCGACGAGTACAATGACTTCCCCTTGAATAAATGTAGCTTGAGTAAATGCAATAGCTAAATAAAATTGTAGTGTTTACATTGATGTAATAAGCTTAATTTGAAACTTTAATTTTGTGATATTTTTTATAAATTCCTTTCTTATGCAAACGTGAAAATGAAAAGTTGAATTTGTTGGGACATCTATAAATTTTTGTGAATGTCATGTGACTTTGCCATTATTAGGTCATACAACCCTTCGGATATTTTTCTGTTATAAACAGGAAAATCGTAAGAATCCTATGTCTTCATGGTAATGCTATTAAGTTGAAGCAATTTTCAAAATTTTTGTTCCATTTTGGGGATACATAGGCCTAGATTATTCGGACAAAGACTGCCCAAACCTGAAAAAGTTTCCGTTGCAAAACCAAATCCAACACATTGCCATAATTCATTTATCGAATTCGTCCCAGTACTTTTGAATGTCAGTGTATTCCTGCCTCAAAGATCGTGTGTATTCTCAAATGGCTCAAGATGTCCATTTAAGTAGTTTTGCTTTTTTAGGTGCCAGAAGTCTCACTTTAAGAGAGGCTTCTGCCTGGTGTTATAAAAACAAATTTTCCTAGGTAAAACTTAACAAGACACAATAATCACGAACTAGTACAATAAAAATGAATAGAAAAGTGCTGAATAATTCAATAGGAATTGAATGCTTAGATAATGAATCCACCCGAACCAGTAATTGATGACTCAAACATCCGGAATAAACTGTTAAGATATTGTGAAAACCACTGTTCATGTGGGAAATTCACCAAGGATTCAATGTTTCATTGGAAAATCAATAATTTCGTTATAAACACTTATTTTTTATAAAAACCTTCAATAAGAAATCGAGCCCCAAGATTGTCACCTTCTACCTTGAGAAGCTGTTTGAAAATCCTGCCTTTATGGATGGGGTCGAAAGGATTCTTTTCAACGATTAAGCACCTTTTCCTGTTAATGTGACAGATCAATAGAAGAAAGAACTCCCGTCTTATCAGGTGCTCTATTTCACATCATCGGACGTTACGTGCTTCTAAAAAGTATCTTACTAGCTTTTGGTGTTCACAAACATTATAGCACAGAAATCAACCAAAATATTAAGAAACTGAGTGCTAACCCAGACCTTAGTTACTTGTAAAAAACAAGCGTATTTGAAACGGTGAACAGAAGGCTCGATCAGATAAACAAAGCAGTCAAAATGCTCGCCAAAAACCTGAAGAAACAACATGAGGAGCTTTTAAGGCCATTACAGACTATCCAACTGCTAATACTGCATAATTTCCCATCTCTTACCCCCCCCAAAAACAATGTTGGTTAACAAACTTCGAGTTCATGTTGATTGGATCACAACTTTGGACATTAGAAGTCAATCGTCCTTCAGCATTAACATAAATATACCATTAGCAGTGCTTGGCAGGGGTCTCAAGGATCGTAGCATTGACATAGCTCTTAACTCAATTTCAGTGTTTAGCTAAAGTGGCTTTCTGCTGCTACTTGTACTGCAACAAACAATTGGAAAATTTACAAAGATAAAATAGGCGTGATTGATAATTAAGGCATCGTTTTCATAGGAAACTAGGAGCAAAAATAAATAAATTCACTGGAATTTTACTATCTCATTGTAAAACAGCGATTTGACAACACATATTTCAACATCAAAAGTAAACTAACATTCAAGACGAGATAATTGAGACTTCAGGGCATGGTGAATAGCTCTGTTTATTCTTGAGACAAAGTTAAAAATCATTTAGAATAAAAAAGAAGCGTGCCTTCTAAAAGCTTCTTACTTAAAAATGCATTTCATTCTTCATAAGCTCCTCAATTGAGTATTAACTGCGAATAAACTGTGTACTGTGAACTATGAACCATGCACTATGACTTATGAATTATGACCCATGCATTGTTGCCTATGAATCAGGATGATGACCTATGACTTATGTATCATGACCTATGGCTTATGAATCACTCAACATGCTCATGAAAAACATAACATGAACTACAAAAAATAAAATGACAATGACACAAGCAATTAAGGGCACGATGACTGTACTACAGAAAAAACAATTACTGTAGGTTTTAACATCAAATTTGCTTAAAAAGCTTAAAATCTATCTTGGTTGTTTATAACGAATTGGGTTAACTGCATTCATTTGAAATTATGGGCGAGGAAACGATTAACTAGAGACTGCTTTCATTAAAATTCTAATCTGAAGTTCCTCCAACTTGGACCCTACTACAGAAACATCTATAATGGCATATCATTCAAGCTTCTATTTATTTTTACAGATAACGGTACGCCAGTCCTTCCAGATAAATACGATACAGATCCTCTACATTAAAATGGATCCTGGGTAGATTTTGACTGTTTTTGTTGACTGCATACAAAAATATCATTTACTGTTTTGTCTTTAGAGCATTAACAAGCCTAAAAAGAGGAAAAACAGTTATTAGAATTGATTTTCGAGAATATCACTTGAAATACATAATCTGGTTGAGAATATCAAGGCCGAACAAGCCAAAAAGGGAAAGAGACTTGTCATATCTATTTATATGTTACCTGCTACTATAGCATGATCAAACTATTCAACTGCCTGAATTCTTTAAGTTTTTGAAAAGTTTTCAGCAGAAAGGAGACTTTCTAAAGCTCAAGAAGTTGCTGCAAATCGACGCATAAGGTATTAGAAAACACAAGGGCTGCTTGGCTTGCTAAAACTTGTAGACATATCTGTCAACCAGCCAAATTGTTTAAAAAAACTAGACTTTTAAGTACGAATAAGTTTGAGACATACCAATCCATTGCTTCATCAAGACCCTCCCCTTTAATTGCTGAAGTTTTGAATATTGACCAAGATCTACTTTTCAAAGCTGATAATCCGAGGGCATTTGAAACATCTGTTGCTGACATTGAACCTTCCATGTCCTGCACAAACAGAGATATTGTCGTAAATCACATGCAATAATTACCAAATATTGCTAAGGTTCAAGCTACTAAACATAGATAGAACAAGCCAGACCAAGAACAAGGACATCGTGAGTATTTGACATCGTTGATTTTCGCAGTGCAGAATAAATCCAATTGATAGTTGTCTTACAGAAAAATGAGCTAAAAAATATTCAGTGTTTTTGACCCTATAGGCATAGATCAACAATAATTTGCATTAATCTTACTCAAAAGAAAAACCCTAAACATGATCCTTAAGATCTAATTCAACTCGTTTACAGTTTCGCAGACTGCCTGATACGATGCCCGTTGATATGGCACGGAAAGGAAGTTTTGGTGTGTAGAACAGGACGGTTCCAAGTTACAACTCCAAGTGCCATGCATAACATCAGGCATAACATAAAATTTATCAATCATGGTTAACTCCGACCTTGCAGCCGACATTTCCTGGCACAGATTTGAGTTTTAATAAAAAAAGTTACAATAACTACGGAATAATAAAGATCGATAAATTGAAACAATTAATGGATGAAAAAGCTATGTTGCAGTTTATTTTGAAGTGACTAGCCTAACAACCTAGCCATCAATATCCAGGAACTCCCCTATCCTGTATCCTTGTAAAACAAAAGACCCTTCAAAACTAAAGTCGGGGATGTTACTTACGTTTACTGAACTAATCAGCACCAAAAAAGATATATTCATTCCTCAAATTATCAACGAAGTGAATCGATCATGGCTTTGCATATACATTGGGGATGTGATTACAACTAATCTGCACTAAAAACAAACCTGTTTATTGGCTAGAACCACCAGAACTGCCTTTTGGAGTTCTTCTTCCTAACAAAGCAAACATTTCTTAGGCTATGAAGGCTTAGGATTTTTAAATATTTTCAAAAATTGATTAAGCTACAAAGATTTCAGGCGAAACGCGATGCATCTCTTTCAACTTATACAGGACTGCATGAGAATTGTTAAAGCATTGAAATCATTTAACAAAAAGGACACAGGGAAGAAGTATTCAAACATCCAGACTATCTGTAAGTAGATTCTAGTCAAATTGATAAGAGGAGTGTAAAAAGTAATTTTTGAAACGTTTCAAAGTAAGGTTTATAATTGCAGACATGTTCACTTAAAGAAATAAAAATACAGAGCGCTCACGGGCAACAAACTGAATTTGAATAAGGTATGCTTTTAATGTGGTAGCCTCGCTGATATGTCTAAATCTTTCCAGGGTTGCTGATAGATATGTAAAACGAAATTGGTTAAAAATAATTCATTTGGTCAAACAGTTCATGTTTTTCGAAATGTTTAAGTTTTGAAATTTGTGGTTACGCGGGAACCTCTTATAGTTTTTTATCGTCTTTTATGTTTATCCTAAGTAGATGATATAGGAGTCAAATGGGAGCTTTGAGCCTTTGGATATCAATTATTGCATCTGAAATAGATAGATTGTAAAATTATTACTGTAGAACTTGTTTTAAATAAATGTTTCGAAGTTGTAAAGCTGTCTTCTGCTCCATCTTGTTATCTAATTTTGATTGTAGAGTGCAAATCATACCCTTTGGGGAAATATTGGATTAAAATTCGTTTGTATTTACATTTTTCGTGAGTTCGATCTAATTTGCCTACAAAAATTTATCAGTCAGTCACAACTTGCTATCTCTAGTATACAACTATTCTCACACATATTATCCCAGCTGTGGCCTCAGATTCCATTGTTACAACATCACAGCTGTCCTACTTAAAATCCTAGTTGAATTTTCACAATTCGTTCTTAACACTGCTCGCTCTTGACCATGCTTAAGCCCAGGTCAAACGATCCAACATTTCACCCAACATTTCGCCCAATATTTTTCTTTTATGTTAAAGAGTGAACCAACGTTGCTGGTCAAACGATCCAACATTACGCCCAACGTTGTTCTTTTGTGTTGGAATGTGACCCAACGTTGCTAGTCAAACGATCCAAAATTTCAACTAACATTTTCACGCGCAAATCGAAAAAGGTCTGGGTAGAAGGTTGCTCGGGAGGCTGCACAGTTTCGTGACATTCGACATTCCATCCAACATAAAAAATGACGATGTTGGATGACCCAACCATATGTTGGATCGTTTGACCACCATGTTGGGTCATCCAACATCGATGAAATTGGAGACTGAGGTCAAATATGCTGGCAGCCGACATCCAACAAATTAATTGTTTTGAAATGTTAAGTGAAATGTTGGATCGTTTGACCACCTCAGCCAACATTGTTGGCTCTGCGCAAGCGCAGTTAGCTGCTGTACTTCATGTACACCATCAGCCAGCTGCATCAAATTCAAGCTCAGTTCTTAATAGGAAACGCCTGACACATTACTTGACATTTTTAAAGAGTCAAAAAGTTAAAGGTCAAAGTGTTAACGCAACTTTTACTGTAATTATAAATCCATCTATGCGCCTTTAAAAGCAATAAGTGATTTCTACAGGTTTAAAGCCCTCATTTGACGCCAAAATTATTTTTATAGGATAAACACACAACAAATCGCAAAAATATAGGTTTCGCGCCTCACTGCAAAGCCAATGGTTTGACCTTTTGCAAAACGTAAACAGCTTCATGAAAGTGAAAATATATGTATTTGAAAATTCAATCTTTTAATATAAATCTGTTATATATATTAATATAACTCTGGAAAGCTTTAAGGAATTCCCAGCTTACCATTTCAAATTCAAGCTTTTTGTCATCTCAAAAATATTTTGAGAAAAATTTTCAAGCATTTTTGTAAACTATCTTAGTGCTATAACAATCACAACCAGTTTTGAAACAAGGCGGGAACTTACCTCTAACATAGCAACTAATTCCTGTTTCGAAATTCCTATTCTGTCCCTATCTTGACTATCCACTACATAGATGACCGCATCAGTATTTGCGTAATAACATCTCCAATAGGGCCTGTAAGTATAAAGATTGCATTTTTAAGAAATTTAATGAAAAATTACTGCTAAACAGTCTGTCATACTGTTCTTGATACTGTATAGGGGGAGCAGTGTTTGGTATTCGGAGTGGTGTTTAGGGCCTTTCTCAGCTGCTAATCTGTGTCTCTTGTAATTCTCAAGCAACACTCTGCAATCATCAAGCAACAAGTAATTCTAGGAAATTCATTCAGGGCATATTTATTTCCTTAAGGAAACTTACATTATTACAAGTTTGATGCATTTAAAAACAAATTATCCTGCTTCATAATAAAAATAAGTATATGAATAGGGGGTGGCAACTGCTATTTTGAATAGGCAATTTAAGATAATATGCCAAACAAACGTGAACAAAACACACCAGGTTCAAAACATGAAACTTTGGCAATAGAGGTGGGACATAGTCTTACCATTGTAAATGAGCCTCAAAATGATTTTGTTACTGCTAAATGCCACACCATTACTTTGAAAAAGGTTAAATGTAGTAATCCTATTTAAAGCATCGGCCTGAGTTTAAAATCTTGGCTCTGCACCTATAAATATAAGGGTTTCTTTTCTGCTAATAGAATATTGTTGAACCTTTCAAATTTGTGTTCACAAAACAGTAACCCTTCCAAATTGAGAGATGGATGAGCCCATTTTTGGAAATGGAAAAAAAATAGGAAAATCACATTTCTAGAAAGTCATTCGGCTTGTCACACAACTCAAAATGCTCCATTTGAGCAATTGCAACAATATAATGTGAATTTTAGCAAAAAGCAATCAATAAACTGAGGACTCTTGACTCTTCTACTTCATGGTATAGCCATATACCTAAGCAGTTGAATCCCATTGGGTCAGACTTTTGAGAATTATAAAGAAATGTCTGGCCTAGCGAATGTCGACTTATCTGGGATATGGATTTGACTTGAATATGGTATGAAAATCAAATGGGAATTGAAAATCAGTCTAACTTAGTGAAAGTCTGAGTAATCCATGACTTTGAGTTGACAAGATTCAACTGTTAATAAACACCCATGAAAAAACGCTTTTATTGCAGTATTTAAATACAAAAATCTTCCATCAACAAAAATGAAAATTAACATACCTAATACTTGTCTGACCTAAAGGGAAAAAATGAGCACATTTAGTAATATGCGAGTTACTTCATTCTCAAATGAATAAATAAAACAATACATCACTATTAACAAGAGATAAACAGAAAGAACTTTCATGTTGGCCAAATTTCAGTTTCTTTTATTATATCACTTTTAGCTATAATCTAACAATAAATTTAAGTCTTTGAAGAGTAAAAATTAAAAGATCAAGAAATTTAAAATGAGAAAAAGTTTAAAGTACCCAATAATCAAGGAAAAAAGTTTATTAACTAAAATAGATAAAAACTGAAACCAACCTCCTAAATCCCACACTGTTAAAAAAGAAGAAAAACATTGGGTTATTGAAATTTAAATTATGAAACTAATCACAAAGACAAAGTTTAATTAATATGTTAGTGAGAGTGAGGCTCTTGTAGTCATAATTTTGTTGTGGGCACCCAAAAAACTATTCATCAACAGATGAGCCCTTAAAATCATCATGTCACTATTGCGGGGGAGGGGGTGGAGAGACAGCCAATTTATCCTCCCCATTGAATACATAGTTAGGAAAGAATTAAAGCATAATTTGTCTGTTATTTAGGAACCTTTTCTGATTGTCCTGCTTTCAGCTCATATGCTTATGAAAATATTAAAAACTTGTCATCAACATTATTCACTAAAACAACTTCCTCTTTGAAAACAGATCTGCAAAAAGCTTATTAAAACTAAATACATAAAAACGTGTGATGAAAAAATAATAAAATTACCTTGAAATTTTAAATTTTTATAAGTGACTGTTTCAACATTAAATCCAATGGCTGCAAAAGAGAAATAATTGATGAGAAACATATTACCTGTCAGCAAATAAACAGCATATCTAAATAAGTGTATTATGATCAAAATTCAGTACTGAAAATATAGGCATGTGTACAACATGTAACTAACTAATCCCTTCTATGAAAAAGCAATGGCTAAAAATTTCTATCAATATTTTTTAAAGCATCTTTCAATCTGGTAAAGTGTAAAAATCTTTGACATAAATTTTAAGCCCTAAAGCAATATTCTGTTGTAAAAAATATACCATCATAAAAAATTTGTTATATATATAAAAGAACATCCTTTGAAATATAAACTATTGTTTTTAATCAATTTCTTTATAATATCATCATCAACTTCATCATATTCAGTTTTACATGCTACCTTGCTGTGAATGGAAAAGTCTTGAAAGCTTTGCCAATTTCTATGTGGGTGAACTTTTTAAATCACTTTTAATGAAAATTAGAAAATATTTGGCTTATGTTTGCATACAAGCTTTGACAAGCTTTGGTAATATCTAGACCTTAACCTCTGGGCTATACAATTTGCATTTTATTGTTTGGGAATGTTTTGGACATGCTTTATAGAACATAAAATACACATTAAAATCAAAACAGAAAGTTTTCATCCCATAGTTTAATCGTATTGTTTTAATAAATCTAGCAGCTTCAGACAATACAGAAAATCACATCTTGAAGTTGATGTAGAATTGGCCAAGACTATAAGAATGAGAATTGTAAAATGTATACAGGTCATCAAATTAATTGTAAAATTTTTAGTTCAAAATATTGATCATTGTTCAGGAATTTAGAATAAAAAAAATGTAATTATGTTAAGAAATTACTTGGTATAGTTGTAACAACTTCCCCAACTTGTAATCTGCAAAGAAAAGTAACATGGGTGGACAGTTGTATTTTGTATAAGAACCAGCTAATTTTTGCGAATCTGGATGCTCTTATTTTCTTGATATTTTGAGGCTTGGGTGTTCCTGAAAATTGTTCTTAATTCAGCATCACTTTTTCTACACCAACATAGTATCAATATATTTTCCATTGAACAGTTGACTTGTCGGTAAAATCTATTCAGTTTTTTAAACATTTGACAACATTTTCAAAAAGGTTTTCCTTCTTATTTTTCATTTTTGGCTGGGCATGTTCTTAAAAAGCTTTTAATTTTTGAGAAATTGAGCCTTTTTTTATAGCCTTAAGCTATTAAAGTAGATTCTTAAAAAAGTGTAAAACTATGCCTTAATCATCTTGGTCAATCCTCAGACTCAAAAAGAAGGGGAAAAATAAACAACAAATAAACATTTGCATTGATGACAAACTGAATGATTAAATCAATTCAAATATTTTCAGCTAGATGCTTTGATATTTATTTATATACAATCTTTAATGCAGGCAACAATTTAGTTATTTACAAAAATGTTAAATTATAATGCTCAATCATATTTGTTGTTTGAGAAAAAAAATGCAGTCAGAATGCTCTCAACCAATGGAGAGACATCAGCATCATTCACTTATTTACTATATGAATCTCATTTAAAATCTTCAAGATGGAATTTTCAAAAATCTTGAAAAGCTAAATGCAAGATAAAAAAACAAGAATACCAAAAAGTCAGTAAACAAACAAAGCTAGGCTTTTTTAGCAAAGAGAATTATCAAACATATAAAACTAACACAAAGAGCAAATGAGTCCTGCAAATTTGAAAATAGTTTAATATCTATACCTATATAAAATTGTTGTTTTTCCTGCCCCATCCAAACCAAGTATAAGTATCCTTGTCTCCTTGGATCCAAAAATTCCAGAAAATATTCTAGAAAACAGTGACCCTGATAAAGAAAAAATAGATATAATTTTCATAAATATATATATATAGAAAAAAGATCTTAAAGGCACAATGTCCTGACAAAATTGGGTGGTTACCTAAATTTCTTAAGGGTAAATTACAAAATATGTTCTTTTTTACATGGACAAATAACCAAATTTTTACTTGCTTGCTGGGAAACAGATCAGGCCTCTTCTTAAAGACTTTAGCAGGTGCATCAGGCCTTTCCCGAAGACGCACGCTATAGCCCACGCCCATGCAAACTCCAGGCAAAATCAATTTGCAAGGGCTTTGATCGGTCCGTGCAGTTTTTCAAAACAACGTTCTCATTAAATCCACACAGTTTAGCTTATCAATGTTTGAACTACTTACCGCTAAATATCAGGGTGTTAGTAAAAAACAACTATATATGTGTTTATCAAGTGGTATTATAAATAGAAGACTTCCATTTCCTTATATAGCACATATTAACAAACTATTGAATTATCCTCTAAAAATTTGCAATGGAATAGGAAATGTGTTCACAAGAAAGGGACAACATAAAGCGTCAAATAGAAAACAATTTATTTCAAGTCAAAACATATAAACTAAGCATTCGCAAAAACGCCACATTAACAGTGCAAAACCTAACAAAACTTTTCTATATTCCAAAAAAGTTATGTTCCTCTTCTGTCTGGTTTTGAGGAGTGGTAATAAAACCCTTTAAAGGTAGTAATAAACACAAAAATGCCTTCTTCATCTGAATAGTGCATAGAGAATTAGCAAGGAATTAGCTAAAATAACTGGAACACAGATATTGTGAGTTCTATTGATTATTGCATATGCTTCACTTCCAGCTTTGAAGATAGCATTTGAGAACTATTTGACTGAGCAGAAATGTGGGAGCACAAAGGATAAACTAAGAGGCTTGCTTAAGAAAATGAAAGATACAGGCATCATTTGTTGAATCGCAACAGCTCTGGATACTCCCAAAGTAATGCAACCATTGACCCTTGCTTTGAAGGTGAAGGGCTAATGGCTTTTAATATCAAGCCTACAGTAGACATTGCTATTGGCAAGCTCTAAGATATTTTTGAATGCCATGGAGAAGTACTGCTTGATAGCCATCTGCTGAGGTCTTTTACATTTGAAGACTATGACTGGGGAAACATTGTGCTGGTTCGAGAATATTGCAAAGCAGGACATGAGCAACAGAGTCCACAAAACAGGGAATACATCAAAGTAAGGATGGATGATATTAGCCATTTCTGTCCAGAAAAAAGGTCAAACGTCATTGAACAAAATATCATTGATAGCTACTGATTGAACTGATATCTTGAGAAAGTGATTCAAAGATTTCAAATCATCAATTTTTATGGCAATGCAATGGCTTGACCCAAAATATTGGACTGATTCAAAAGATTATGGTGTTGAACAAATTGAGAAGATCTATCTTCATTTCAAGAAGCCTCTGGACGATGCTGGCTTTGATTTCTTCACTATTGGAAAGGAGTGGCGTTTGTTGACGGTATTGGTAGAATCTTTTTTCATAAAAGCTGCTGTGAGAAACCCTTTAACTCCAGAGAAGATATGGCAAAAAATTGTCACACGTCGCAAGGATGAACACCCTAATGTCTGTCTTCTAGTTTCTTTGCTGACTTGTCTTTCTGGCTCTAACTCGACAGTGGAGCGTGCCTTCTCTGTGTTAACATCGATGCTAAGTGATAGAAGGCTTTCTCTTCACCATGAAACCATGGAGGACTTGATGCTTATCAAATGCAATAATAAAAATTGAGGATGCCAAGAAAGAGAAGATATTATTGAAAGAGCTCTTTGTCCTTGTTGACAGAAGGACAGCCTGAAGTGAAGAGAGGAAGAGTCGAAGCACTATTTGAAGAAGTTTCTGAATCTGAATCAGAGCACAGTGACTCAATCAGTAGTATAAATGATGATGGCAATCATGAAATGAATGTAGAATGACTTTGTATTTCAAATACTGTAATGATATTTTCTTGAATTTCGTTGCAAATCAAATTTATCTTCCGTTAGCCTTTGATGACATTGTATTGCTATTAAAGTTTTTGAATAACGACGAGTCTCATTGGATCCAGCTCAGTATATATATACATCAAAGATATCTGTGTTCCTTGTTCCTAACAAAACTTTGCTCTATTCCAAAAAAGGTGATGCAGGTCTCTCTGTGAGTATTTTAGTGGGTGTGTGCTTAAACGAGTGCCTCGCCTTGCTGGGGCACATGTTTTACCAATAAAATATATTTACGTTAAAGTAGGCAAAAACAGCATGTTTTCACATGTAAATACTTTGTATCCAGAATCTCTAAACAAACTACTTAATTGAGCACTAAAAGCAAAATAAAAAAAAAATAAACACATTATTGTTGTAGTTCGTCAATGTCCAGCTCAAATTCCGACAAAGAATCGGATTCAAAAGAATTGGATGAATCAACATCAACAACTGTGGGTTAAAGTTGATTTTTCTTGCTGCACAGAGCCTCCTGTGTTCCATTCTCTGCAATATCAAGTCAAGTTTTTCATCGTTTCTCCAAATAAATTTGAACTGCACAAAAGAAAATTTCTTTTCTTTCCCTTGTTGACCAGACCTTGCCGTTTCCTTTGATAAGCATCAAATCTTCCATGGTTGTATGTGATATAATTAATCTGTGGTCGCTCAGCAACGCGTGAGTACACTGAATGCCCTTTCTACATCAGAATTTGAGCCAGCGATGCATGTCAACAATTCCATTACAAACGTAGGTTAGGAAACTTGCCTCTACTCTCTTTTCATGTCAGGTGACCATTAGGGCTAGTCTTTTGTTTATTGAAGTGTGTATGTCAACTCAATGTATCAAGGATGCAAAATTGACGCACAATTTAAAGTGGCTTCAATACATTTTGTATTTCATGGTCTTTGTTTAAGAATAGTCATGGGAGCTCTCCTGTTTTTGTGTGATTTCAATGTTTAAGTTTTTGATCAATTCATTTTTTTTAACCCTCGATTACTCATGGGCCTCAATCATAGGCAAAATAGCCAAAAGCATGTTTCCAACGAGAAATATAAAAAAACTTCGGAACGAGCTGAATTTGAAAATACCGTGTTCACGTTGATCACGTTGACAAAACAGCTTGTTCAATAAACTTCATAACAGAACCAATTGATATGTCATCATAAGCCTTTAAAACATATTGAGCAAACAAATGACCAACCCATGTATAATATTGGATCCCTTATTGCATCATCATGGTTGGTCACACGCGTTGATCCTGCGTCAAATATCAACAATGTCAAATATATCAATATTTTTTATACTATGTTTACTTTTTTAAGGATTATTTACTTACCCATTCTATACTTTAGTTTCTTGCACCAAACGAACAATTCTTTCCAAACCTAGGCCCTTCGACTGAGAAGCTTCTGAGGGCAACAGTAGGCCTAACTGGAAAAGAACAGGGCGGTTCTACTTCAGTACGGCTACAGTATTTGATGTCTTCAGTAAGTATAACCTTTTTTAATCTCTTTCTATCCTAAATTTTACTCAAAAAATCAGTGCACCACTCCTTCAGCACTTTACTATGCTTTTGATGATGACAATCTGAAGATGTGGCATCTCCTTTAGTCTCAATGAACCCTTTCTCGACCCAGGCCACTACGAACATTGTCATTGCTCCCCTGTAACTTCTTGTCGTAATAAGAGAACGGGCGACAAAAATATGTTGAAAGGGAAGGACAGAGCGCTCAAAGGGGTTCAGAAGAGAAAGCTAAAAACCTATTAAATTTGGAGGTAATTGTGACGGGGAGACCCACATGTCTGTGGTCAACAGACCAGGGACGCTCCAGACCCAACGGTGTCAACCTAACCAAGTATCAAAAGAGACCAAATTAAAATTTTGTCACAGGTTTACGAAAATGTTTCTCTGCTGGCCTACTCTGGGTACCAGAGCCTAAAAAATTGGGAAGAGAAAATAGTTTCTCTCATCTCAATTCCCCTCCCAGTTTCTGATAGCCCCTCCCGGGTTCCCAATTTCTTGGGCTCTGGCAGTGCTGGCCTTTGGAGACAGCCACTCCTTGGCGTAGGCCAGTGGAGTGGTAAGGAGTAACTCACACAGATTTGTCAAGTAATCATCAACCGGATAGTCATAATTAGGCCTTAGTAAATATTGCATATAAATATAAAACGTTATCATGGTATCATCTCTGCCCTGAGAATCCAGAAAGATACATAAAATGTTAACAACAGATAATTTAATTTTGCATTTGAATAGAAGTTTAGGTAAGTAAAGCAAAAAGATTTTATGTGCAAATTTTATCAAATGCTAATATGTGTACACAATTCTATTTCAATAACATGAAACAACGTCAGAACTCGACAACGTGTAAATTCTGTTACGAAAAACTATACTTTACTAAACTTGCCTCTTTTCTACAATATTTAAAAAGTGAATATAAAGTCTATAGACACAAACTACCAAACATTGATACATAACCAAATATTTTTTTATTATTTCTCAGTTTATTTAAACTATAGTCTATTCTTCACTACTAAGCCATAATCTCTCAGCTCTAATTCACCTCTAAGTTGAGAACAAGTCATGGGTGACCTCCTTTCAGCATAGACTTTTCACGGTAGCGAGGCCTTTACAACTAGCCCTACGGATTGCAATGTTAGATTCCTAATACAATGACTCAATCATGGAAGTTTTTGTAAAAAGGATGGGTAACCGGGATGGCAAAACTGAGCTTCGTCAATCACGATACGCACACTAATTAGAATGTTAGAGTAATCAAATGATTAAAAAAGATTAACTTATTTGAAATATTTATAATATTGGTAGTGAATAAGTTGTTGCCAGTTGATAAGTATACCGTTTATAGCATCTGCACGAGAATCTAATTAAAAACGTGTGGAAATCCAGGAAGGGGAAATAGAGTATTAAATAAAAGATATATGTAAGTTTATTGAAAGAGCCTTCTGAAATTGGTTACTGATCAAAAGAAGATAGCGACGTTGATTCTTTTATTGTTAGGTCCATCGCTACGGTGGGGTTGCCGGAGCAGTGACACCCTCTTGCAATAAATTCTTAAACAAAAAATCTTAGGCCATGCCTATTTCATTGTCAGAAAAAGCCCGTTTACCAACAAGGAACGCTAATTTTGCCAATAAGGAAAGCCTATGACCAGCTTTTGGCTGCGTAAAGGCAGTTTCAAAATCACAGGATTACATCACAAAAATATATTGGCAAGGATATTACCCCTCCTCTAACTTTTTCTCGTCGTATTTGAACAAATCATAAAATTGATTCTGCCAAAAACTGGGAAAACGTGCCCCCCCCCTAGTCCCCCGTGGTGCCGCTACTACATCGTATACATGGCTGTGCTAAGTGTCCAGATTACAACTTATTGTCATATGATTCACGATGTTGTTCCTTTTGAATGTGCTTTATTCTTTTACAAACACGCGAACTTCACAAAGTGTCAGGAGTCCTGTGTCTCTCAAAATGACGAAGACAAAACGACCAGAAACAGCTGATGTGCAAGAGAGGGTCACAGTGGAACCTGCGCTTGGATACCCAGAATAAAAGAAACACCTGTAATGATAAAAAAACTAAATCAAAAGACTTGAAAAACATAATGGCGTATCAAATCGCATTTATATATGCAAACAAAAAAACGTTCAGCGGCATATCATAGACCCTAGCATCTTCTCTGCATAGTGAACACCACGTGATTTTAGCTCAATAAACAGGGCCTCAGACGAAGGAGGGGCCATACCCCCAACTTTTCTGCAACACAATAAACCTTTTAAAAAATATTTTGTTATAGGTGTGGAATTTTTCCTTGCACCCCCCCCCCTCCCCCCTTCCACTTTCCAGCCTGTGTCAGAGCTCATGAGAAATAGGCACCATGCTTCTAGACATAATTTCAAACACAATGTTAAGTTATCTCTGGGACTAATCGCTATCCCTTCAAATTAACTATTTCTCTGATTTGGATTGGGCAGGGATGCCATTGAGTCCCTGCGCAGTATATACTAGATTCTTATATCCCCTATATAACTCATTATTCCAAGCAAGTGGTAGATTATTTGCTGATTCTTTTCATAATTTCAACTTCTCGTTTGCGATTAGTGATTTGTTTTTACGATCCATGTGAAACAGAGCAAGGAAGAATGACCCGAGAATAAACAAATCTTTACACTATATACAAAAAATGATCAAGAATGAACAAGCACTAATGACAATCATAACATAAAGATATACTTAATGACGAAATTCCCAACAACATAAGACCACTTATGGCTTTTCTACTCACTGTGAATTAGCATGGATGTTCTCCGTATCATCGCCAACATAAACGTAGAAATTCGAGAGTCTTGTTGCACAGCAGTCTCCACGATTTGTAATTTTCACGGTGCCAATGGAGTACGTAGCGTCAAGGTCCACACGCCACCATGGCTGGTACTGGCTATCTGTGTGTGAGCAAGACCCATCTCCATAGTTCGAAGCAGCATTACCATCGACGACTAAATGGCTATCACTTCTAGAAGATTGTCCAGTTTGTTTCCCTTTTGCTATATTACCTGAACAGAAGAATAGGAACTCATTTCCTATACAGGATAATTGATATAAGAAACGAGTACTGTAAGAGATGGAAGCGAGTCAAAAATGAGGTCTACAAGGAAATACTGGAAACATTTTTTTTGCTTTGTTTTTACTGTTTTTCCATTATATATATCCGCTGCTACTAGCTCAAGTTAAAGATTTACAAAAACAAAAATAATTCCAACAAGAAAAGAGGCCAATTATATTTTCTATAAAAATGCAAAAAAGAAATTTACGGTTTTTCCAATCGATGCGATTGGCTGTTGACAACTGTATGAACAACCCATGCACCAGCAAAAACAATTGTTCAAAAGTCTTGCAAGTTCTTTGCAGTTAACTTCAATTAATCGAAAATAAAATATGAAAGAAAAACTTTGCTAAAGCATAATAAATTACATACACACTTTTTTTATAAGAATACCCAATTTTTGCTGAGCCTCAATATTCTTAAAATTTTTCAATTTTGCGCCTAAGATTATTCTCAAATTATTCTTGCCCAACACAAGGTGTAAACTCAGATTAAGGAAGAATTTTAGTTTTGATGAAAGTTGAGCCTGGCATTATTCTTAAATTATTCTTAAATTTTAGCAATTTTGAGCCTCAATATTCTTATAGACTTTATTCTTATAAAAAAGTGTGTATATATGAAACACAGTTGGAATTTAAGGCATCAAAGTTAAGAAAAGCTTCAAGAAGCGATTTGAAAACTGGAATTATGAGTATGACGATGCAAGCCTTTAAAACACAGATTCAATTGAATTTTAAATTTTGAATGATGTAACAATTTCATAACCAGGATAGAATAATAAATTGATCAAAATCTGCGATGCATGCGTGAGTTGATGGTCTCTCAGAGGGTTGTGTTCAGTGACGTGGTAATATCAGCCCTTCAAATATACTTAGCCTTTTTAAAGCTATTAAGAGAAATGTTTCTGGGGGGCGGGGGTTGAAACACCCCCCAATAATTTTGTGTTCTTCGGCAGTTTCTGCTTCGATTCGGTAAAAATCTTTTTTAGTCAGTAATGACAAAATGACGAAAAAAATTAACTTAATTTATTGTCCTATCTGATTGATCTTAAAGTTAAACTGGCTTTTAAATTGGGCGTTTCCATCATTTTACAGTCATCTGAAGCGTGTGGCCCTGACATTCGTCCCTGAGAATAAGGGTCTGTCTTACTACAATAGGATTTCCTTTCACTGAAGATTACACATACGAAATTTCATGGAAATTAAAATTTCGATTGAATTTAGAAAACTTTAGCTTTTTATGTAAAAGCTGCAAAAATGACGGGAAGAAATCTCTTGACTTTGAGAATTCAATATTTCTGAAACATTTGAACGTCGGCAGAAAAATTTAGCAAATGAATATTCTTACTCATGTTAAACTTACCAAGTTGACAAAGGCTACCGTCAAAATCTGGCGGACAGTTGCAGGAGAATCTGTCCACGTGATCAACGCACTGGCCACCATTTTGGCACGGGAGACTTGCACATTCATTAACATCTAAATAGAAAAAGCATAGTAAGCCTTGTCTCATGTATAAAACGAGGCTGATAATAATGTGCAACAGCAGTCTCCTTTCGATTATAGCCTCCAAATCAACAAACCAAGGATGTTGCTATGTTCATGTTCTTGTTCATCTATTTATTGCCATCCATCGCAAAAATTTGGCTGGTTCGACTTGCAAGATAATAAGTCAGTATACCTAAATCATGTCTTAAAATTAATTTCAAATTACGTACGTTTAGAATTATCAGATCTTAATTTCATAGCCATTACGACCTCAGTGTTATTCCTTGCAAAACACATTTCATTATTATGATAACTTTACAAAAAATAAATAAATAAATGAATAAATAAATAAATAAATAAAGCCAACAATCTTGTATGTTCTGGATTGGCCAGATCTCGTTGGTTTCGTTTCGATGTTGATGCCTTTATTAAGTGTCTAGGCTTGACATGCTATAAAAGCTCTACTAAGCCCCCAGGGGAGGCTTAATAGAAAGGGGGACCAATTTTTAAATTTCGCTTCATAATAGGGGCTTAATAGAGAGGGGGATGGGGGCTTTATAGACCTACTCTACATTGAAAATAGAAGGTTGCTTGAAAATTGTATCAATGAACTTCTTAAGCGAAAAACATTTCAAATTGACACTAACCTGTTTCGCAATTGATTCCACTGTAACCTGCTAAACAATTGCAGGTGTATCTATTCACATGATTGCTGCAACTGCCCGAGTTTTGGCAGGGGTTGCTTTTGCATTCGTCGATATCTAAAATTTCCCAAAATGCTAATTCATAACTAAGATAGAAGATCGTGTGCATATTCATAAAAGGTGTAACACAGCCTGCTTAACAAGCCCAACGAGCTTTTTTCTTCACAGGGATAGCAGCCTTGGCAAAAAGCGAGCCTCGACAAAAATTATCTGTTTCTTTTAAAAACCAAATGAAAAAGGCGGTACTATATATTGTTAACAAAGTGTGAAGATTTTTGTCTGCACATATAAATACTATGCCTTGTTGACATCATGTCCTTATTCTGACATTCGCAATGCCGACAGTTTCTTTTGATTGTATACTTTGCTATTATTTGACAAACAAACAAAATATTGCAGTGTAGCTTCACAAGTTGCTTTTTTACCTCACAACAGCACATAAAGATTTGCTTATAAAAAACCATGGACAGACACTAAAGCGGCTTCAGCCACGTGTCAATCAATAACTGGCCAATCAGTGTGCTTGATTTCACATGCACGCCTATTAGTAATAATGATGAAAACATTTTATTTCATATTCTTCTACTTACAACAGTAACCTCACTTTTGAGTAGATCCATATTCATTATAATAATAATGATAATAATAATAATTGTCCTGGGTATGACATAAAACTGCATCCGGTTGTGGAGTTTCGACGTGGGGGAATGAGGTTACCCTTTGCCGCAACTACCTCCAGGTCACCCTTGATCAAGGTGTACTTCCTGTTAGCTCTACCTGAAGGCTCTAGGAGGATCGAAATAAAGGGGCTTCTTGCAAGCAAAACGAGCAGAAAGTACTTGTGACCACGCCCTTTAGATTTGCTTAAAATACATTTGAGGATATTTCTTGCAGTCATTTTCTTGCAATCATTTAAAACATTTTAATTTTTTAAAGGCCTGCTTTTGTCATAAGAAGTCTTTAGGTGGAATTCATTACTTTGAATGGAATTGCCCACAGATCTCGGCTTATTCCTTTGAAAATAGGCAATACTAGGATTTATTATACTATTCTTATCTTCTATTTCTTTTTCCTTTATTTTTTTCTTATTTTCTTAAAAACATTTTGTTGCATAAAATGCGGGGGGGGGCTGAAGCCCATGTGTGCATTAATGATTACTGTTGCTGGCAGCCAAGTACCCTGGGTGCCAGAGCTTCAAAGAGTCAAAGGATTGATAACGGGGGAAGGTATTGCGAAGGAGAATGGAAGAGGGAAGGGGAGAGACATCCTCCCACTGATCAGTGCATCCTCCCCTTTCCTCTTCCATTCTCCTTCGCATTTCATTGCCCCCGTTCTTCATCTTTTAACTTCTCGAGGCTCTGGCACCCAGGGGAGCAGCCATGATAAGTTCCCTTCTCAAAGTCACTTACCCAATTTATGAATGCTTTCAACTTTATTTTATATTGTTGTACTGTACATTATTATCAATTTTATTCCTGGAAATAGTATAGGCTTTAATTAGCTTACCTTTTGACTTCTTCTGTAAACCACGCCTACTTTAAATACTAAATGAATTATAATTATTATTATTATTATTATTATAACTTTCTAAGTTCCTTGTCTGAATGCGGAGTCTACAAAGAAGAGCAGAAATGAAATTCACTTTCCTTTCCTCTTTGTTGAGTCTGCATGCAGGCTTGGTTTTTGTCGTATTTATCATTTACCTTCACAAACTGCATTGGTTAATTGGTCGCAATTTTGATCATTCCAACCTCTCGCCTGTCAACTTCAACCAGCTCAACGCAATTTTCATTACCGTTGTAGTTGTCAGGGTTATCAATGATCCATTTAGTGTATCCCGGAGAAGAGCCGTCAACCCACACAAATGTGCCTTCGTGACCAATGTCATGTAGGCCAATCCAAATCATATCTGAAGCGTAAGGAGATACAATGCCATGGATAATGTTCTGCTCGGTTTCGGTCTGTATCACTGCCAACTCCTTGCCCCACTGTGAACATGTGTTTTTGGCATCTAGCCATGTTTTCTTCTCAGTAACTAGGCCATATGGAATATCAACAACTGAAATAAACAATACATTTGCAATGTTTCGACTTTCCAGACAGACCCGATTAACTGTGGTTTGCCATTTTCTATAATGCATCTTTGCTTGGGAGAAAAATATTTAGATGAGGAAACTTGATGGCTGGGCAAGTGCTAATTTTAGGGTACCGTTTCCCTTAAATATCTTGGCATGTCACACCGAGGGGCAATTCACTCTTGCAATTAGTGTACGAGATTTCCGAAGATTTTGAGATAAAACAATAGGATTTTCACAAAAGGTGTACGAGATTTTCTAAGAATGATTTGCCCTTCGTGTCATACGTTGATGTGGGTGTAGCCCGGCAGTTGAATTCGAGCTGGGATGAAAGAGGGGACGGCAAAGAGGCTGATTTTCAGACAAATTTTTAGCATAAGAATTGTTTCAGCACTTTCCTTTTGTTATAGAAACCTTTGTCCAACCTTTCAACATATTTGGGAATTTCAGGCTGGAGAGGCGGCAATGGCCCTGGCCACAATGTAACTGAATCAAAGCCTCCTACATAAGATATTGTTTACAACGGACATTGTTTCCATCTTTTCTGAATAACGGTCAGAAACAAATCATAGGATTACAAAGCTTCTGTAGTTGTCTCAGAACCCTCTGAAAAAATACATTCATATTTTCTCTAATAGTAAAAATAGCATGATTGAATTGAAAACACATTGTAGATAAATTTCTTTTCAGATAGCAAGCTTGGTTGACTAGGCTATAAGACTGTTTAGTATTTTGCGAAATCAAAGTAACAGGAACTTGCAGTAATAAAACAGAAAAACAAGATTGTGTAAGAGATGTGTGTATGTCCAATCATGGATCCCAGAGATGCGCCTTCACCCTCAGCGTTACTGTCTGCATCATTATGTGCAACTGCCATACTCTGCCTTGAAGGCTACCGTCAAGGTGGGCGAGGAACAAAGAACAAAAAAACAGCAAAATGCAGAAAATTGCTAAATTTATTATTTCAGGAGGTGTTTTGCCAGTTTCCCTCGTGATTGGTTATTTGTAATTGGTTAGTTAAAACAATTGCAGTAAACGTTACCTTCACAAATAAAAGCCATGGAGTATGAACACACTATATTGTTCCAGTCTCTCTCTATTCTCATTTCTACACAACGCTCGTTGTCACCTTGGGGTTCACCTGTGGCCCACTGCAGAAAAGAAGGTGAAGAATCGTCGATCCATCCAAAACCTCCTCGTGCTGTCATGTCACTGAAACCTATCCAGAAGGACCGCGTAGAATGGGAACTAGTGAGACTTTTAATAAATTCATACTCGCTTGCAGAATTGATAATAACAAGGTCTCTTCCAATTCTTTGACAGTTCTCACGGGCTTTGTACCAATCCACGCTTGTCAAATCTATCGTGTACCTTGATGCAAGGCCTACAATTGAAAACCGAAAATTTTAAAGTCATGAAATTTATTTATAATTGCTATATTGAATGAATGTTAGTAGCTACTTTGAGCAGTAGATGGTAAGGCAGCTACAAAAGCAAATCTAGCTTCTGCTAGCCAGTCGCAACGTCAGTGGCATTTCGTAACAAACTTTTTTTTGTAAAATCGAAGCTCATTAACCCCCTCTCCCTAACAAAACGTTTTTCAACGGTGAATAATTGTAGGTAGCCCACCCTGGGTGCCAGAGCCTCAGAGATTCAAAGGATGAAGAACGGGGGAAAGGAAATATGCTCTTTTTCTCTGCCATTCATATTTTTTCAATTTCTTCCAAAATTTCTTCCCCCGTTCTTCATCCTTTGACTCTCTAAGGCTCTGGCACCCAGGGTAAAGGGAGGCGTGTGAGGTGTGATACATTGCATTGCAAAAACGAGGAACGTTTTTGCCATCTAGTGGTGCCTAGTCGGCAAATGAGATAATATAGGACGGCTCAACAACTCTGTCGGCAAATGAGAGTTTGAAAACCTCCTTAAGCACAGTAGCTAGGGACTGGCGTGGCAAAAACAAAAAATGGGGAAAGGAGATGTGTCATCAAATGCGGAGGCATGTAGTTACACTGACTTACGCTCTGAACAGTAGGTGCCCGAGTAACCTTCTCTGCATGTGCAACTGTAAGAAGCTTTTTTATCATGGCAAGTAGCTCCATTTTGACAGGGGTTGCTAGAACACTCGTTGTAATCTGAAATGTCATCAAAAAGTAACATCTTAAAACAAAATTTTAATATATAATTCTATCAAGAAATACGTTTCTACTAAACAATGGCTACCTAAACCATTGACTATGCCTAAACAGTTACCTGAATACAAATACCTCAATTGAAGATTGAGGCTCGACAAATGGGTAGCCTGCGCGCAGCCCCAAACACTTCTATCCCAAAGAGTAGAAGTATCTACTCTTCGGGATAGAAGTGTCTGAGGCTGCGTGCAGGCAACAAAAGGGCTTCGCCAAAAGGGGGTATTAGAAGAGGGAGCTTTACCTCCAAATCTGTTTGCCCATCTTCACATAAGATATTTTTGCTGGGAAAGAGAAGAAATTTTTCCATACCCTCTAATGTAATTGGACCATTTTGTAACAATGTTATTTACATTTATTCAGCAGTTTATCTTTCAAATTATAACATTTAAAATACTTGAAATTGAATTTTTTGAATGCCAACCAACATTAAATCATTTATCATGACCACACCCTTAAATAGTGAGATACTGCACCCCTAAGAAATATTTTTGCCCCTCTCCACCCCCCTGCTTGACACTCTTTTACTGTCCGATTCGAGTAATTTTTCAAGTTTTGATACCAAGGATACCTAAACAAGTACAGCTAAGGAGAAAATGGTAAAATAATAATGATGATCCTGAAGCTTGAAAATTTACTGCCTAGAAATGAACACCTGTTTGGCATAATGATCCAACATATCCTGGTACACAGTTACAACTGAACTGATTGATAGCATCGACGCAAGTTCCCCCGTGTTGACAAGGCTGGCTAACGCATTCATTTAAGTCTGAAAGATAATAAAATAAAATACTCTTTATGGTTTGAATCAAGCATATAAATGGTTTTTAGGGGGCTAACTGACAAGCTGCAATCCAGAGACCGCAGGGCGACCGAGGGATATAATTCTTTTGAACCAGAATCTATATTCCCCACTGATCTATAAAAAGACTGGGTCGAGCTTCCTATTGTCTTGAAACACAAAAGTTTGGAGCCCGTTCAATTTCAAAAGGAAGAGGGCCTCAAACAATAGCGGAAAGCCATTCCTCAAAAACAATATTTGAAAGATATGAATTCGTGAGAGCTGCAATACTGTGTATATGAGTCCTGGAAAAGACAAGATCGGTAATATTCACTATCTCTATTTTCTGGCTGAGAGACATTCCTCCGGGCAAAAAAATTATACTCTAAAATCTTCCCCATTTTCAATTGGTTCAAAACGGGCGTTGTCAAAAATGGGGTACTCAACTAGTCTTGATTCCCTCTATTTCCGACTCTGTTTTTCCAAAACATTTTGAAAATTTGTAGCTTAGTTTCACCTATAAATAGTTTTCGAGAATTCCGCCTTCCCCCGGACAGTGGCCGTAGAGCCGTAATGTTTTCCAGACTCTGATTAGTAAGGTCAATTTTTTTTAGTTTTGAATGAAGATAGGTTATAAGATAAGGTATCTTGGAATCAGGTAGACGGCAGTCGGTGGGGTGTTCTAATGTTCACATGAACTCGGGAGGATGGATGAATTGTGGGACAGAATTTTGCAACACGATTTGGAAACTGAAATGAGGAAACTGAAAAAAGTTGGTTGATTTTCTGCCCTCCTTCCTCTTTTTCTTCTTCTACTTTAACCTGGAGCTACTCTGGTCCTAAAGGAGGGTACTCCCGTTCAAGCCAGACAGGGGGTCCAGTCGATTTGAGAATCTTACCGAATGGCTACCAAATGGCCCAGTTTCGAGTATAACACTACCATTTGGGGGTATTTGAAGTAGTTACTACTTAAGGGGGAACTTTCAATCAGCTGATTAGATAAATTTGCAATTTATTATAAAAATTAGCAATATATTATCTTTCCCGAACCAATAACAGTCAATTGCGAAGAAATTTGTCAGAGTGGGACCAGGCGAGCACAAAGAAATGATGCTACCAAGGGCATAATTTTGGTTCTTATGCTACTATATGAGGGTTATTACCAAAAAAGACTACAATTTCAGGGTTATCTTTTCACACTTTGGCGTTGGCCCTCTTTGACACTGACTGGACCCCCTGTTGGACCATAATGGGAGTATCCCCCGGGTCCAGGTCTAACCACATAAAACTGTGGGGTGTTGTAAAAGTTAAGATGCATTTTCCGGCCATCTCTAGAATGCAAATTATCATTTTATTTGCAAATTTTCTCTAGAATTTTCAACCATCTACTAGACAGTTTTACCTCCTCCTTCCCTACTTTGAACCACCCTCATTTGTGATGTCCCTAATTATCGGTGCTGTGCAGCTTAGTGATACAAGCGCTGCGACGCTTATTAACCATCAGAATAAGTTGTTTCAAAAAAAAATTACATTAGCAACAAATAATTTCGTCAGATTGATTTTCGGTGGATAAACTTCGTCGAAAAAAATTTCGGACGACTCTACAGAATTTCGTCGTGACAAAATTTCGTCAATGATTTTTAACACAGAGATAGCAACATATTACCAAACTCATAAGAGGCAAAACCATACAGGTTGTTTTGTATTCAATCCCATATGTACCGACTTCGTGGAGACTTAGGGGCTTGAACACAAGTTCGCAAACTTTATACTCTCTCGAGATTCTTCGGCACGGCACTAATATGATCTTATATCTATTACGCCACTGGTGCTAATGGTGGGACAAAGATGTCTTTAAGAGATCTTCCAATCTATGGTATTATTTCAGATTTTAATAACGTCTTTACTTTGCAGAAATTAATTTACTTCATTGAAAGAATGTTAAAATTTACCTGACTGGCAAAGGTTTCCTGTGTATCCTGGCAGACAGATACAAGTAAACTTATTGATACCGTTGATGCATGTAGCTCCATTTCGACAAGGGTCACTTGCACACTCGTCGATTTCTGAAAAGTAAAATGATTTATACGTAAGTATAAAACTGGGTTTGGAACAAAAGCAAATAACAACACACAGTAAAATATTTTACTTAAGTAAAATGGATAGGGGCCAAGACAATTTGCTATTATTATAGCATGCTGGAATACAGATTACAATCTTTCACAATAAGGATTACGAACCCCAGTCAGTCAAACCTCTAGAGTTTTTCTTTTTAGTGAATGTTCTCCCTTGCATTTTGAATTCCTATTCCAGAAAGTTTCATTTCGTAGTGATCCTAGGCTTCCCCACCCTTCATTTATTCCAGCCTCCATTTGACAAATCTATCTTGAGAATTTAACCTCCCGTCTATTAAACACCTGAAATCTAAAACTAAAAGTTAGGCCTGCTAGGTTCATCATTGTGACGGTACTCGTGCTCTCTGCCATCGTTTTTCACATCGTAACTAAAGCTAACCTCTTCAGAAGACTCGTCGTTACTAATGAAATGTCTTTTCCTGCTCTTCGTTGAATTGAATGTTAATGTTGAATTTGAATATGGGAATTTGATTAGCGCCAAATCCAACCCATTGCAACAATTGCCCGTGCACAAACTGGACAATGTTCAGTAGAGTGGCAAAACAATTAAACATTTCTCTACAACATCTATGAACAAAATATATTTAATCCTGTCCACCTAACATTTTTTACTGCCTTAAAAATCGATTGAACAACGCTCAACATCGTTGAACAAGAATGGACAAGGCGGCAAAACGACGCAACATTTACGCTGGACGTTTACGTTTGTCCAGTGCATGTTCAAAGAAAATGTTCAGTCGTTTTGCCGGGTTGGGCTGTAGATGTTCTTGAAACTTACCTATGCAATTATAGCCTTTCAGAACCGAACATGTTTCTACACATGCGTACCCAACACTGCAATTAACTAAACGACAGCGAGGGCTTGCCTGAAAACAAAAGAAAAATTTATTTAGTGATACTCGAGAATACTCAAACGAATAACTTAGCTCTACAAATATGTCACGGATTTTTAAAAAGATGTGGTCAGACCTGTGCTACTTGTTCATAGTGAATCCATCCTGATGCATTTGTCAATGAAATGCTTTGATTTGCTTTCGAAATATCCAGCAGTTGGCAATTATTCTCTTGCAAAGAGGCAGGAAACTTCTTGTAATTGATTGTCATACACTTCTCTGCCCCTGTGCACCTCTTTGCGCAAAGTGAAAGCCTGTCGGCGTGGATCTCCAATATGGTATTTTGCGCAGTGCCAGTCAACTTTTTATCACGGTCAGTTGCTTTCATTAGAACATCTCTTCTGCACGATGAACGGTGTATCTTTTCGATGCTTTGTGTTTTTGCACAGATCAAAATGCTGAATAGAACTGTGATAGCACCAAAACATATTTTGGATTGCATTTTCGTATGCGATCCAAACAATTGACACTAGAGAAGCGAACTGTGCATGATTTGTGTCAGGGCCCCTGATATCTCAAGCTCGAATCATTTAGTAATTCTGTTTGAACTTCATGGTTACATAATTGAATTATTCAAGCTGAAAACCAATCATCCGATTCATACAGGTATCAGTATTTTGCATACAAGTTCAAATTCAGAACCAACTGTTAAAAGGCACTTCGTCACGACGAATTCCGTTGGCCAATAAAATTTGTCATTGGTTGGAGTGCATAATAGACTATTTGTCAATCATCCAATCAGCAGTGGCGGTTTTAGGGACTGCGGGGCCAGGGGACAAAAAAATCTTTTTTCTTAGATGTGTGCCCCTTTTGGCTACCATAAGCGCGGGGCCTGGGGCCATGGCCCCCTGGACCCCCATTAAAACCACCACTGCCAAAAAGAAACGTAAAGCTAATTCTGAATGATTTGTCGATCATAAACGCGCTGTTGACTCTGCACGTTTGACTGGTGGAACAAAAGAACATTATCCGCAAAAACGGCAGGAAATTTTTGAAGTACCCCCATTTGCTTATTGATTTGAGAAACTTTAAATGGGAGCAGAGGGGGGGGGCTGGAGGTGTGGGCTTTGCAATCTTACACATCGAAACAACTGCAACAATACAAATAGCTTGCAACTGAGTTCATGGTTTTATTGCAGTCATTATATTTTAAAGGATAAGTTTTATGTTGATAGACGAACACATTACACTGTTTTGGTATCTACGGAAAAGCATGTTGGTTTATTCGGTTTTATATTCATGGTGCTTCATAAATATCTACACAAAGGACATGCTAGAAGCTAGTGTAATTAACTTTGCTCCTGATATTTATGAAATCTCATTTAATTGTTCAATTATTTACAATATTCATTTGAAAGCACAGGTTATGGCTAGGTCATGGAATGGGAATAAGTGGGAATCCATCGCCTTGAATGAGCGTCAATGGAAATGGTTTTCAAAATTAGTTTTCTGGTTGACATGAATATTAAGATATTGGTACGTTGGGGATGCAGGGGGTGCGACCTGGCAAAATCTCAGCCGGCAAATCAAATAGAAAAATTGAATTCAGTCTACAAATCGAGAAACCGCCTGATATCGGTAAAAACAGCTTTCCTAGTAGCAAGGACCATTTGTCATGAAACCGAGAAAATATGTTGTAATACCAAACCCAGGTGATCACGCTGGACGAACGATGTCACACAACTGTTACCCTGGATGCCAGAGCCTTAGAGAGTCAAAGGATGGAAAACGGGGAAAGGAATTGTGAATTTACCCGTTCTTCTTCCTTTGACTCACTAAAGGCCGATTTCCATTTGACATTTCTTGTGCGCGCGGGCGTAGCGCCCGAATCTGAGCATGCGTAGTTAAAACCAAGTTAAAACCAGATGGTTAAGAGAAGTTTCAATCAGGGAAATTGATTCTCACAACAAGAAGTACGCTGACAATATAAAGCTACGTCCGAAAGCCAAGCCCACCAGTCAATTTTTGAGGAAATTCAATAAAACGCCAAAGGCAACCTCAAATGGCAAAAATCATCAAACTGAGAGGGGCCAATTCGAAGATTTACAGTAGCAGTGGGGGCTTATTTTAGGGGGGGGCTTATTGAAAATTTGTAGTTCTAGAGCAGGGGTGCTTTCGAGGGGGTTTCTTCAAGGGGGGGGGCAATTCGAGAATTTACGGTATTTGAGACATCCGTTAAGTTCACTTTGAAAAACGAATTATCTAGAAGCAGACCAAGAAATTTGACATGCTAAGCCATTTTTACATACTTCATGTCAGATTTTTTGTATATTTTCATAAACCTGTTGTTGTGGTGAATGAAACATGACAAATAGAGTTTCATCATGATTCAGGGATTGATTGCTAGCATTAAGCGACTTTTTGCCAAGCTTTCGGTTCATATACTTTTCGTTCGACACATGCTGTTCTGCTGTGCGGACGTGTCTTTGGACGGATGCTGTGCGGATGTGAGTTAGAAAAGGAACATATTGATTAATATTTTAGTTTACGTACACATAATCTCAGTGCCTCAAACTTTTCTAAAGTTCAAGTCTCAACCAATAAATATTGCTATTAATATTGAATCTCAAATGTGGCCAACATGAGTTCACAAAAATCCACCGATAAACGTATTGATGAAATTTTAAAGATCGTCAGCCAAATGGAAAGCAGACAAGAAGAAGATTCCGACAAACTGGAAAATCGCTTCCAGAAATTTGAAAAGTCGGTGGATTTTATTAGCACGCAATTCGAAAGCCATAAAAAGATGGTGGACAGCGTAATAAAAAGAAACAGTAAAATCGAAGCGAATAACGAGAACCTGAAGCAACAAATCGCAAAATCAAAGAAGGATAATAATAATAATAATAATAATAATAATCAATTTATTTAAAGTTGGCGCTACATAGCTATTTACAAAGAAATGAGCTAATCCAAGCCAACTGTTAAAACTACTACATCAACTAAATACATACGAGATTAAATGCATAAAATTTTAAATACAAAATGATCCATTAAAAAACTATAAAAACCTGAGCTATTTAAAAGATAGAATTACAAAAAACCAAGCTGTGGCACGAACGTCCTACATAGTTTGCATGTACAGTCTGTGCCATTCCAGCTTTTAATTTCTTTCTTAAACTCATTAATAGATTGAGCATTCCTTATGTGCTGAGGTAAAGAGAGCCAAAGACGCTGCCCTCTATATTTGATAGTTTCGGTTCCATAAATGGTTGTTCTTACTCTTGGTGCCATAAATTCATTATTATTTCTCAAATTATAAACAGCATGACGCTCGCAGAAACTCTCCCTCATAAAAGGAGGGTTGATATTTCCCTTTGTTTTAAACATTTCAATCATAAGATTTCGCAGGTGTTTTACATGAATATTTACCGAGCCATCATTTTCTAGCAGAGTGTTGAAGCTAGAATCATAGTCTTTGTATGCAATTCTCAGAGCTCTTTCGTGTATTCTATTAATCTTACTATTCAAGTGCCTACTGTGGAACATCCAGACTAGTGGACAATATTCGAATTGGCTAATTACAAATGCTCTCATTAAGATTTTAAGTTTATTAGCGTCCATGTATCCAGATATGCGAGCGAGGGCGGTGAGTTTGCTACCAGCCTTCTTACATAACTTACTGATATGTGTCTCAAAACTGAGTTTTTTGTCTATCACAACACCTAGTAGCTTTTCCTCTTCCGAGTTTTCTATGATAGAATCTCCTACATTAACTTTAACCTGTTGATTAGAACTTTTGCCAAGAATAAGTAAATGACATTTGTTTGTATTCAACTTCATAAAGTTATCAGCGAACCATTGGATAGTTATACTTGAGTCATTCTCTAGCCTTGCAATTACATTATTGAGATTTTTATCTCACGCATATAGAGTTGTATCATCCGCGTAATTGCAGATATCCGTATCCATTAAGGAGAGAAGTAAGTCATTTATGTAGATGTTAAAGAAGAGGGGACCAAGAACTGATCCTTGCGGAACACCAAGGAGCAATTGTTTGTAGGTACTGAATGATCCATTAATCTTAACTCTCTGATGCCTATTTTCCAAGTAGCTGTTAACAAGACACAGTGCTTCATGGCTGAATCCGTAAGCATCTAGTTTTGCTATAAGGAGGTCATGTTTAATACAATCAAAGGCTTTCGAAAGATCCATAAGGATTGCGCCAACATTTTCTCCCCTGTCTAAGCTTGCTTTCCATTTTTCAAGCATTCGAACTAATGCGTGCTGCACATTGTACCCTTTACGAAAACCACATAAAAGTGACGATAAATACGATTGCATATAATCAATAATCTGTTTATCCATAAGTCTCTCAAAAACCTTTGAAACAGTTGGTAGTACACTAACCGGTCTGTAATTTTTCTTATTGGTTTTCTCCTCCGATTTGTGGAGGGAAGTGACATCTGCTAGTTTTAATAGGTCGGGAAAGACACCATTTTGAATGCAGTTATTGAAAATAAGCTGCAACGATTCGGAACAAATGTCAGAGCTATTTTTCAGCACTCTCGCGGGTATATTTCCAAAGGTTGTTGCCTTTTTAGGATTAAGCCCCTCAATTTCAGAGTGTATCTGTTCCACAGTAACCTCTTGGAATTTAAAGTAGCCTTTAATTCGAGCAAAACTGCGAATTTTCCTAATGCTAGGGTGTTTTGAATATTTCATTATAGCCTTTTCTATAGGATCTGATAAACCATCTGTACTTATGGTAACCTCCCTGTTCCCTGTCAGACCTAATGAGTCAGTTATCGATATAAAATAATCGTTCATGGCTTCTGCAACTTCCTTATCATTGGAAATCATCCTATTATTATCGATAAGGGTAATATTTGAGTTCGATCGACTTTTATCGGAAAGGACAGGTTTTACAGTTTTCCAAAATTTCTTGTTGTCTGTAATATCAGAAGTATTCAAATTTTTATAGAAATTTCTTTTTTCCGTTCTAAATAATTTGACACACAAATTACGCTGTCGACGAAACGCTTCCCAATGTTCAGCTGTGCGGCTTTTATTATATCTATTTTTCAACCTAGAGCGCAGCATAGTAGCTTTACGAAGAACTCGATTCATGAAGGGACCATCATTGGCCCTTGCGTATTTTTTCTTCATCGGTGCATGCTTATCAAGTACCTTCTCAAAGCAATTTTGAAAAGAACTGTAGTCTAAATCAGTTGTTTTAATGCTAGCCAACTCTTCCTTAAGTTCTCGTTTGAAAGTCTGCTCCGAAAATTTCTTATATTCTCTATAGTTAATAACAGTAGGTCCAGCCTTTTGGTACGTCGTTTTCAAAACTGTGACTATCATTTTGTGAAAGTCAGAGAGACCTGTCTCGGTAGTGGTGGTATGTTGGAAGCTCCTATATCTGTTGGTTAAGATTAGGTCAATACACCGTGGATTGTCAGCCTTGAAACAGGTTGGCTCCTTCACCAGATTTCTGAGGTCATAACTATTCATAAAAGTACGAATCTGTTGACCTGTCTCTACTGTATTAAAATCCCCAAGTAATAAAAATTTGTCATATTTTTCACTGTAATGATCAACTGCTTTGCCAAGATTTTCGAAAAAGTGTTCTTGTGATTGGGACGGTGGTCTGTAAACACTGAAAAGAGCCCACTTATCCCCCCTTAAATTGATTTCAAAACAAATACATTCAATGTCAAGATCAAATTTAAATGACTTTAACTGCTTCATTGTGATGTCACTTTTCACATAGACCAACAGACCGCCACCCTCACAATTTCTGTCAAGCCGTAGTGGATCAGCATAACCTTCAATATAGAATTGTCCCTTTGGGAATGAATCATCAATTTTTGTTTCGGCGACCATTAGAATGTCAAGATTCTGTGAAACTATCGCTTTTAGTGCATCAAATTTATTTCTAATGGAATTTATATTTAGATACCCGATAGTCATACGACCTATGTTCTTTAAACGCAGATTATGTAATGCTGATTTTGCATCACTGTCGTCGGTGGTGTCATGTAGGTCATGCGCAGTAGTTCCAGCAGTAACTGCTGGGGCGTTACAAATACTGGCGCTGGATAGATCAGGCTTCCCAGGTTCTATGCCGATGGGAAGCTCTTTGTATGGTTTTACCCCCTCGATTTCTAGTCAGTATCCTAGATTATAAATAAAATTGTTACCTAGATTATAAATAAAATTGTGAGTTTTTCCAAGTAAAAAGTGAAATCGATGATTTGGAGCAGTTTGGACGAAGGGATACGGTGGAGATTTTCGGAATTCCTCAAAAGTCCGGAGAAGACCCTCTAATCAGTAGCGGCGCCACGGGGGGGGGGGCACTGGGGGGACACGTCCCCCCCAATTCTCGGCAGGACCAATTTTGTATTTCGTCTAAATCCGATGAGGAAATGTTGGGGGAGAGGTACTTTTTTTATGTCATCCTTTGATTTTCAAACTGCATTTACATAGGCAACAGTTATTTATGGACGTTCCTCTCAGGGAAAATTGGCCTTCCTTGTTTGTAAAAGGGCGTTTTCTAGTGCTAAAAAGGCGTGGCCTAAATTTTTTGTTTTGCCCCCCCCCCCTCAGATTGTAGTGTCTGGCGCCGCCAGTGCCTCTAATGATACTATCAAAAATCGGCGAAGCAGTTGGCGTTGACTGTGGCAGCGAGTCAATTGAAGCTCGAATTGAAGCCTGTCACAGAATAAGCCTTAAGAAAAGACTCAGCAATCATTTGCAAGTTCAAAAACCGCACGGCAAGAGACCTACTCATACAAAGGAAAAAAGATCTACGAAATGTCACTGGTGATCGTCTTGGTTTTGGAAATGTGCAATTGAAGATGTACTTAAACGAATCTGTGATAGAACAAAGAGTTTTAGACGTTGAAAAATTGGGTCACTTTGTGCTGTATACAGCTTATTCTCTGCCACTAGATCTGAAAAAAGCTAAAAAATAAAATATCCTTCAAAAGTAAAACAAAAAATTACTTTTTAGAGCCAATTTCTTAGAGTCATAACCTAAGTGAGCTTGATGCAAATATTCGTGCGTACTTTAAACCCTTTTTTCAGTTTCTTTCATCTGATCTTATTTTAATTTCCTTTTGAGTTACTTTAACACTTAAAGCTGGTATTTAATTAAATTATCAAATTTATAATATATATAAATATATATATATATTTATAAATACTTGCAATATAGATTTAATCGCAGAAATAACACTTTTTTGGTACCGGTTTCATCTGATCGTGCAGAATCTTCAGTATTTATAATAATGTCATAACATATACATGTAAAGTGCTAGAATAATACTTAAAATCATCATAACTAAACCAAAGCAAAATAGCATTGAAACAACAATCAAACAAACTTATTATGATGAAATCAGCTCAACATCATCGATATCAGTTACAAATAAGAAACGAAATAAGAAACAGGCGAGGCTGAAATTATGCAAGAAAAGAAACGCCAGTTGCCAATTGTTCTTATAAAGAAAACTACCCTGGTTGCTAGAGAATGCTCCTCCGCTTCTCCGCTTGGTTTTCCATTTCAGTGCTCGAAATTTTGTGGCTCTGGCATCCAGGGTAAAAGAAAACGTGTATGGAATGCAGGCGCACGAATAATAACTTTGTCCCACCTGCCAGCTAGTTTAGATTCTACATGGGAAAGTTTCATATCAAGGGGCCCAGAGCAGGATCCCACTTGCTCCGTGTAAATGGTTTCTTGCATAAGCACCAGAAGGAAATTTCAAAGGTTTGTATGGGAAGGACGAGTCCCAACTCGCCGCTAATTGGCTGGTAGGTGACTAACAAAAACATATTCAGGGGAAATGTGCTTGTAGCCCCAAGAGGGGGCATTTGTGGGGCTAAACTTTCTTTATTCTCAATTACAGAATACGTTTGAAGTAATAAAACATCATAAAAAATGTCAACGAAATTATCTATTTTTTCTTATCAACGAAATGACTCTAGCCTCTCACCCATTATACCTCGAGAAACGATGTACTTTTTCAGTAGCAAACTTTCGTTAAGATATCATTTCATTTTCATTTTCCATTTTGAACATATTTATACAGGGTTGCAATTCAGAAACTGGTTTCTGCTTTAGAATTGGCCCCTGTTCAAAAAAGTCTATTTACAAAGTAAATTTACTAAAACTAAATAAATAATAACAATCTAATTTACAATAAAAAGAAAAAGTAGAGAAACGAAGATAGAGTGGCTTCACGATTGACACACTCCTAGCTTTCAGTCTAAAATCAAAGCAGTGTATAGAGGGTGCCAATTTGTTGCTGCATCTAGATCGTTCCAAACTTTGGCTGCAAGATAGGCCACAAATCTACCGTGGAACATGACCTCGATTTTACGTTGTTAAGAAAATACAGCGTTGTAAACCTAGCCACGAGAAACCTTCACATCCAAGGGGTTTAAAATTAAGAAAATTTCAAGTCAATAATAGCTGTTACCCGACAAAACTAAAACTTTGCATATTTCAGTTGTTTTAAATTTGAATATCACGCGAGTATGGAAATTCGACAATTTTGAAAAATTCACCATATCTAGATACGATTGCCATTTTTAAAGTATTGCAATGGTATGGGGAAAATTGCGAATCTAAAGCATAACAGGTCTTGATATTAGCTATTTTTTTATAAATGAATTACTTATAATTAATTAATTTCAACTGGGCATTGAAGTATGGCAGCGTACTTCTGCTTCTTTGACCTCTATACCATCTCCAAGCCATTTTTCTTGCAGTTCTAGCATTAAAACCATAAAAGAGAGCTACCAAATCTATATCTACGCTTTTATGTAGCTACATTCAAATGATCCGGCAATCCAAACTGTAACCCGAAAAGATTCTCACTCCCGGGCGAATACAAAAACCTGGCAAAGGGTTAAAAAATTAGTACCGGGGAGCGAAATGAACACATAACGCCCGGAAACAATCGATGAGCACGGTAATGTAACCGTTGCACCGAGGCTTGGGTAACCATAGTATCGACGGCATCTGAAAAAATGACGAGAATTGTAAAAAAGCTTTAGTTAATGAGAAAAATTTGAAATATGACACTTTATAATAAACTTGTTTTTGTTAGATACTCAGAACTAAATATTGCCAGAATTTTTATCTTTGTTTTTTTAAGCAGTAAACAAAATGTTTAAACGGGATATAGTGGCTCGAGCCTTCTGTCAGTCCACAATAGACCATTCTCCTTATTACGTCATACACTAGTCAGCTCGCAATCAGAGATAGGCAGTATCTTATCTTTATATCTTAAATATAGTAATAAGATACGGAAAACAGTAACTGTATCTTGTAATAAGCTAATTACCGTACTTAGTAACTATATCTTGTAACAAGATAACATATTGACCTAATAACAATATATTGCAATAAGATATTTTCGAAAAATACTCCAAAGTTTCAAGATACTTGAGTCAATTTCATAATTAATGCATGCTTTTAGTTGTGAAGTGCAATCTCAAGTGCGATGTCTTAGGTATTGTGAAAACATCGTTGGCAGTGTGATATTATGTCTGGGTTAGAGAAGGTAACCAAACGTTTCTTTTGCTTTGCAAAACAAATTATGGTGGACTTCTGGTCACTTTTCTTCATCCAAAAGAAAACTCAGAGTCTAGTGTTCAGAGTCCAGAGTCTGGAGTACTTTTTAAAGAATAAAAAATACGTTTTATAGAAGCTTTGAATAAGGATGTATAAGGAGATTTTCACATGGTTTAGGAGAAGGACCGACCAAATACACCCATTTAGACGAAATGCACTCTGCTCAGCATTATCGCAGTATCAATAAACAGTGAATTTAAGAATGTACCACCTAGAAATCATAATATTAGGTTGCATTTGTCATTTATCCTTTGAGAAAGTATCTTGTAGCTTCTATCTTGAAACATTATCGCAGATAATTTTTTCAAAGTATCTAGTATCCTGTAATAAGATGGTTAATTTTCCTAATAGCATTATCTTGTAATAAGATATTTCTAAAAGTATCTTGCATATCTCTGCCCGCAATGCATCCTGGTACTTGTAATTAAACCCGCGATCATGTTAGACTGTAATTAAGCTATTCGGTACATTCTACCGTATCTTCTATAATTGGCTTGATAATTTAAGCAAAAAGGGGGAATAATAACATAACTTCTTGCGATCGCCGTCGAGAACATAAACAAATTTTGAAGGGTTAACTACAAGTACCAGAATGCATTGCAAGAATTGCCTTGAATTTCAAGGGAATTGCAAGCTCACTGGTGTATAATCTGGGGAAAGGTCTATTGGCCAATCAATAAACATGTGAATCGCATCAAGCTTACTGATTGGCTAATTTTGATTGGCAGATGGCTTCAGTCACTTTACGATCTGTTGATTACCTTTCAAGAGAACTATCGTATACATGTTCTGTTGCATCACTTTAAACAGCTTATAACAAGACTATATAAAGGATAGGCCAAAGATGACTAAATGTGGCCATGCGTTGTCTCAATGGTGTCTGCTAAATTTCCAATTTGCAGGATTTTTACTTACAATGAGTTGGTTCTTACGCTCCAAGTTTTATCACCAACAAAAATATAGAAATTTGCAAGTCTATGAGCATTGGAGTCTCCACGGTTAGTTACTTTCACGGTGCCAACGGAATACTTTGTACCAAGGTCGACACGCCACCAAGGCTGGTACTGTTCATTGGTATGTGTACAATACCCGGCACCGTGGTCTGTTCCTGTCTGCCCATTAACTGCTCGACCGCTGGAATCAAACCCATCCCAGCTAGATGATTGCATTGTTGGTCTATGTAATGCAATGTTGCCTGCAAAAGTGTAAAAGACGTTATTGCTTATAGTCAGAATGTGAAAAGAAACTAAATGCATTGCAGCAGTGAATGGTTTAGGTTAAGGCTCCTGTGAGAGGAGATTTGCCGTTTTATATGTTAAATTCTAATTTTTCAACAATCATTTATTTGAATTATTTAAAATTTCACGACGAGATAATCAAATAAGAAAAGTAGAAAACAAGGGAGTGGGTGGGAGTGTCTGTTATTTAGGTTTTCTGGTTTTCTCTCGTCTCCATGAAGTCAATGGCTTTGATGTAATTGACAACCATGCTTTTTGGCCTCTGTCCATCAATGTGCTGGAGACGTGCTTGCACATGTTTTGGGGGAAATTAGTAAATTATAAGTGTGTATAAATTTAGTTATTCGCTTGGTTAAGGAACCAAAGTAGAAACTTAGAGATACAGTAAATTTAAGAGCTTTGTGGGAACAGACAATTAGGAACCATAAATACACACAGCATCCTGCATGGTGCACAGGCACATGGCTAAAGCCGTAAGTTAAGAAAATTTGTATATTACTCAGTATTATTAGACAAATGGAATAATTCGTATAAAATATTCAAGTAGAAACACTAAAGTAGAGTTGGAGTAGGGTCGCTCGAAGTGTAGGTAAAGGACGAGCAACGTAGAGTCACGTAACATTTGTATGTGGAATAAAACAGAAAATTAAAGATGTACGAAAACGATATGGTTCTTTTTCGTGGGAAATTCGGTTCACTTCTGAAACCTCTTTCGAATCAATAGAGTGAAGCAATTAATGCAACAATCAATTATTAGCCACAATAAGTGTGTGGTTGATTGGCCAATAGTTGGTTTGTAGATGGGTGAAACAACTTTAGAGTCTAAAGGCCCGTTCCACTTTATTCGCTCTGGTCGCGCGCCTTTGGCCAAAGTGAATCGAAAAATTGACGAATCGGCGAAGTTCAGTCTTGTGCATGCTCAAAAGTGCGTTCACCGCAACTGGCGGTCGTGCCATCAATGCGAATCAAGTGGAAACCGGCCTCAAGGCAATTAAGAGACTCTTGAGTGGATTAAGCCATCTGTCATTCAATAATTGACCAATCATCGCGCGCGATATCACTCACACGCTTATTGATTGGCCAATAGTTGACTGAATCAACTGAAACGACTTTAGTACCAGTCAATTGCCTCTTATGTTTAACATACCGAGTTGGCATCTTGATCCCATATAATTGCGCGGACACAAGCACGAAAACCGGTTCACATAGTCCTTACAGACGCCTCCATTAATGCAAGGATTGCTTTCACATTCGTTTATTTCTAGAAAAAAAAAGAAAATGAGCATGGTAAGGCTAAGAGAAAGTGTTTAAAGGCATTGAGTCATGGTAAATAGGCTTTCTCTATAGGGGGTCATTTGGTTTCGGCGTGATCGCTGCTGTTTCATATGATATTGGCATCCGTTGTTGACAACTTGCTATTGATGGAAACTGTTATGTTAATCAGTACGAGGTGAGTTCATGTGACCAGTTCAAGGTCAACCAATAGCATCGCAGTCATGGAAATCATGACTCAGCGGATTTTGGCACTTAGGGTATACCCAGTCTATTTATCATGACTCAATGCCTTTAAGCTTTGTTTGCTTTTCGGAAATAAGAAAGTTCAGAAATATTACAAAGTCACTGATCAAATAAAAATATAGCATAATGACATTAGCAATGATGGCAAAAGCCAAAAATGGTTCTTTTCGGGTTTTTCTAAGGAACTATTAACATGGAGTTATCACTGTATTTGAGATTATGCTTCTCTTGCTAATCTTGAGTGCCTGTTAAAGAAAAGAGAGTCACGAAAGAGAACCGGTAACGAGAGAGCAGCACCAAAGAATTCCTTACCAGTACACCTGTATCCTGAGCTGACATCACAGGTATCTGTGCATCGGTATCCTGGATTGCAAGGATTGATTGCGCACCGTGGTCCGGGCTAAAATGGAAGAATCACGCATAGCGAGAGGCGGAGATTTTAATGATACTCTTAGCTTGGCATCTTGGAGAGTTATACTACATATTATATAATTATTGCGGTGATCATGTTTAAGCCTAGTATTACTAGTTCGATGGCAGGGAAAGCACCAAGGGCCACGGCCTTCACACTTTTTTGCTAAATAAAATAATACACTCAGCTCAAACTATTTATAAAGATAAACTTGAAGATTGCTATAAACATATTGAACCAAAGTCCCCAAAAATGAGCTTCAGCAAAGTTTTTGCCACAATTGGAGCAAGAGCGGGTATGAGGAAACTTATTGCTGGCCCGTCCAGTTTAGGATCAGTGGCGTGGGCCCTGTTTCATCGTTGTAAGAAGTAGCCCCTAGAATGTTTCAATAGAAATAAAAGAATAGAACATCCCGGGCGACCAATTTCTTGACAAAATGGGCAAAATCTTGAGGGGAGATATGTTGTCCTTGCAAAATAAAATTGCAAAACCAAAAAATTAAAAAAGTGTAGCAAATAATAAGAAAAAAAATTTGTTTGAAACGAAAAGTTATGTAGTTTTCTTGAAATTCCAAGAAGGATTTTTGCCATAAATTTTCAATATTCGTTTCTGTATTACCAATGTTTTCTTAGTAAAAAGAAAGACGGTTTCTAAACGACTGGTGGTACAACCTCTCATTAAGACATCGAGAGTATTGTTGATTCCAGCAACTTAAGTATATCAATCTTTTGTAGCTGGACCTAATCAATCGTATGTGTAGAGCCTTATGGAAAAGGTCAGGTTAGGCCCACTGTATAATGTGTACGCTTTCCTTATTGACTTCACTGCCACATTTGTCCGCACCAAACACCCTTCTAAAACCCACCGCACACGGCAAAACTAAGTCGTTAAAAGATAGACAGTGTTGTCTTTGCCTTTCAAAGATAGAAAACTGTGAAAATGTTGTGAAAATCATGTTGTCCGGTTGTGAAAATCATGTTAAAATTTCGAAATTTCGTTGGAAGAAAAATAAAAAAATCTACAGTGTACGATGGGCTTGAGAGGGCCAGTTGCTTTTCTCATTGCCTTAAACGTCCAAATGTTGCTACAAAGTATACAAGACTGCTTGGCAAATAGGAAGGGGGCACTTTTTAGCACTGCAGTTAAGTGCTCAATTCCTCTAACCGGCATTTGTACATTCAAAACTTTGGGCTCCGTTGATGGAACCAATCATACCTTCGAAACCGGTTCGGAATGGATCCATCCAGCCAAGCTTGAGAATGTTGCATCGGTGCTAGATGATTTTATGGATAGCAGCTGACAATTACTTCCTTGATCAGATCCAAGATTGGTATTATAGTTTATTGAGGAACAACGAGGTGTCCTGATGCACTGGCGGATACAGAGTGGCAAGTTTCCGACGCTGATGGAAGAAATCAAACTCTCTGAATTCCCAACTAAGATTCGATCTCGATTTGTTGTTTTAAACAACGAATCTTTTCTGCAGGTTGACCTGTAGATCAAGTGTGTGTTTTGCCAGGTAACGACAAACAGTGAAAATAGAGAGGACAAGACAAACTGCCTGTCTTGAAACATTTTAACCACTTTAGTCAACCTATGTTCTCACCTAGAAGATATGAAAAGCCTTGCTCTCACAGTGAATCTCAAATATACTGCAAGTGTTTCCACCAACTTGTCAAATGCTACCTTGACGACCATATTGCAATATTCTAAGGTTCGACCACCGCCAATAGAGATAAAAAGGACTGTCTAATAGGCTTTTAATGCATGATTCTATTGCATTAAGCCTGTGGACCCAATGGTGTCACCAGTTTGGTATTTAGGTATTGGCTACCAAATTAATGGAAATTGAAAACTGGTTATTATTGTCGAATAGACCTATTTTGTCAGAATAACAAATTAATGATTACAACAATCAGACAACAACTGCCTGTTGTATTACTTCCCATTCAGTACCGTCGAAACAATCTACGTGTAAACATTACGTACTTGGCTTAACTTAGCTTGGCTGCAACGTCATAATCTTATTTGTTTTTTCGTCAAGGTGGTTGTTTGTGTGGACATATTTGAACCTTGTAAATAATACCTACTTAAGAATTTTCTATGTTTTGATTTAGCAAATAACGTAATCTTTGAATTTTGTTGTTATGGCGAACAAGGTTAATTTTAGCAGTAGAAATAGTATAAATAAGGGGTAAGAACGTAGTTGTGTAGAGAGTAAGAGGAGACGAGGTACGATACTCGCCCCTTGGAATCAAAATATGATTTTACTATAAATCATCGTGAGTTTTTAGTGGCAGAGGGAATTCTTCGGGCCTATATTCAGAGCCTTAAAGGACAAGTGACACACTTTTCACCCTATCTTTTCTTTTCATTAACTTATAGATCATCGTTTAGAAGTAAGTTTTTCTTGGTTTAGAACAAAAAATTCTAATCAGGGGGCGCAGGAGGCGCGATTTTGCTTTTTATCACGTGACCCTATGACGTACATTGTGATAACTCGGAATTTTCCTGTCATTATTAGAGAGTCTGCAAAACACGACGCGACAGGTCCAGACGAACTAAATTCGTTTAGAAGCGTGTTGTAAACATTAATATTGCACTGTATACCAGTAGCAGCAACAACAGATTATCACAATCTACGTCACGGTGTCACGTGATTCATTTCCCGCCATAATTTGAAAAGGGTTTTTAAGTAGGAAAATGAAATCAGAAAGGAAAAATATTTCAACAACACTCTCATACAGCATTTTACTTTAAGTTAAAAGAAAAAAAATTTGGCGCCAAAAGCGTGTCACTTGTCCTTTAAAACGCGGTTGGAATATTCCCCACAAGCTGTTATAAAGGGAATATTTAACAGTTTGAAAATCATTGGGGAGGGGGGCGAGAGATCGCTTTTGATTGCCCTGGTAACAGACAGTTGGAATCAAAATGACGTCAAGGGGTTAGGAACCCAACAAGTCATTGTTAGCTCGACTTATCTCCATTTGTAAATTATTTTTTGATAGAAAATTCCACGACAGAATTATGACTACATGCACAGAAAAATAGAAGCGATTTGCGAGTCACGTAATACGCTTCTTTTTCACAATATGAAAATTGAAATGTATAATAATTTGTACACAAGAAAGTTGAGATTAATATGAAATATGAAATATGAATAAGGTATAAAATATGAAATTGCTTAGGTATTAGACAATATCAGTATAAAATCACATTAAATACACCAGAGTTTAATCAAAAGATTAACAATAACCTTAAATGATCAATGTCGTGAAAATAGCCTTCAATTCGTTTGGTAACGAAGATAGGCAAGTAGCTGGAAAAACGTAATTGATTACCAGGAAACTTGTAACAGGATTAAGGTTCGATTCCATATTTCAATTAGAAAACTAGGGCCTAGATGGCAAGTAGACTCTTTGCTACTTGCCATATTTGCAAAAGGACACATTGCATAAACAAGATGACTTAAAATACACTTAGGTTTAGCCCAGTTTAAACCCAGTCGCGTCAACACTACACAGTGTCAAAGGAACGGTGGATAAGAGAAAGCAGACTGCACTTGCTTTGAATCAGAGGCGCATGCGTACGATGAAGCATAATGGGACGAAACCATACATACGCATTGGCAACAAAAAACAAACCTAACCTCAAACTTGTATCACGTTTACTATAAAAAACAATTTTTTTATATACGGGGATTTTCATATAAGAAATTTTTATCTTAATACAGGTTCAAGCCGATTGGTTACACTTACACTAAAAACCTTGTGTTTGAAAATCTTTTAGCCTGTAAAACCCAAGACTAAATAGTAGTTTTGCCTCTTAGTTTTTAACCAACAAAGTATTTCCGTGAACCACTTATTATCACTAGATACCGCCCTAATCCCAGGCATCACCAGCTAGACCCGTCATGAAAATTCACCTTATAGGTGAGATACTAATGTAATAGAAGCTAAAGCAGATTACAATACTAAATCCCGAGGGGGGGGGGGGGCGTAGATAGGGGTCCTGTTTGCTTAAGATGTCCATTAAACATGGCGATATTTTTTATTACTTTTTTGAAATTGGAGAAAACTATTAATCATAAATAGGCTGGAAAGCACAAGAACTTCCAATGCTTCCTCGTCGGACTGCTCCATGCGCAATTGGAGTGAGAGAATAACTTGAATCTGTTTTTATCAGTTCGCCCCCTTCTTATACACCAAGTGACCCTGGGATTCATCAAAGTACTGATGTTAGGTTTCTAGGGTATAATATCGAATGCATTTACAGCAGTCTAATATGATTATTAGCTTGAGCAAATGCTCCCAAAATGAAGTCAAAGCAATCAAATCTGGCAACCAATCGAAATTTGTTAAGACACTTTAAGGCTATCTGTCTCGTTGTGGATTGGTTAACGAGAACAATAGCTGGAACAATAGCCTAAACACGATTCCAGCGCTCCGCCATATTTTTTACAATGCGATAAATTAAAGAGGGACTGGAAACAATAGAAATCCCTTTGTTCTTATGACCAATCAACGTCGTGACAGATTGCCTTTAAAACTGGGGGTCATAAGGGTTTTAAAAAAATTGGCATGCCGGAACACTTGCCGGACGTAGATTTTCTCAGGGAATATTAAAGTTTTATAAAGTTTTACGGATTTCCGGGATTATTCCACCTGTTTTCTTGCAAAAAGGGACCCGGTCAAATCTTGGCTTGTTATCAATAATTTTGGACACAGAATTTTGGCTAAAAATGACAGAGATGTCGGGTTTCAACAAAAATTGTGCGAAACGACGGATTTCTGCCCCTCCTGACGATCCCTACTTTAAACACTGATCATGGCAATCACATATGTTTATAACAAATTTGTTTTAATGTAAACTATGTTAAATGCATCTCTGTCAGGTCATAAAAACAAATAAACAATATACTACGAATTAAAAATCACACTTTAGTGTAGCTAATTTCGATTTAAAAACGAAATAATATCATCTAGCTTTCCAATGGCCTCTCTAAAATGACAGTCGTGAACTTGACTGGATCCTGTGTTAGAGATCCCCTTTTGTTTATATTCTACATTGATGATGTCATAGCCGTCAGTTTTCTCTCGTGTGACCTCGATGCATATATGTCTTGCAGGCTCATGCTCAGCCAAGCCACAATATTCAGGGATATCGACATCATTTTCACCAGCTGCATCAGAGTCGAGAACTTCGTCGCCAATTTCGTCAAAGGAGTCAGCCCTCGTTAGGGATATGCTTTCCATATAACACGATTGCATAGCGTTTAACGCTGCACGGAGCTTCCAGTATCGTTCTGAAAGTTTGAATTTAAGAAACTTTTGCAGCTTTCGCAAACAAACAGGACATAGGAAGATAGGCTGCTCATCAACTTCTGAGACAAACTTACTGCTGTTCATTGCGCATTCGTAAAAGTTGCAGTGACTTAGGCCAAAAACATGGCAGAGCTCATGCGTCATAGCCTAGAATAAAAATAATCAGGAACGTCATATTTTACCTTTCCAAAGAGTGACTCAATATAAAAAAAGAAAATATGATTATCAAAGTCTGATATTACATCCCCCTTGCCAAGCACTGCTATATAACCCCCCCTCCCGTCCCAATAACTTGAACGTTCGCTACTTCGAACCATTTCATTAGTCAATTTTTTTTGCCCCTGAGTGTGGTTTTGAAATATATATGAATTCAGCACTGTTTATATACCGATAGGCTGCCGGTTTACAAAATTAAATGAACATACAACCAAGCAACAAACATAATGTTTTTAATTAATGATGCTAGATAAATTGTTTCTAGTGTCAATGTCACCCATTTCACCAATAGGGACAACATGTTGTCGGGACCTAGAACCTCTTTTACAAATTACTGCAGTTCTAAGTAAGCAAAAACTCAGCTTTCTTTTGATCCAAGCAGAGGTTTCACTAACATTTTGGTGATGTTTTTTAGCAATTAGTTCCGACACACGTTGGAAAAATTCCCTCGATTCAATGCTCATACCACCATTTCATTAGTCAATTGGAGGTCTGAGTTAACGGGAGTTTACTGTAGTCCAGATAAATAATTTGACTTGAAACTTTGAACAAAGAAGTAGAAAATCTTATCTTTATCTCATACCGAAAAAAAGAAAGAGAAGAACCCTAGTTAAATGGTTTTCTTTTTCATGAATACATGATCTTACCTTGAATATCCTCCACATTGCTTTGCAGCTTAAGTGAAACTCTGTCCCAACGGGCAAAGCAAGCTTAACGACGTCCTCTTCCATGACTTGACTCGTGAAAAATGTCCCAGCTTCATCTTTATTTATGATATCATATGAAGCATCATCAACTGACAAGCTTGAACATAGCGAATTAACCGACCTTGAGAACAGTTTAGTCCACGAGTTTTCTATCGAGGACAAAGAGCCAAGGTTCTTGTAGCTGCTTATAGAACGACTCAGTGGGCCATTCAGGGAAATATCGGATGTCACAGAACCTTTTCTCATTTTTAGGCTTAATGACGAAGAGGCTTTTCGTCTCGAAGAATCATTAAGCAACGACTTAGGGTATCTTTTGTCTTGAAACGACGCTGATTCACGCCTTGCATCAAGTTGATCCTTCGCGGATTTCGAGGCAGTCCCACTCTTCTCAGAGGCAAAGCTGAGTGTCATGCTTGGCGTGCTTTGCCCTGAAAATATTGAAGAAATTTTTGAAGACTATGAGAGAGTAATTTGCGACGAGACGAGGCTATACTTGTTAATGTGTCGATTTTCATTTGAAGGGCTATCTAATAAATGTTTTTTTCTCGAAATTCAAGTTATTTCTGGTTAAGGTCTTATAACTTTGATGAAACTAAGAAAAAATCTTCTGTAAATAATTTTAAATAATCTATTGAGGGGTTAAACCTATTATTTTCACTTCTACTGTAAATAATATCTAGTTGTGAAAATATCTCATAGCTGTAAATGGTTTTCTACAACCTAGTGCGAAAATCTTAATTGAAAAGAAGCTTCACTTAAAAGACAACCCTTCCTAAAAGAAAGAAATGTTGCTGATGCCTAGAACCAGAAGAGGTAGCTCTTAGCTGTCCAAAGAAAAAGGAATTTGTTGTTGCAGTTGTGTACATTTGCTAACCTTTGCCACTCTCTGTTGTAAATATTTTTTGGAATGCCAGCCAGGGGTACCAAATAATATTGGCTCAAACATTTTAAGTTTCTTTAAGACATCCTTAGTTTAAGATTTTAGAGTGCTACAATCAGCTTATATGCAGTTCTTTTACTTATTTCCTGCTCAAAAACAAACATGCATGAAAATTTATTTCATGCTTACAAACTGTTAGAATTAAATCCTGGACAGATATCATGTTAGGAGAAAGCACCGAGAGTATTTACCCATTTAACCTGCTAAAGGTCAACCCTTTTTTAAGGGTGCAAGTGTCCTTATCTGCACAAGAGCACCTGCAGCCTTACGGCTAAATAATTTTTCCATCACAAACTCTTTTCCCATGTGGAAATGAAACACAAAAATAGCACATCATTTAAGTTGTTTTTTTTCAATTTTCTTGTTATCAATTATATGGTTTAGAATACAGGATATGGGCCTTTTTTATAATAGCAAGGCAATACAAGTTTATTTTAGTTTCAAGTCTAGTCCCACCAGAAAAGGAGAAAGAGGGTAGTCTTGCGGCCAAATTATAAATTCAATATAAAGAGGGATACACAACTGTTACAAGATACACACCTAAATCTAACATGCTTTCAAATGGCAATGCAGAAGCCATAATTACAAATGGTACATTCTTTGACAGGAATATTTTAGGGAATTTTATTTAGGAATGTCAGTCAAACCTTGTATACATACATGCATTGGGACAAGAAAGAAGTGGGGCCTGTACAAAAACCACTAAATTATCAACTAACAAAAGGGCTATTTACCTCTAGTGGTAGAAGGACTTTGAGACCCTGCCGATATGAATTTAGCATAATGCCCGAAACTAATTGCAGCACAACCAGTATGAACTGATCCTTCTCCTAATATATGATTCCACTCATCACCAGGATAGAAATCTACCCAGCTTAGACCAATTATGCCAACAGAATTTTTGGGTGCAATGCTTGATAAATACACCATTACATCTGGAAAGAAAATTTTTACTTTAAGAGACCCGCATAAAAATTTTGACAACATATTTCACAACACAACACTTAGATTTTTAGAACACTTAGTACGTTAGCCAAGTTGAAAAGATTGGGGGATGTAGGGAAGTGGAACATGGGGGCAGGGGATTTCTTAGCCTGCTTCAAGGGAAAAATCAAACATGCTCAGCAGGAGTAACAAAAACACATAAAGTTATTATGAAGTTTACATCAACACTAAGCCAAGAGCATATTTTAATAAGCTATCTTGTTGAAGTTACAATACTGAATAACAGGGGACTGATTCATACTCTAAGGTTTATGTTTCAAATGTGCTACTGCTCTAAATGGTACTCGGATTTGAAATGCAACTACTTGGATCCACTATCTCTAAAATCTTCCTGTATATTGTAGCACTTTTGCAGAGCGGCCCTTATTTACCTTCTGACATCTCTCAAAGCTCACAAGGATGGGTAAAGCTTTGAGAGAAAAAATCCAAGGGATAGGTTATCTTTTGAATTCTTAGGGCCAACTTAATGTTTGGTATCTTGACAACCAAGAGCAGGGTTGATTGAGTTTTGCCAACAGGAAAAATCCTTTTTTGCTATGCACTATTTCTTTGGGCTCAAAGGCCACTTTTAACCTAGTGTAGAGCTGACCTTGTCCACAAGGTTGAAGTTGATTACTCTAGAGAGTTTACTGTATTCCATTCTACCATGGTCAGCAAGCTGGGTTGGTACTGTATTCCACTCTACCTCAAATTGGAACTCATACAGCTTTGGCTATCTACAATAAAAAAACCTATTTAAAGTGACTTTACCTGGTAAGAAAAGCTGTAGTTGGCCAGTTTTGTTGTGTATTCTTGTTGTACATCCGATTTCTTTGAACTCAATTTCTGGTAATATCTGAAAAGATATTCCACTGAAAAATGCTTCCCCAAAACAGACTAGCGCTTGCAGAAATGAAAACTGTGGAGATACAAGTGCATTTAGTAATCCTTCTGGAAAAGGACCAATTGGCAAGATGTATACAACTGATTTTCGGAATCTCCGAAAGTGTTTCCACGAGGTCAGTTTAAGCCATGATACAAAAACCTTCCACTCTGCATAACTCTGTATTTCCTCATCTTCTTTTGAACATTGCCTTTTCACACTATTGTGCTTGCTACTTTCATATTTTCCATTGGATATAGAGGAGCTTTTTCGTGATATTGATCTCAAGTGGTTTTGAAGCTGTAATGGCAAAAACAATTGGGCACATTCTGGTAGCTTTCTGAAGCTTATCAGTGTTTCATAAAAGAGCTTCTCAGCATGTGGGAGTTTCTTTGTATTTCCAACCAGCTCTTGTAGTTTGTATTGTTTCATACTATAAAGCAAAATATTAAAAATACGAATAATGAAAAGAAATCCATTATACAGACAGCACAATAACATAATATAAACATAATGCAAAAATTTAAAAATAACCACACAAAAAACGTTTGTGTTATTTTCACGATGCAAAGGAAGTATAATTACTGAACTTGGCTATATTTTATAGGTAATTCAGGTCTTTTTGTCTCAAAATGCTACTCTACCAATTTGTCTGAAAATGCTTAAATGAAAATCTTACTTTCAATAGATAACGGCCACTTCCGTCATTGAATTTATGGCATTTGGATGATAGTGATTCCTTTATCCGAGTACAAGAAATTTTCGCAAGAATGAATGACTTGGCTCATTTCATTTCAGACCCAGGCCGATGCTGGCATTCTTGAAGTGTCATTTTGCCATTGTTGTTTTTGATGACTTTGTATAAAGTTCTTGGTGATGCCTGCAAATGTTAAATTTTCCTTTAACTATCTAGTAGCGATCTCATAAAAATTTTAAAATTGTTCCTATTACCCAAATCTACTATGATTGTCTTACCTAATGCCCAGCAGTTTTTGGCAACCTTGTCTGTTTTGTTTTCAACGACGTATTGCTTATTTTAAACCTCCTCTTCGAGGTGAGGCTATCCTGTTTGACATTGGTATGACATGAATCCAGCAGCACGAAATGTAGTGAAATAGAATTTTGAAATAAATTAAATTTAATAAACACTAATGTTTCTCTCTGATAAAATCCTGTATGCGGGGATGAGATATAAGTATTTATTAAAATTAATTTATTTCAAAATTCGCCGTGTTACCTTGTTCCTGGCTATTTTGGTATTATTATTCATTGCAAGATTCAAGATGCAAGATTCACAGAATCCTGCATTCACAGAATCATGCAAGATTCACAGAATCATGCAAGATTCACAGAATCTGGCAGAGAGCATATCCTGCTGCGTTTTCCTTTCTCACACGTTTGATAAGAATTATGGAATAATTCGCTGATTTTTATCGTTACAGTTCTTTTGCTAAAAATAAAAAGTCAATTTACTTTCAAAATAAATATTTTACAGGCAATGTAATACAATGAGCATGAAGAAACTCGACGATCTTCCCCCTGTCTCACCACTAAAGAATCAAAACTATGAGTAATATGAATTGCGTAATTGGGTGGTGGTTTAACAACGGCATAACATGTCATTTTTGGACAAATCTGTTTGTTCTTGGTTATTTTGCCCCCCCCCTCCACAAACTGAAAAATTAATTTTCACCTCTGAGCAGAGACAGCGCCACGAAATTGAACCTGGGAAGGCTAAGAATCAAGTTTAGTGATATAGGAGGACCCACCATTTCTGGGTTCGACGCGAAAGAGGTTTTTTGAACTTAAGCCATCTAGAATGGCTAAAAATGCTTCTCCGGGACTAAAATTTGACAAAATACCATACCGCTTAGAATTGACAGTTCGACGATTCTAAAAAAGCATTGATTATTGATTTTTAGAAAAAATTTGGGAGGGGAGGAGTCATGCTAAAACTCAGGTGACTGACGTAGAAAGGAAGAAAGGGTGACCAATGGCTCAGACTGAACATCTCAATGATTTTGAATTGGCTGAGAGAATATTACTTCCTGGACACCCATGTGCATCTGCTTTTTCTTGAGTATTTTCAGTAGGCCATGATTACACATCAAAAATGACATTGCAATGATAGAGAGAGTTTTCTACTGAATTGATGCAAATAAAAAACAAATAATAAAAAATTTGCCTCGATAAGTTAGTAAATCGACCAAATAAAATCAAGCAGCATATAAACACTTTGGTCTCTTTTGATTTGATACTCTGTTTTAAAAATGATAGAAAAGGCCGTTAAAAATTTTGATCTCTTATGATGTGGGAGAGCTGCAGCCCCTCCCCCAGCCCTCCTAGTGACGCCGTGCTTGCTGAGAATCTGGGAAGAATCTGAGAAAAATGGCCAGTCGATTGTCGAGGATTCCACAAAGATGACGTCATTAATCAACAGGGAAACATAAAGAAAATTTTGTGCCGCGAACATTCAACTCACTTCATTCGAAAAATGAAGGCAATTTATGAACACATCTGCATCAATGTTCATCATTTATTAATATAAGTTACTAAAGATGTAAATCGACAGGTGCTTAAGTCTTGCTTGAGAATTTCCCGTGGAAAACTGGCAAATCAAAGCAAGATAACTTTTGATGTGTACTGGACGTCACGAACGAACGGGAAGGTTCTTTCGGCCTAAACGGAAGGACAGCGAAACACATTTAGGTAAAATTTAACACTATGTCTACAAATTTATTCATTAGCTTGCTTTCCGGAAACAAACTGCAAGTTTTTCTTTATAATATGGCATTCGTAATTTTTTTGTAAAAGGTTTATTTTGGACAACGTGACACGCAGTTTTCATTGTCGGATTTTTAAGACTAATAAATCGTTCCTTATCTTATCAAATCATTCATTGGAAATTGCGCTATGAATAATTTTTATAACACTGTCTTTCTACGAAGCTCCATCCAGATTATTTTTTTGCGTAGGGCTAATGTCATACCGATAAAAACCATGTTATTTTTTTAAACTTAATTAGGATATTTTTCAGTTGTTGCAGATTTTTTTATTTGACTGCTTTTGTTTAAAGATCCAAATCAATATTTTCTTTGATAATGATTTCAATATTTGATTACCCGAATTCACCAAATACAAGTTCAGGGGTCAACAATTACAGTTCACATAAAACATGGCAGCTCAAACAAAAACTAAAACTTGTTTTGGTAGAAAACGATTAGTCATAAGATGTAAACTTTTGTTGGTTGATATTCATGCACAGATCACAATAAAGGGACAGCAGTTACGATATAGAGATCTTGATGAAAGTATGAAAATAGCTCTGCATTGAGCTATGAGCCCATAAGCTACCCCCTTTAGTCATAGGCAGCCTTAAATATTCAAGAGTGGCTGGGGCTACAGACTATAGAGCCAAAGCTTCGAGTCTGTGTCCCAGCTATGACAAAACTTTCACACAGACTAAGGAAAGTTTCAATCTCTCTGACATTCTAGACATTAGAACCACAAGGTGTGGTCATATCACGATACAGGACCAGGGCATTGCTTGATAAGCATAGTCTGCAAATATCTTAAGCATTACTTTTTGGTTGATAGGTAGAAAAAAGTACAACATCTAAGACCATGGGATAGTGAGTCTAAATTTGGCTAAACCATTTGATTTTTGAACAGAAGGGCTAAATTTTTCACATCAAACAAATGTGAAACATCATTCGCATAAAGTTTTGTTAAAAGCTGTTTTCTTCTTTTCCTTATCATTCATTTATCTATACAAGGCCTAAAGACAAAGCCATTTTTGGCATGTAATTAATATCACCTATATATTTTTATGATTTTTAGAATGGAGGGAAAATCAGAAAAAAGAAATATTACTGGAGATGACATAGAATATCTTCATATCAATGAGGAAACAGCAATAAACCCAAGCTCTCAGTCAAGAACAATTGTTTCTGAATTATGGAAATTGTCTTTGTTAAGACTTTATGGTGGCAGTGAAATTCAAAGGTATCTACATTTTTTCTTTCTTATATATTTGTTTATTTTATATACAGAGGCTATAAACTTCCACAATTATTATATCATTTGAAAAAACAGCAGATACTATGACTTTAGATACCAAAGGAAAATTATATCACCAAACACTTGGTATATACATAATGAAAATTAAATGTTTTATTAGTCAGGTTACAGAGCTTGAGGCCTTATAGGCAGAGCTATAAACACTTTTGTGCCAAGAACAGGGCGGTGTTAAGTTACAACTCAGAGTTTCATGCTTGATCCCATTATCAGACAACTGCTCATGCAAACAGTTGTGTGACAATTGCATTATAAGTGAAAATAGTTATTGCAACAAGGCTCAGGTCAATTGATGAATTTTAAGGTATGTATCCATCTTCCTGGGACTTACCTTTTTCAAATGTTTATCATTTTTGTTCAACTGTCATAGCAAGTAAATGATGAAAGAACAAAATTTAATGCAGAAGTTATTTCAATGATGTTAATATGAGTTTCACAGTCAATAAATGTGTCTGTTCAATAGTTGTCTTCAGGCAGTGGATGATAACCAATTTAATCTAATGGAATTGGTGACAACTCCACATGATCTGCTTTTCAGCTTTGATTGATCATGGTCAGTCCTATTACCAGACAGTAATTTTTGTCACAGTAAAATATAACAAAACTTTATGAAAAATACTTAAAACAGTTAATCTATACAGTTTTCAACTCGTTGCAAACTGATCTTCTGTAAGAGGCAGATTTAGATAAATCACTTCTCATATTTTTGCAATCTATAAGACTTGCGAGTCCTCTCGATAGAATGGTGAAACACACTGTCACATGTCTTGATGTCACATATGGTGTACAATGTCTAGCTTTAATAACACTGCAGATTGACTTCATCAGAATTCCATTAGTTTGTATCTTATGTCAAGGCCAATATATTTCTGGAAGAGTTTGGGATAAACATAAAAAGTTTTTGTCTTAAGTTGCTATCTTCAAACTTCAAAGAAACATTTTAAAAACCTTCAAATTTTTTATGTTTTCAAAACACATTTTGGCTAGAATGCTATCAAATTTTTAAGGTTTTCTTTCTGGTGAATAAATAATTAGATTAACCAAGAAGCACTTAAAGTTGGTGGTGCTGGGAATGACCTACTTTGCTATCACAATTTCCAATGTTTAGTCTAATGTGTATGGTTATTTGAAATCTAGGATAAATTTAGATTGAACCTAAAGATGACCCATGAAATAATTTTTCTGAAATATTTATATGCTAGAGATTATATTGAGGTGAAACTTGAAAGAAAACCGTCACTATATTTGGAAATAAATTCAATGTCTGTTCAACCTGTCATCACTTTCTCACTGGGTTTTAATTTTTATAGCACGACTTAATCCATATTTAATGAGTGAACTTGATTTTGTTGCAATGTCAGATGTATTAAAACAAAACTTATTATCTGGCTTTCATATTAAAAGTCCCCACAAGTCAGGCAATAGCTTTTAACACATGGTTGAAAGTGACAGGTCATATAAAAAAGGCTTCAATAAGAGCAATGAATAAATGTTTACTTATCTGAAGAGCTAAGGAATTATCGTTTCAAGGAATACGTTTCTGTGTAATTCCATGAGAAATTTGAAGAGGTAGTAACCTTATTTTTCAAATTTTGTTGAATTTGGTCATCCATGTAACTTAAAAGAAAAATTGCATTTATAGGCATGCAAGACACCCCGCCATAGAAGAAGCCGAAAATTTTTATTTGATCGAAGCTGACAATAAGCTGACCGAAGCAGTGATATATTTTAGAGTGTTGCATCTAGACCATGCTGTTTTAGTCACTATTTTAACAATTGATCTTCTCTTATTGCCAAGATCAGGTTTTTCGTGACATTTGATAGTGATAGAAGGGCTTATGAACCATATTACGTACTGAAAGCAACATTTAAAAGAGTTGCAGCGGGAGAGACATCTTATCAATTAGCGCAAGTCTAAACCAGGCGGTAGAAATGATACGAAAGTCAGGTACACTTGTGTAGTCTTATTATTGAATATAGCATATCTTCTGTTGTTGGCTAGAGTTATCGCTGCTTCAAAGGAGTTTTTGCTTTAAGTATGTTTGTTAAGTAACGTAGACTTCATGGAGACGACTTTAATTAGTTGACAGAAGATGTGTAAATGTGTACAAGAGAGCAGGTGGTATGGCAAATTTCTTGAAACTGCACTGTTTATTTAAGAAAACTGTCATAATAACCTCATGCACGACTTCAATAAATTTTCAAACGTTCTTTGTAATTCACTAAGCAGGTAGATTTCATTAGAAAAACGTGCAATGAAGCTTGCTTGACCTCAAGTAACATAAATCAAATGTGCTTGTCACAAGCAACAACTGTTAGTATTTTGCAACGCTGCTAGGGTTTTTTGCAACGTGCATAGATAAGAAAACTGTGCAGTTATAAAACGTAATTTTGCAGTGCCAAGAAATATTATTACAGTTTTCTGTTATTGTTGTGGACAGTTCGTCTTTCCCGGTCTTCTCCTCAACTCAATTTTTCTCCCAAATCCCTATTTCTGGTACCCAGGGTTGGCAGTTATACGTTTCACTTTTGCACCAGTATCAGGGACGGATTCCGGGGGTTTTGGTTGTGTGACACCCCCCTAATATTTTTGTGTTATTTGGTAAATTTTGCTTCTTTTCGGTAATAAACTTTTTGGTAGTCAGTAGAAACAAAATGACGAAAAAATTGATTTATCTACCTTCTTTCTTCTTAATCCTAAAACTAGGAAAACATGATTTTGAAAGTGGCTTTTCCATTATTTTCTAATCATTATCTAACACCTTCCCTACCCCCCTCCCCCCGTGCACAATTGCCAGATACAGCCCTGAGAACAAAAATGGCGTATACCTCGATCTTCTTTTCTTCAATGATAGAAATTGGACGAAGGAAAATTTCTGCGCAAAAACATGTTTTTGTGTTGAAAATTTTCTCAATTTTGAGGTTTGTTTACTGTGTTAGAATTTAATGGATAGTTTTGGTTTGCTTTTCCATTTTAAGATTCAGCTGCCATAAACAATTGATAAGTGTACCTGTGAAATCCCTCTCCAATTAATTTGGTAGACGCTGGACAGGCAAATTTGCTCTGCCAGGTCACAGCGTCTTGCCAAGATCTCTGCACTAAATGCTGAATTTTTTAAGAAAACTCAAAATCTGTGAATAATTTTGTATCAATAACGAAACAGCCAAGCTATATCGTTGAATTGATCTTTATATAATGATATATACAGAAGGGTGGCCTGGAGGCAAACATTCAAGGTGCCGATGGTTATTACCGACGAAGGATAAAATGAGGTGCCATGCATTTAGACGAGGTACCCTAACGATCGATCATTCGCTTGAGCCCTTGCACCCCTGCGCCGCCACCCCTGTTTATACATAATTTGAACTTTCAAGTATCAGTCAAATTGTGACCGGGATCTTCCCTTCTTGAATTGAATAAAAAAGCTTCACCATGCTATTAGGAAGCACATCAATCTTAATGCTCTAATCTCGAACAACATCTACTGAGTGATCAGTTTACGGGACCATCTTGATCCACTTTTGCATTATCTGAATCATCAAAACAGGTGTCCTAATCTTCTTTAACTAAAGTAAAACACTGTTAGGTATTTTATGTTTCATGTGATCTTTTTTACTGAAGAGTGTGTGTTTTGTCTGGACTTTGTTTAAGCTGTTATCATAAAATTTCTCCGTAAAGCTTCTCGTAGAGAATTCCTATCAAAACATTCAAAATAGTGTTTTTTTGGACCACAATTATGATTTTATCAACCGTGCTTGCTTATTTTATAGAAAGTTTTTAATACTGCTAATTGTGAAAAAACTATTGCCAACGTGAAATTCGTACCGTATTATCATCACTAGAAAACAACGATCAAATGAGCGTTTTACTAATAGGACTAATTTAATCTTTTGTTAGAAAGTTTTTTGTTAGAATAATGTTGTGTGTTATCACCAAGGGCTTTTTTGTTGTTTTCCTAGTTGTGAACAACAGCAACAACTAGATATAATTCTTACTTTAAGGCAGTGTGTCGTGCGTTCATTGGCTATTATTTGTTGAATTTCGAGGGTCCTCGGAATAGAGTACCGAAGTGAGGCATCATCAAAAATATTTTTTTAGAATTTCTTAAACTTGACTACAAAATCTGGAAGACCAGCATAAAATACTTTTCAATATGAAATATTGGCTAGATATATTCAAATTTGGGCGTGATATGGCCAATGAAAGATTTTAAATTTGCTAACGAATTACTGTTACAGTATTCTGGCATGATTCATATAGTTATGAACCAATACCAAATTACAGAGGTTTGATGAGGCAAGAGCCTGTACTCATCTTGCCATACCTTAAGAATTTGTAATACCTTGAATTGATTTTTCATATTTAGATGATATCTGTGACGTCATCACTTCAGTACTCTTTTAGAGCAGTGAGTCAACTTAGTATAACTGATCATTAGCAAGTGAGATACCTCCTTTGTTACGAAATGACATCTCACTGAAATGGGCATTTTAATTTTTAAATCAGTAAGTAAATTAACGGCGTGACACACTGCTTTTAGTCATATTCAATGGCGTTGCAAAGATGTTTATGGAGAGGAAGGGTCAAAACATGACCCTAAACATGACCCTAAAATTTTTCTAAAATTGACACAAATGTACTGGATATTTACACGCTGTATTCTTTAAATATTCTGTTAATATTTAGCCTGGGGAAATAAGATTGCTGAAGGTATGTATCAATGTAATAGTACAAAAAGGGTGTGGTCTCAAAACCGTTGCTCTATAGGCTACGCCTATTACCCCTTCCACTACTCCCTATCAACTCATGTCAGATTTTACGTGTTTCATTGAACTATTCGTTGAACTAGACCGAAACAATGTACCATGTTTGCGTTCCAAGAAGAACGTTTGTTAGAAAATGTACTGCGTGTAGCTCATATAGTATT